AAAATAAGGAAGGAAGAAAGTGAGTGGGGAATGTAGGCAGACAGGAGGATAGAGGGGGCAGTGTCACTATACTCCTAAATCTCTATCATAAATTATGTGATATTTATCCACTTTATATAAATAATTCTTGACGATAGAGCCATTTTTTTTCAGTGTTTCTAATACCCTTATTTAACACATCCCTTCATGTGATGTGATGTCAAACTAGTAGCACATGTTTCAAAGGAAGATGTTCTTCCTATCTTCCTCTCTCATGTTTTACTTTCAAATAAACAAGTAAATCTTTAAAAAGAGGTAACTTCTAGGGCCCGGCGCGGTGGCGCAAGTGGTTAAGGTCCTCACCTTGCACGCCCGGGATCCCATATGGGTGCCGGTTCTAATCCCGGCAGCCCCGCTTCCCTTCCAGCTCCCTGCCTGTGGCCCGGGAAAGCAGTCGAGGACGGCCCAAAGCTTTGGGACCCTGCACCCGCGTGGGAGACCCGGAAGAGGCTCCTGGCTTCGGATCGGCATAGCATGGGCCGTTGCGGTCACTTGGGGAGTGAATCATCGGATGGAAGATCTTCCTCTCTGTCTCTCCTCTCTGTATATCCGCCTTTCCAATGAAAAAAATAATAAAAAAATAAATCTTTAAAAAGAGGTAACTTCTTATATATATACATATATATACACATATATAAGAGAAAGAAGAAGGAGCACACTCAAAAAAAAAAAAACCCACAATGCTTAAGTGTTTATAGGATCAGGCAACCCCCGGAATCCTCCTCAATATGCAATTGAAAGTACTGTGCATTCTGGGGCCAGTGGCATGGTGTACATACCAGTTCAAGTCCCAGATGTTCTACTTCTGATCCAGCTCCCTGCTAATGACCTTTGAAAGTAGAGGAGGGTGGCCCTATTCCCTAGGTCTCTGCACCCATGTGGGAGACCTGGCAGAAGCTCCTGGCTCCCAGCTTCAGACCAGCCCAGCTCTAGCTGTTGTGGTCATTTAGGCAGTGAACCAGTAGATGGAAGAGCTTTCCCTCTCTGTCTCTCCTTCTCTCTATAACTCAGCCTTCCAAATAATAAGTAAGCAAATCTGTAAAAAATAAATAATTTAAATACGTACATTCCAAAGTCTTACGTTCTTCCTTACAGTACCAATTTTTGAAAAGCAGCAGTACTCTTTAACTAGTGTGCAAGCTGTATCTGCGGAGTTGACGGGACTCAACTTCCAGGCATCAACTCAGGGGGAAGTATTCCTAAGGAAGTGGGTGACTCAGCACTTCATATTGTAAAAATGCCCTTCCTAACCAATCATGGATGGACGTGGAATGAGCACATTTGTGACTTGATGGTTCAGTAGAATCCTCCATGAAAACTGGGGACAACCAAGTTATCGAGCATTCTGGAATCAATTCTTGTTCTATCAGCCAATTTCGAGCCACAAAGGGTAATAATGGCTATTTGGTAGCCAATGGTTTCAGTTTCTGAGCTTGAATACCTTGAGAGTGCTCTGACCTACAGTGAGAATAAGCTGGGTAGCAGAAACTCACCCTGACACTACTGACGTTTTTATCAAATGGAAAAAATTAGGCAATGGCATGGGCAATGGTTGTACACTGGACTGACCTCCACCAGGGACATCTGTGTCTCGTAGCAGAGTACCCATGGTAGTCTCAGCTACTACAGGCTTCCCCTGCAGATTCCTGCTATTGTGCCTGCGAGGTAACAGATAATGCCTAAATACTTGGGTTTCTGCCATCCGTATAGGAAACCTGGACTGAGTTCTCATTTCCTGATACTGGCTTGGCCCAGGTCTGGCTGGAATTTAGGGAGTGAACCAGTAGATAGAAGATTCTCTCTCTCTCTCTCTTGCTTGCTTGCTCTTGCTCTTTCTTCCACCTCTTTAAATAAATAAATAATGAATAAATAAATCTTTGCAAAGTGGTGGTGTCAGGAATTTTCACCATTTACCCAAGACACCAGACGCCAGCCAACCACAAAGATCTCTTCATTCAGAGCACAGGGATGGGGCTTGGAAGGGGGAACAATCAGGGTAGAGGAAGATGGTCCTGGGGAGGGAGCCAAGGCAGAGAAAACAGAGAGAGAAAGAGAGAAGGAACAAAAGAGAGAATTGGAGTACAGGGCCGCGGGGATCGATAGATGTGGTGGTAGGCAGGCCAGGAATACGGGGTAGCAAGGGATTTTGGGGTAGGGCTGTCAGGTGCGTATTTAATAACCCGAGACTTACAGAAATGAAACTGAAACTTAAGGGAACTAAAGCCTAAGGGAAGCAGCTATCTAAAAGCAGTGGGTCTAAACTGGTGGGGATCTCATCAGTCTCAGAGGTTGATGTTCAGTCACTCCTCACAGGTGGTGGGGCATTAAATATCAGCCATACATTCAGCAACAGAAACACAAAACAAGCCATCAAACTGTTGATGACATTTTGGCAGAGGAAAAAAAAAAGAGGTTATCGCACTTAAATAGTTGCAAGCAACCACCAGAAAGTCTCAAATGAAATACCTTGGAAAAGTGCCCTCAATGTGTTTCTCTTCTGCTTCATGTGTTTCCTGCTACCCCTAAATTGCCTGAAAAACTGTCCTGGAATCCACTACGGCGTTTTCTACTTCCTTGAGGCCTGGGAGGAATGACAGTCGGCTCTAGAGAGGCTTATGTGTGATGCTTAGCCAGTTTGTGGTTAGCACCCACTTGTCAGGTTAATTGACAGCAGACACAGTGTGGAAACTTCAGCACCCCGCCCTTCCTACTTCCTCAAGTTCATTGTGCCCTTGAAACCAGCTCCAGAGGCACCAAGTGTGCACCCCACCCCTCCCACCTGCCACATTATTGACAACAAGGAAATGGCTCCAGAGACTCCGCACTTGGCCCCTTCTGCCTCCTATTGGGCTAGGTTAGGTTAGTTAACTACAGGAAAACATTGGGCTCCCATAACTCCCTTCCTGCCTCCCACACATGGAAACGCTGCTCTGTACAACTCTCAATCTGACTGGAGGATGACAGCTTAAAAACAGCTGACTTCTGCAGGACGGTGCAGTGGCCCCTGGAGTGTAGCAGAAGCTGCTGTCACCAAGCTTAGGCACAAAGGCTCCTCCTAACATGTTACACTTGGATCCAGTCATCTCTCTCTTGTACTCTGCAGCATACGAAGTGAGAGGAAAATCTAGTCACTAAAAATGGTCCTGGGTTAGAAGGCAGGTGTACTGCCTGAGTGCAAAGACGTGCAGCCACCTGTCCACTATCAGAAAGCCAGGTCTCAGGACCATTTCAGCCTTCTGCTAACACAGACCCCAGGAAGCAGTAGTGATGAGTCCAGTGGCTGGGTTCCTGTCACCCATGAGGCACAATAGGTTCTGGCTTTGGTTTTTGCAGCATTTGGGGAATAAAAAATAACCCCCTACCAGGCCCTGTACTTGCAAGTACACACAAGAATCTGGTCTGGGATCACCTCAGACAAAGTTTTTTTTTGGGATCTCCCCAATCAAACTGCCAGACTCAGAACCCATGGTCTGCCATGGAGTGCAAGTGCCAGAGCAGATCCTCCTCAAAGGCTCAGATGAAGCAGTGGAGAGCATAACCAGGTGCACATGGAGGATATGGCAGTCTATCGGAACCTGCAGAGGATACCTGGCATCACAATAGAGGACAGAACAAATCAATCAACTACCCCAGCCATATGCTGGCAGTGAAAAACTGGGCAAATGGAGGCTCTAAGGTGGACTATGTCAATCAGTGGATTCTGCAGCGACCTCATTGTTCTTGGAATGGTGAGACTGGCAGCAATTCAAAAATATTGAACTATCAAAACCACTTGAGCAAGATCCTCGGAGCATGCCCCACATGAGGGACCTGGGATGGGTGGGGCTTCTTCCTTTACCTCCCCCTTTATCCCAGATACAGGAAAAAAAAAAAAAACAATGTGGAAATAATAGTCTTACCCACTTTCCTGAAGCCCTTGAACCTTTTTGCCCTAATTAACTATGTAAACATTGCCAAAAATAAAGAAAAAAAAATGGAAAAAAAAGAAAAATAACCTCCTGTGTATCATAAAAAATAGCACAAATTGAAATAATTATAAAAGAGGTGGGTACTGTGGTGCCATGTGTTAAGCCATTCTTGGGATATCAACACCCTCTATTAGAATGCCTGAGCGGAGTCCTCCCTCCCACATGGGGGTCCCAGATGGAGCAGCTGGCCTGGCTTCGGGTAGACATAGCCAATCTGTTCATTTGGGAGATGAGCCAGTGACTGGAAGATCTCTCTCCCTCTCCCCCTTTAAAATAAAATGGAAAAATTTTAAAAAAGATTTATTTTTATTGGAAAGTCAGATAATACAGAGGATAGAAAGGGAAAGAGCTTCCATCTGCTGGTTCACTCCCCAAGTGGCCGCAAGCTGAGCTGATCCGAAGCCAGGAGTCAGGAGTTCCTTCTGGGTCTCCCACATGGATGGCTTTGGGCCATCCTTGACTGCTTTTCCAGGCCACAAGCAAGGAGCTGGATGGGAAGTGGAGCAGCCAGAACACAAGCCAGCACCTATATGGGATGTGGCACGTTCAAGGCTAGAATTCAGCCACTAAGTCATCACGCCAGGCCAATAATATATTTTTTTAATGCTTTAAAAAAGATTTAGTCTCCAGAATTACCTTTTTCAGGGATCCATGTCAGATTCCTGACTTAGGTATTTTCTAGGTTCTCTGGGATTAAATCAGCTTTTGGTTACATTACGCAAGCACTATACTGTGATTCACGCGTGCAAGACTCTCTCCAGCAGTGTGTCAGAGGAAGGGCGCTTACCCGTATTCTGGAATCAGGACAAAGTTGCCTCCGCTGACCCTGTTGGCCAATGGGCGAATCAATGGGCCAGACTCACAGGTGGAATCAAAATCGAGAGAAAAACTACACTTCCCGTGATGCCTCGAGACTCCGGTTCCCTCCAACCCCGCGTCGCCTTCGTTAACGCCTCTTCCTCACGGAAGTGAAAGGAGCACTTCTGGGTTCGGCCTTCGCCGGGAGCCGGCCTTGTGTGAGGGCTGCCCCTTAGGGCCACACTCGGAAGCTCCGCCTTCCCGTCGGTTTTTCTGGAAAGCCGTCGGTGCTCGCGTCCGTGAGGGCCGGTGTTTCACGGCAGCTGCGGCGTGTCCTCGGAGCCTTGTGCTGCCCCGGCCCGGCGAGACCCTCTTCGCGCTCGCAGGTCGGGCAGGGCGGCTAGGAAGCCGGCGAGCCGGGGTCGGAGCCCGGCTGCCGGCGTTTCGGCCCTTTCTGTCGTCCCCTTGGGCGAGCCGGCGGCCCACCGCCATGGCCGACACGACCCCGAACGGCCCGCAAGGGGCGGGCGCCGTGGTGAGTGAGCGGGCCGTCGGGCTTGCTTTAGGGTTAGGAAGGCGAGCCGGGAGCTCGCGGGCGTTCGGAAGATCGGGGGTGGGTGGGCGTGGAGAGGCCGAGGGACAGCGCCGAGCCCCCGCTGGCTCGCCCGCAGCTGGTGCCCCTCGGCTCCAAGTCGCGGAGACGAGGCCCTTCCCGCCCTCCGATCGGCCCCGGGGGCCCAAGGGTGACCGAGGTCGTGCGGGGACGCCCACGCCTCGTGGTGCGCACCCCGGAGCCGCCCGAGCGCGTGTCGGCCCGCTTTGTGCCCATTCTATGGAAATTCTTAGGCCAAGACCCTAGAGCCGACCCTTCTCCCCCTCTTGGTGCATTTTGTCCTACGCTGCTTCTGAAGCAGGAATGCCCTTTACGCTTTTGGAAATGATCCTTTTAAACGTTTAGACTGCTGATCTGCAGCTTATTCGTTTATTGTCCCGGAGGCACTCTGTACGCTACTGTTTTATACAGGGGGCTACGGAAGGGAGCCAGCCAGGTCGCCCACGTGGGGGACAGGCACCCACCTTGAGCTGTCACCAGCAACCGCCAGGCCTGGGGGTTGAACCCTGGCGCTGAGATGTAGCGTGTGGAGGTCATAACGGCTCGGCTAAGCCCCTGCCCACTCTAGATATTAAACCCTGTGGGCTTATGATTTGGGCAGGTCACTTTTTCCTTTTTTTTTTTTTTTGAAAGTTTTTGTGCCATCTCACTATACACACTTTTTCATTCTGAGAGTTAGTCTCTGTGGTTAACCCACACGGAGGTGCAGTTACACAAGATATCACGTGTTTGTACATGTATTGTACCAGCCGAACAGAATTCTCTAGTCGTCCTTGGAAATGGCCTCCTCCTCCTGGGTTTGTAGTGGTGTCTGCTGGCTCTACCTTAGTGCATAGAGCAGCTCCCCTGTCCACCTCCTCCCTTTATTTGTATGTTTGTTTGTTTTGTCTTTCAAGACACTGATAGGGAGGAGTGACTCAAATGTCAGCCCCAAAGATTGATGAGACCCCCGCCTCCCCTACACGACATTTTAGACCTGCCTCTCAACCCTGATTTATACTTTCTTTTTTAAGACTTCTTCTTCTTCTTTTTTTTTTTTAATTTGAAAGCCAGGTTTACAGAGAGAAGGAGAGACAAAGATCTTCCATCTGCTGCTTCACTCCCCAAGTGGCCGCAAGCTCTAGGCTGAGCTGATCCGAAGCCAGGAGCCAGGCAGGAACTTTTTCTGGGTCTCCCACACAGGTGCAGGGTCCCAAGGTTTTGGGCTGTCCCCCACTGCTTTCCCAGGCCACAAGCAGGAAGCTGGATGGGAAGTGGAGCTGCCGGGACATGAACCTGCGTCCATATGGGATCCGGGCATGCAAGGCTAGGACTTTAGCCATTAGGCTATCGCACGGGGCCCCTGGTTTATACTTTTGAAAGTGAATAAAGTATTCAAGTCAGAAATGTCAATGAATCTTCAACAAAAGACTTTTGAGCAAAAATACTTAGTCTTAGGGGCTGGCACAGTGGCTTAACTGGCTAATCTCCACCCCATAAGCAGCATCCAAATGAGCGCTGGTTCTCGTCCCGGCTGCTTCAGTTCCCATTTAGCTCCTTGCTTGTGGTTTGGCATGGCAGCGGAGGATGGCTCAAGGCCTTGGGACTCCGGACCCAGGTGGGAGACCCAGAAGCTCCTGACTATTCCACTTCTGATCCGGCTCTCTGGCTATTGCCTGGCAAAGCAGCAGAGGATGGTCCCAAGCCCTTAGAACCCTGCGTCCATGCGGGAGACCAGAAGTAGTTCCTGGATCCCAGCTTTGAATCAGCTCAGCTCTGACTGTTGCATTCATTTAGGGATTAAACCAATGGGAGAAAACCTCTGTCTCCTCTTGGTAAAATCTGCCTTTCATTTAGAATTAAATCTTTTTTTTTTAAGTATAAAATAAAGCAATACGTTTTGTTTATTTGGAAGGTTCGGTTTCAGAGAGCGCTTCCGTTGATCTCAGTGGCTGGCCTGGGCTGGAGCCAGAGTCAGGAGCTTTTTCCTAAAAATAATGTTTAAAAGATTTGTTTATTTGAAAGGCAAAGCAAAGGAGAAAGGTCTAACATCTGTTTGTTCAGTTCCCAAAAAGACTGAACAACTAACTCTAGCCCCTAAACATTTTAAAGAGAATGTTCTAAAATTAAATTTCAGACGAAAGAGAATATTTGTAGAGAAATGGAACATTTTAAGAGTTACAGTATGTCATGCCTCAAAGCATAAGTCAGGTTATTTCTGATATTATATGGCATGTGATTAAAAAGACATACATTAAGACAAACTTGAATTTTAGGGGCATGGTGTTGTGGGGCAAGTGGTTTAAGCCACTACTTGCAGAACTGGCATCCAAGTCTGTTCCACTTTACTTCATCTCTCTGTAACGGACCTGGGAAAGTAGTAGAAGGTGGCCCAAGTGTGTTGGGTCCTTGCTGCTTACGGAGGAGACCTATGTTGTGTGGACTTTGGTTATATTCTAGCTCGTATGGTTGTTTGAATTGGAGCTGGATGTTAAAACGACTTATTACATTGTGGTAAACAAAGTGTAGCCACCCCTCCACCTTTTTAAAAAATTTGTGTACTTGATGTATTTTAGTGCTGGAACAGATTTTTATATTCTTGCCCTGATGGTAACGAACTGTGTATTGGGAAAAAAAAAAATAGCAAAGGAAAAGATAAGATGAAGGGAAAAAAGAGATGAAAATTATATTGTGGGAATTTAGTCTAGTACTATTGAACCAAGAGTAAAACTTAGGGGGAGCTTTTAGGGGAACGGTGCCATGGGACGGCTGACAGCCGTGCTCTGCACCTGCTCTGAGCCCAGGTCCTGCATATGCAGGCACGTTGACCGCAGGCTGGATTCAGCAGTGACGCTAGTATTTTTTCTTGGAAAGGTTTGTTTGGTCCAAACTGTTCCTTCAGTGCCCTCTTGTTCTGCTCTGAGACCCTACGTATTTGGATTTGTGATTTTTCTAAAAGTAGGCATTATGGCTCTCTTGAGAGCAATTAATTTTATTTGACACTGTTTTAAAACAGATGAAGACTATATTCCACATGTTGAAAGAGCACAAGACAATCAGCTGAATTTCCATTCAGGACTTTTTTCCCTAGTGAATTTTTGTTTTTAAAATGTCAGCCGGGCCCGGCGCGGTGGCGCAAGTGGTTAAAGGTCCTCGCCTTGCACGCCCGGGATCCCATATGGGCGCCGGTTCTGGTCCCGGCAGCCCCGCTTCCCTTCCAGCTCCCTGCCTGTGGCCTGGGAAAGCAGTCGAGGATGGCCCAAGGCTTTGGGACCTGCACCCGCGTGGGAGACCCGGAAGAGGCTCCTGGCTTCGGATCGGCATAGTATCGGCCCGTTGCGCTCACTTGGGGAGTGAATCATCGGGCGGAAGATCTTCCTCTCTGTCTCTCCTCTCTGTATATCCGCCTTTCCAATGAAAAAATAATAAAAATAAATCTTTAAAAAAAAAAAAAATGTCAGCCAATAATTTTCTATTTCTGCTAATTTAAATACTTCTGTTCCTTCCACATCAGAATTTAAGGTGTTTGGACTTGCCATCGGGCAGATAGTGAAACAATTCCTTGTGTTTTCAACTGGTGATTTGAAAAAAAGTGTCCTGAAGTTATGAAATCACTTAGAATAGGAATGAGGCTACATAATCTTCATTCCTAACATAATGTATACTGTAATATTTTTCTTTTTAAATGTAGCAATTCATGATGACCAATAAGCTGGACACTGCCATGTGGCTTTCTCGCTTGTTCACAGTGTACTGCTCTGCGTTGTTTGTTCTGCCACTTCTTGGGTATGTATTGTGCATATTTCTGCCTTTGACATTGAACTGTCTTTCAGGTGTAAGAATTGTTTAAAAAAAAAAAAAACCTGTAAAGTGATTTAGGGGCAAATCCCCTTATACCAAGCTAGAAACACCAGTTGGAGGAATAATTTACATTTCATGATTTCTGAAACGAGCATTGCATTGAACATCTAAAGAGAATGGATATGTGGGGTGGAAATGAATTTTTGGCTTCTTTTAACCTGACAAGAAGAGCTGCTGCTTTATGTCTGTAAGGGGATACTGCTGAGAGGATAGAGTTGTAATGTATTTGTACTGACAATTAAATGATTTAGGTGTTGTGCAATCATGATGCAATTCACAGAGGAGGAAGAGAAGTGATTGCTGTGTGTGTCTCCTGACACCCTCTCTGGTAATTTGCAGGTTGCATGAAGCAGCCAGCTTTTACCAGCGGGCTCTGCTGGCCAACGCACTCACCAGCGCTCTGAGGCTGCACCAGCGGCTGCCGCACTTCCAGCTCAGCCGAGCGTTCCTGGCCCAGGCCTTGTTGGAGGACAGCTGCCACTACCTGTTATATTCCCTCATCTTTGTCAACTCCTACCCGGTCACAAGTATCCTTTTCTGCTGCTTTTACAGTGGAGTTGTCAGCTAAGCAACAGGAAGGACTCAACAGTGAGGGCGTTCCATAATGCTTATATATTGCCTTTTGGTATTTCATTTGAAAGAAGATAATGTTTAGTGTAAGAATTTCAGAATTTTTTCTTAATACTAAGTTTTTTCTTTTGTTTTAAGATTATTTCAGTTGAACGTCAGAATTACAGAAAGAGAGAGGGAGAGACAAAGAACTAGATCCTCCATCTGCTGGTTTATTCCTCTGGATCTCTCGTGGGCCTTGGGCCATCCTGCTGTTCTCCCAGGGTATCGGCGAAGAGCAGTGAGAAGCCAGCATGCGGACTGGCACACATAGAGGAAATGGGTGCTGCAGGTGGAGCGTTGGCTGCTAAACCACTTTGCTGACCCCCGAATTTCTTTTAAAATGCGAAATCTAGACTTGGAAGACTTGTTTGGGGAATTTTTAACTTTTATTCTTGTCTCTTAAGCTTCTGTATTAGCAATGGATATTTTAAACTCAGATTCAAAGCACAAGCCTATGTATAAATTACTTTAGTATTTAATATTTTGATTTAACTTATTCATATCTTTGAGAAAATGCCCAGTTGTCTCTGGCTTTAAAAAAGTTCCTCAGCTCTTTCCTAATTCTCAGTGAGCTAGGAACAAATGGAAATTAATAAAGTAAATTTTTTATTGGAAAGTCAAAAAGGAAGATCATCTGTCAATTGTTCACTCCCCAAGCAACCATAACAGCTGGAACCATACTGATCCGAAACCAGGAGCCCGGAGCCTCTTCCGGGTCTCCCACCTGGGTGCAGGGTCCCATGGCTTTGGGCCATGCTTGACTGCTTTCCCAGGCCACATACAGAGAGCTGGATGGGAAACAGGGCCACCAGGATTAGAGCTGATGCAAAGCCAGGAGGAACCAGGAGCTCCCTGCGGATCTTCCATGTGGGTGCAGGTTCCCAAGATTTGGGTCATTCTCTACTGCTTTCCCAGGCCATAATAGCTGGATGGGAACTGTTGCCCATATGGGATGCAGCACTTGAAGGTGGAGGATTAGTCAGTAGAGCCAACATGCTGTCCCTGAAAAAGAATTTTTTAAAGCTAATTTTTATGAAAACAGTTGCACATTTTTTAAAATGAATTAGTTTACTTCTGTCTTTATAGATTACAAAACTTTATTTGATGTAAAATATACATAAGTAACACAAAAGCTATTGCACTGAACTCACTAATGTTTCACATCTGTGTATTTGGACATAATGCAAAGCCTACTTGACCAAGTTCCTGATGACGTTTGAATGTTGTCCTTAATTGTTTTCTACAGTGAGTATTTTCCCAGTCCTGTTGTTCTCTTTGCTTCATGCAGCCACATACACGAGAAAGGTCCTTGATGTAAGTACAGTGATGCTGCTCCTTTGACTTCTGGGTTAGGGTTGATATGACTGAGTTCTGAGTCATTGGTCATGCAGAGACTTCCCTACAAACTTGTTATAAACTATTTGTGATTTCAAAGTTCAAAAGTTTTGGCAGTTCTTATTGTTGAAGTTTCACAAAGTAGTGCATTGTGTAGATGAAGGATACCTCAGACTTACCCCTAGTTCTTGGAGGAATGCTTGAAGTTTGAAATAAATCTCTTACGGTTTTTGAGCAGCATGTGTCCTTCCAGTTTGGTGAGCTGGCAGGGATGTTTTGTTGTGGTGGTGTTTAGCATGCCGGCTAAGTGCAGTGTGGCGACTCACGCTGGTGGCAGACCACTGCTCTCAAGTGCTTGCTCGGGACATTAAGGCTGACTTCTTGTGCCAGATGACTTACTGCAGGAATTGCAGTTTCCAAATTTATTTGTATTGGTCTTTTTCTTTAATTCCTGGGCCACAACAATCATTGAATCTATTCTTGATTTGTTTTTAAATTTTTATTTATTCATTTAAGAGACAGAGAGACAGGCACAGAGCCACGTAGCGCTCCAGTTGACTGGCTCACTCCCGCGAAGGCCCAAGCTGGGAGCTATCACTAAAGCCGTCACTGCTGGCTGCTCCCCAGGATTTATGTTGGCAGAAAGTGAGTAACTGCTCTCTAGTGTTGGTTAGCTGGAGCCGCAGATATTTATAATTTTGGTTACTGAATAGTCAAAATTTTGTTTTTATTGGAGAGAGTAATTACCATTTTGGCTGAAGTCATCTGATGTCTCAAGAAAAACGAGCATCTAAGAATGCCAATATTTTTACTAAACTCAGGTATTTTTTTAAACTTCTTAAAAACACAAACTAAAGCAGGAAAATTTGTCCTTAAGTTATTTGTGAACTTACATACAATCATCGTCAGATAACTGGTTGTTAGTTGTGTTAGTTCTACAACCTTTAATCTTGAGAAATACAATGCAGTTGGTCCCCATGTTTGATTTCCATATCCATGGGTTTAACCAACCATCTAGGAAGGTATTAGAGAGAAAATTGGCCTAAAACATGGTCAGACTTTCTTGCTATTATTTCCTAAACAGTAACAGTTTAACAGCAATTTATATGGCAGTTACAGTGTGTTAAGAACTGTAAGTAATCTAGGTTTGATTAAAAATATATGTGAATATGTGCATAGATTTAGATGTGTATAGATTATATTGTGCCTTGTTGATGTAACAAAGTTGAATATTTGCATTTTGTTATTGGGGATTCCTGAAACCAGTCCCTCACAGATACTAGGGGACAATTATAGCTATTAAAAATGCTTTGTTTATAATATTTATTTCTTTTGTTTTAGGCAAAGGGCTCTAACAGTTTACCTCTGCTGAGATCTGTCTTGGATAAATTAAGTGCTAATCAACAAAATATTCTGAAATTCATTGCTTGTAATGAAATTTTCTTGATGCCTGCTACAGTATTTATGCTTTTCAGGTAAGAATAACAATATATTTGTTCCAGAAAAATGATGGCTTACTAAGAATAACTAAAAATTTAACTACTGGGCCATTGTTGTGGCATAGTGAGATAAGCTTCCGTTTGAGGCCTGGATATTTGGCTTCACATCCAGCTTCCTGTTAGTGCATCCAGGAAGAACGCGGAAGGCGGCCTACGTGCTCAGGAGGCCGGGGGCAGGGGCTCTTGGCTTGGACCTGGTTCCGCCCTGACGACTGCAGCCAGTTGGGGAACAGATGGAAGAAACCTGTCTGTTGTTTGTCTCTCTCTTCATAGCTCTGCCTGTGACATATATCAACTCCGAATTTCTCCTGCTTAGAGTGGGTAAGGTGTCTGCATGTAGAGCTCGATCATCTTGGCAGTCACCTAGTCCTTTTCTCTTTATAGTAGACATTCTATTTACTGAGCCATTGTAAGAAACTTAGGAATGTATACTATTTCTTCTGATATAGTATTTAACATTTTCAAAATTAATTTCAGAATTCCTGCTACCTTTGAAAGAATTTTGAGAAGTCTAGCTTAGCCTTTTCTGCCATTCTTACCCTTACACTAGAAAAAAAAAAATTACAGTCTTGTCATTAAGCTCCCTACCATTGCCTTCTTGTGTCTTACTTGCAGAAGTAGTACATGACTAAGGAAAACCTGCCTTTTAGAAGCTGAAACATTCGTCTGGTCTTGTTCCTCTTGGATAGTCTCGCATTTAAGTTCAGAGTCAGTGTACATTTGTGCATAGTTGGTTGCTGGATGAATATCCAGTCTTACAAGGACATTACAGATAAGGGCTAAAATATGTAGTAAACACCTTCTTACCTACACTTACATGCCAGTATTTTCTTAAGATATCAACTAATTTGCTATGTGTGTGATATGTTTTGTAGTTAGGTATTAGATCATGTCATATTGCCCTTTCAAATGTCTGTATTATCTGTTTTCCATAATTGTAATTTCTAATAAATATGACAATATGTTTTGTGATTTTTAATGTTCATTGTGTAAACTAGGCAACTTTTTTGTTTGTTTGAGAGGAGATGGAAAGGAGGTAGAGAGAAATGTCTTGTATTGTTGATTGACTCTCCACTTGGCCACAGTAGCTAGTGCGAAGCCAGACTGAGCCAGGAGCTTGGAATTACAGCTGGGGCTCCTGTGGCACATCAGCAGGAAATTGGGATCTGCATAGCTGGGACACTCTGATAGGGCTGTGGGTATTCCAGGTGGTGTCTTAACCCACTGGGCCCCAGCACCTGCCCCTAGGGAGGTTTTTATGGACCTTCTAGTTATTCCCTTTCTTTTTTTATTAAGATTTATTTTTATTTGAAAGGCAGATTTATGGAGAGAGAAAGAGATGAAGAGAGCGATCTTCCATCTGCTGGTTCATTTCCCAAAAGGCTGCAATGGTCAGAGCTGGGTCAGTCCAAAGCCGGGAGTCTAGAGCTTCCTTCCAGTCCCCTGCATTAGTGCAGGGGCCCAAGGATGCAGGCCATCCTCCACTGCTTTCCCGGGCACATTAGCAGGGAGCTGGATTGGAAGTTGAGCAATTGGCAGCTGAACTAGTGCCCAGTGGGATGCCAGCACTACATGTGGTACTTCTGCACCATGAAGCTGGCCCTAACTCCTTTTTTTAGTGGTCTCTTTCCCAGCATAGGGCAGAGTTTATAGATATTATTAGTAATTCAGAGCAGATCTGAAGCAAGGAGCTAGGAGCTTCTTTCAGGTCTCCCAAGCAGGTACAGGTCCCAGGGCTTTGGGCCGTCCTGGACTGCTTGCCCAGGCCACAAGCAGGGAGCTGGATGGGAAGTAGGGCAGCCAAGACGAACTGGCGCCCATATGGGATCCTGGCATATGCAAAATGAGGACTTCAGCCACTAGGCTACTGTGCTGGTCCCAAAACAAGTCCTTGTAAAGGTAATGGAAGGTAAAAATTTGTTACAATATGTGGCTTGTCTTTCGATTCCTTAACAATATCTTTTAAAGGAAAAAGATGAACTTCAATACACTTTTTATCATTAAAAAACAAATACATCTGTTTTATTTAATTGACAAAAATTAATTTGAGAGACAGAGAGCCATTATCTCTCTTAATTGACCTCAGAAATACCCACAGCAGCCCTCGCTGGGCTGTTGGCTCAGAAACAGGGGCAGGCATCTGGCATGAGTGTTAAAGCAGTGAGTCCCATAACAAAGCACCTGGGTTCGCAACCCACGTAGGAAATCTGCTTCAGCCTTCTCACTAGTGCAGACACTGCATAACGGTAGTGATGGCTCAAGTGATTGAGTTTCTGCCGCCCGTGTGGAAAGCCTGGATGAACCTTCTGGCTTTGGCATCAGTCTTAACCCAGCCGTAACTGTGGACATTTGGGGAGTGAGTCGGCTGATGCAAACTATTTCTCTCTGTGTGTCTGAATCTCTGTGTCCCTACCTCTCACAGTACAAAATTAAAATAATAATAAACACCGTGGTATTAATTAAAATAAATAGATGTCTAAAATCCTTCCATGTGCAACATTCCCTGAATGCTGAATACAGGCTTTGGTTAAGCAGTATTTTTAAATTGTTCAACTAAACTTTCACTGTAATGTTGAATAAAAGTCTTCTTTTTTCCTAGAAGGTAAAGGCAAATAAAAAGAAAGGGTAATTTGTGGTGAGGGGCAAAAAAGGATAATACAAAAACTCCAGGGTATCTCCAAGATTTTAGGTTTCAGTTTTTCATTTCCCTGTCTTGTAATTCTTACCACTTACACACTAATTAGTAAAAGGAACTTTTTGTTGTCCAGTGCTATTGTTTTCTTTTTCTTGGGTGACACCAAGTTCTGAAATTTGTCTCTAGTTAACTGGGTGAAAGTTAAAATATTTACCAAAACTAATTTTTTGTATCAGTTGATGCTCACATTCTGAGACTTGCAGCTTCTACTCAGTGTACCTTGGGCTCCTTTTGGTCATCTGGCAGTCAGGAACAGAGGTACTTGTACGCTGAGCTAGCTGCAGGGACGCTGACTCCATTGGTATTGACTCCATTGTGCTCTTGGGATGTTTTATTGGAACGTTAGGGATGTACAAACTTATCTTAATTTTAAACATTATTGTAAAGGAGATGAGAATTTACCAGAAATATTTAAATAGATGATTTAGTTTTGAAAATCAAGTCATACTTCATTGTTATTAGGAAAAGCTATTAATGCTTTAATCTATGACTTGAATATAACTCAGGTTATAGAATTAAAAGCAATGTGAATTCATTAGTAGTCTTCATTATGAGTCCCACCCTTCATGGTAGACACATAGTCTAATATCAGCCGGCTTTATTAAGTTATATTTGCTCTGTGTTTGAAAATGAGCACACAGTCGATTAGTTTATCTTCCACAAACATGCACTTGTGTGCAAAGACAGATAGAAGGATAATCATTGATGCTTTATTTGTAATTGTATGCTGGAGCCATCCTAAATATTCATTAGTAGGGAGCTTATTGCATAATGATAGAGACATAAGATGGATTACTTGAAGGTGGGGAAGGAGTGCAATTGTTTATGTGTTATGGTATGGGACAGCCTCCAAGAGAACAGGTCAGTTGGCTGACAACACTAGGTTTTTCTCATTTATAATTCGGAGTATGTATGTACAGCTGTGTATGTTTCTTTTTGTGTCAGTTTCATGGGTATGATAAATAATAATACCTCCCTCCTATGTGTGTTAAACGGATTCAGTGAATTATAAAGTGAACAAAGTTAATGGTTACATATATTTGTGTACATGTGTTTCTAGGGAAAAAGAATATCTTAACAAGTTGTGTTGTAACTGAGGAAGGAGCTAAACTGAATGCTTGGAAACTTGTTTCCCAGTGAATTTTTTTTTCTGTTTTTTGCATTAAGTGTTAACATTTACAATTTTAAAAGAAAATCTCAGGTTATTTTTTTCAGAGAAAATTAATGTGACATTTAGCTTAGTGTTAATTTATAATTGTTTAAATGATTTTTGTTGTCATAGTAATATGCAATTTAGGAAAAAAGACTGAGAAGTCATGTTTAGCATCTGAATGTCTTCCATAGTAAGTGTAAAATACATAATACGTTACAGTAGACATAGTTTTATATTCTGCTCTGTGGCTTTCACAATCAAGATTTTAACTAACTGAATACTAAGTCCACTAACTAGATAAAATTGCTTAGTCTTGTCACCTTGCTGTCCACATTATTTTCAGTTACTCAATATTTCTGTCAGTCCTGGTAGTTTTCTTAGGTAAATTTTTTTTTAAGATTTATATATTTTTATTGGAAAGGCGGATCAGATTTATGGAGAGAAAGACAGAAAGATTTTTCTTATGTTGGTTCACTCCCCAAATGGCTGTAGTGGCCAGAGCTGAGTCAGTTTGGAGCCTGGAGTTTCTTCTAGGTCTCCCACATGGGTGCAGGGTCCCAAGGCCACAAACAGGGAGCTGGATGGGAAGTGGCACAGCCTGGACATGCACTGGGTCCTAGATAAGCATTTGTAATTGAAATTTCATAAACTTCGGCTCAGCGCAATAGCCTAGTAACTAAAGTCCTTGCCTTAAACGTGGGCGCCGGGTCTAATCCTGGTGGCCCCACTTCCCATCTAGCTCCCTGCTTGTGGCCTGAGAAAGCAGTCAAGGATAGGCCAAAGCCTTGGGACCCTGTGCCCACGTGGGAGACCTGGAACAGACTCTGGGCTCCTGGTTTTGGATTGGCCCAGCTCCAGCCATTGTGGCTGCTTTGGGAGTGAATCATCGGACTCAAGATCTTCCTCTGTCTCTCCTCTCTGTTTAATCTGACTTTCCAATAACAATAAAGCTTGTAAAAGTAATTTTTTTTAAAAAAAGAAATTTCATTAACTTAATACTTGTATGTCCTCTTGGAGTATTATAATTGAGCTTTATAACTAAGAATACTAATTAGTACGGACTAGATAGGTTTACTAGTGAGCCAGTTTAGTTAAAATAAGCCGTTTATATTCATTTTAGGGTCTGATTTTATATTTGAAAAGCAGAGTTAACAGAGAGAGAGGGAGAGATCTTCTTTGTGCTGATTCACTCCTCAGATAACAACGGTGGCTGGGGCCTCGCCAGGCTGAAGGCAGGAGCTGGAATTTCAGCAGTCTCCTATTTGCGTGACAGGGGCCTAGGTGCTTGGGTCGTCTTCCAAGGCTTCCTGGGGGTGTGGGAAGGAGCTCGATTGGAGTGGAACCCGGAAACTCAAAACTTCTGCTCACATGGGGTGTTGGCATAACTGCTGTGGCGTGATGCCACCCCGCAACTCCCCACCCTCGTATCAGTTGTGATTGCAGAAGTGTTTGTGTAATATCTTATGATTTTATAAGTCATACAGAACATAACTCTTGAGATGGAAACAATAATTTTTTAGTTAACAGTTGTTTTGTTTTAAGAATTTGGGTATAGGGCCTGGCGGCGTGGCCTAGTGGTTAAAGTCCTCGCCATGAACGCGCCAGGATCCTATATGGGCGCTGGTTCTAATCCCAGTAGCTCCACTTCCCATCCAGCTCTCTGCTTGTGGCCTGGGAAAGCAGTGAGGATGGCTCAAAGCCTTGGGACCCTGCACCTATGTGGGAGACCTGGAGGAGATTCCTGGCTCCTGGCTTCAGATCAATGCAGCACGGGCCATTGTGGTCACTTGGGGAGTGAATCATTGGATGGAGGATCTTCCCCTGTCTCTCCTCTGTATATCTGACTTTGCAATAAGAGTAAATAAAAGTCTTTTTAAAAAAAGAATTTGGGTATAGATATGATAGACATTGCTGTCTATTTGATGAATGAAAAAGACATCTTCTGTTTGAATTGCTTTAAGTTCTGAAATTATGCATATGAATTGGTAGTGTATACTTACACCCTGTATTTATTTATTTCAGTGGTCAAGGAAGTTTGCTTCAACCTTTTATATATTATAGATTTCTTACTCTACGATACTCCTCTAGAAGAAATCCATATTGTCGGTAAGTTGAGAAATAAATGAGTCAGTTAAGTAAGTAAGTTTAAATCTGTTTTGTTTGTTAAAAATGTTGTGAAAATACAGTGTCTGTAAGTCTTAGGAATTGAGCTAGCGTATTGGAATTTAGAAATTGGCAGTGTTTTCCTTTTAGGCCTGTTACGACTGAGGTAGTAAGAAGGTAATTATACACGGTCCTCCTCTTAGGAAGGGGTTCTATCCTGATAAACCTTGATGGGGTGAAGATCTCCCAAATAGGAGTGTGCCTCCCCTCGGGAATGTCAGTGCTTTCCACCACTGTCCACTGTGGGTTTGTTTATCCTTTAGGATGCCGTCACTGACCCCTGCAGCCTGCTGCTGCCCAGTGCCGCCCGAGAGCCACACAGCAGTCTACTAGCCCAGGGACAGTAAAAGACTAAACCTCAAGCACAGTTCATATTGAATGTGTTTTGCTTCATACCATTATGAAGTCTGAAAATCTGAAGCCATCATACATTGAATTCATTGGCAACTGGGGCTGACGTTAACCTGATGACCTTTGAAGCAGTGCCCATGCCGAAGGAGCTTAAAGATGTCTGGCAGAGTGATGTAACTGGGAGGATTGGCTCGAGTGAGCGCACTCCGTGCTGCCTCACTGACTGTGTGACACCGGGAGAGGCACGCTGAGTGAGAGCGTGTCCATTCAAGGAAGCAGTGCTTGGACTGCTCTCATCATGTGATTTTTCTTTCTCTTCAGGATAGTTGAATTTGCCCAAGAAAAGGTAACTTCTGTAAAGAAGAAAATATAAATAATCCTTAGAGCAAGCAATTTATTAAACACTTTTGTTGAATAAACTTTCTATCCCAAAAAACCACAAGTGTTGATTTTGAGAATTTCCTTACATGCATTTTTGTACCTTCTGGGTCAGCAGTGCATCCAAGTTAAACATCTTCAGATTCTTTAATGTCTGCAGTAAATTCTCTTGTCAACATTTGCTTAGTGTTGTATTGTTTTTGCCTTGTGTTTCTAAAAGAAAACCATTTTGTTTTGCAGCATCTTGTTTAATGAACTGAGGATTGTTGTGGAACACATAATAATGAAACCTGCTTGCCCGCTGTTTGTGCGAAGACTTTGTCTACAGAGCATTGCCTTCATAAGCAGACTGGCGCCAACAGTTGCGTAGTTTTATATATAAAATATATAAGCATTATTAGCTGCTGGTACTTCTAGGGGTTGTAAATTCCAGGTGTGGCACTGACCTCGATCTAATTTACATAATTTACATGAATGCATCTCAGTGGAAAATAATCGTTTTCCTGGCATGTTAAGTCAAGCCTTTTTAAATTTTTCTGAGAAAAATTTGCTGTGCTATGTAGCTCATGGCTAAGGAAGTTTGTACTAAATTTTTTAGATGCTGCTGTCCCTGAATCATGAAGTACATTTACTTCTGTTGTAAAATAGCTTTAAGGTTTGTTGCAAGTTAATTAGTAACCTGAGTTTATATCTGGCATGGAATCATTATGGTAATATGTAAACATGAGAATTTAGTGTACTTTGAGACAGTATTCTTTTGCCATTTAGTAATTTTTGTTGGTGATTTATAGAAACACTTCCTACCTACTGTATGTAATTCCAAATTGTTACTGATTTGTGGGGCTGCTTTACCAGGATATACCATTTTAAGTATCTGATGCTAGAACCTTCTAAAATTTCATCTCCATAAGGACTTCTCCGGTTTCTAACATCTAAAAAAATGAAAAGGCTCAATTGTAAGCCTGTTAGCCAACTAGGTAAATAAGTGGGGTCAGCTAACCACTTTATATCAGCAGGCAGTAGTGACACAGCTTTCAGGAGCTCCTTGAGTAAAGCTTTCAAATAAGAAATCCTTTACAAATGTGGACACATAAGTTATTATAGTTTGTACAATTACCTAGTTCATTTTCTTGACTGCCAATTTTCTCCATTTCTTAGGCTTGAATTTTCCTAGACAAATGCAGAAGTTCAGATGCCTTTTCAAAGGAATGTAACTGAATATTGAGCATATATCTGTGTCTGTTCTGAAATAATAATGATGAGTATCCTACAGATTGCATACATATTTACTTACTAAATCTGATTTAACAGTAAATGAAAAGGTTTGTAGGTAAGCTGACTGGGAATGACGTGAGGTGGGGAGTGGTGGGTAACTAGTGTGCGTTTCAGTCTCAGTGCGTAGTGAAACTGAGGGGAATTAATGTATTATGCAGCTGTGATTTGTATAGTATGTTAAATGCTGTTTGAACTCCCATTAACTTCTTTATAAAATTTATTCTGATGCTTATTGCATGATTGGAAATGTATAGGATATTTTATAATTTTAATATAATGTGATGGGATTTGTAACCAGGTTGCTTCTACCTGCATGTAATTTGGATTTCTAAAATATATTCCTTAGTAATTTATCAGTAACATTAGTTTTTTGTTGCTGTTTTTCAACTTCCTAATCTGTGAAAAGGTGATATTCTTAGGATAGATTATGAGAAAGCTCTTGATAGCTTAACTGTAACCAACTATTTTTATATTTTTGTAATATCCACTAAATTGGAAAAGCAGCCCTATACAAATGTTGTGTGTGTGTGTGTGTGTGTAGCCTCATTATCACTAAATGTGTAATACTTTTAAAAACTAACCTTTCTAGAGCAATAAAATGATTATAATGTTAAGTAAACCTTGATTTATAATGTTTTTAAAAACTAAGTCTTGAATTACACATTTGACAGCTGAAAGGATATTTATTTTGAAGTTACTTTTCTCCCATTTTTTATCTTGAAATAATTTTACATTTGTCGAAGAGTTTTCAAAAATAGTAGAGTACCTATGTACCTTTTACTAAGCTTCCTCCTGTGTTAACACCTTCATAACCGAAGAACATTTATCCAAAGTACAAAATTAACCTTGAAACAATATTAGTAACTAAAGTAAAATATTTACTTGGTTTTTACCAGTTTTTCCAATTTTTTTTGTGTGTGTGTAGGTGTGTGCACTGATTTTTTTTTTTTTACCATGACCATCTTTTGCCTCTGTATTGAGTTTTTCTTCTTTATTTTCAGAATTAGTGTTGTTAAAAAAGATTTTCCTAAAGGAAATAGTTCATGCTGGTTTTAACAAAAAGATGTTTAACATTAAAACTATTACAGTTTCAAGCAGGGTTTAAATCAAGGCTTTTAATCACTAGCAGGATTATGTTTCTGATATGCTCATGCTTGAACAAAATGCAAATTTGTTCCTTAAAGGAAGGCTTACTTAATAAGTATAATGCGCTTAAATTTATGATAAAGTAAATTTTTTGGTAATTTGAACATATTTGATAATTAGTTTGCATGAACTTGTAGTTAGAAATTCTGCAGCATAATTATGTACAAGCAGCTAATTTAGCATCTGAAATTATAGTTTTAGGTGTACACCTGTCAAATTTAAATTAGGAAAATACAACAACAGTACATTACAAATGAGTGCCGTAGGAGAAGCTGTTTTGGATAAGTGGAGCCTCACACAGGATTTTTATTTATAGAGAACATCAAGGCAAGATAGCATTAAATTGGAAGTTGTAGAACGTTCATGGGGTTATTGGTAATTGAGCATTGCAAAGCTGACAGTGGTTCTTTTCTTCCCAAGAGCGGTTGCAACGATTCAGCTTAGGTTGGCTAAGTCTAAAACGTGAATATTATTTATCCTGAAAAAGAAATTGAGTACATATATTTAGCCCAGCAGAGATTTGGTTTTCAAAAGTGTTTCAGATCAGAATTAAGTGAAGTTAATTTTGAAGGATTTTTGCAAAGCCCCTGAAGTAATGCTAAGGGATTCAGTCCAGTTACTCTAGAACCTACCCGTATCCTATTCTTACAGTCTACTAGCTTCAAAGATGTCACCCAAAGTACACAGATTTGGGGCAGAAATGAAAACTTTCCGGAAATTAATCACAGTTACCTTTATCATCAGTAGGTGGCACTCTTTCCTCAAGGAGTCCTTCACACCCATCCCTTTTTTTTTTTGACATGCTATATTAGGTTAAAGGTCTCCAAATATATTGTCATAGAACTAAGAAGCCGAGTTTCATGAACCTTTTAAATGTGTAATCATTTAATATTGAACAATAATTAGTAGTTATTTACTGTGACTACATGTTTTAAAAACTGAAACATTGGAAAGGAATACCTTATCCAGTACTTATCCTGGAGTACTTTCCAGGAAAAGAGTCAGATTTAGACCACACAGTTGGGAGTCCATCACTCAGTTCATTGTGTACCTGGGTTTTTGTGTTTTATTTTAAGAGCCTAAATCACAACAAAATTATAAAATTGTTCTTTCTCTTTCATTTTTGCATGTGTGGAATCAGTAATATTTTCATCATTATGCAAATACATTGTATATACTAATTCAGTCTCTTAAAATTTACTTTTCACAATAACAGAAACACTAAACTTTTTGGATGTTGCACCAGCAGTGGTGTCTAGATTTGAATATTATTTGGGCTATAGACACAACTGATTTTTCTTAGCACTTCATGGGCATTCTCTAGCTTTAGAGTTCTTCAGAGACCAGATGATATATGCAGGCAGGCTTTCAACTTTGGTTTTTCCAGAGATTGTTTAAATGAGCAGTCCTCTTAATGCACCCAGGGCAGGAAGTTATTATTAGATCTGGGATTCAGAATAAGACAGGAATTACCAAAAGTTGGGAAGGTTTCCTAGAGATTATTCTAGGAAAGGTGTAGGCCGGTGGTGGTATTCAGGGGGCCCTTAACAAGGAGTGCAGTCCTAGTGGGGTGTTCCTTGTTATTTGCCTCCTCTTACACTGACTTGCCTTCAGTTGGAGGTCATGTGAGAAGAGATAAGATGCAGTATTTTTTGAATCTGCATCTTTTTCTCAGAAACTAACAGGAAAGTGCACATGGAGATCATTGTTAGAATATTGTTGTATTCTCAGAGAAGGAATGGTCCAAGAACAATGTACATTCCCCCCTAGCCTTCCAGTGCTACATGTTTTAGATATATAGGCTCAGCACTTTGAAACCTTTTCTTTTCTTAGCTCTTGACAGTTTGATTCCATATTTACTGTTTTCCAACTCTTAGAACAGGTTTTTTTTAAACACTAGGTTTTATCTACGTGTATATATATTTGTAAGTTGAGACCAAATGGGCAAAGTCTTGGGCAGGCACGTTTATGATGCGTGTATGTTGAAACAAATGTGAAAGGGCCACAAAGATTAGAAATCGAGCTGCTTGTTTTTGTAAATGCATTACTTCTGGTGCTCTATAATGGGATATATTGAACTCAAAAATTTGTATATATAGTGTGTCAGCGTTTCTAAGTTCTCAAGTGCAATTTTAATATCTAGTATTATACAGGTTGGGGAGTTATACTGTTTGGGCCAATACTATCTGGACTATATAAATTTATAAAATAAATTGAGAAATTCATCATTCCCCTATATTCAAGACCAAAGCACATAAATGCTAATGTAACTCAGAGGGAAAATAGACTTCTCCTGCATATTTGAGGAAATGTGAAGTCCTTTCGAAATCTAATCAACATAATCATCATAGCCTGCTGACACTAAGGAAAAAAGGACCTCATTCGCTTTTTTCTTTTATGCAGCGATTTACTGGTCCCTACTGCTTTCTAAATTGGATCACTGTAGTGAATTATCCATGCTGGTACCTGCGAAAGTAAGCCCTGGGATCCATATTGTTCTGTGTTATGCTTAAATCAGCAAGGATGATAAATGCGATGGTGTGAAATTGGAAATATCAAGGGCTTTCTGTGGTGATTGAGCAAAATAGTGTCTCCACTTGTAATTTACTGTGACCCCTTTTCACTGTGCTTTGTCTAATATTTATTTCAATACAAATTAAATTGTTGTTCCTTCATCTATATTATTATTTTATTGATTATAAAAATCAAATTGTGTAATAAAAAATCTCTGGATTGAAGTAGATTTTAAAGTGTTGCGTTGCAGTAGAACATTTTTCAGTTAGCAATCAGCTTTCCTTTGAGCCTAGTTGCCTTGCCGTAGAATAAGGTGAGTTTGAACTCACCTCTGCCATCCTCAGCCGCTGTGAAGAGTGGAAATGCTGTGACTTGGGCTCTGGCCTGAAACTGGCATAAAAGAAAAATTACATTGGCTACCTCAGCTGTTGGCTAGTTTCTGCGTGTGTGTGTGTAGTGATATTTATGGCCTGGTGGGTGAGTTAAATGTCTGCAGTGATTCTCAATATACAGTTGATCCAGAGTTACAGTCACACAAGCCAACAGGGAACATAGATGTCTCTTTCAGGTGTTCTAAGTTGGCACATCTTTTCTGTGGAGTTTAGTAACTGGTACTAAGTAATACAAGCAATTTGAATCTTCATCCACTTGGCCATGTAATGTAAGAGGTGTTACAGAGATCAGTTGTGTAAAGGCAGTTGTAGAAGTAAATGTTGGATTAATAAATGAATTATTCACGTAAGAGGAGGGTTAAAAAGCCTACTAAAAGTTAATGGAAATATATTTTAAAAACTATGCATGTGATTAAAGTGCTTGAACCACAGTGAACTTATCTTTTAGTTCAACTCCTCATGCATTTTTTGAAGTCTCTCATAAACATGATTGATGCACAATGCTTTTTCATTTATATTTTGGGACTATTTGGAGTTGTGTATGAAACTGAGCTTTGTGCAGGGAAATAACATCTCATCCCTAAGGCTGGCTGGCTGGCTGCAGAGTGTCTACAGAAGTGGTACCCTGACATCCTGAGAGTGAGTCTGATCAGGTACTACACCAGCAAAGTCTTTTTAAAGCTTTATTTGGGTTAAGGTGCTGCTTAGGTCCCTTGCATCCCATATCAGAGTGCTTGGGTTGGAGTCCAGTTCCACTTCCAATTCTAACTTCCTGTTCATGAGCACCCTATAAGACAGCCGGTGGTGGTTCAAATACTTGTGTTCCTGCCACCCACATGGCAGACTGGATTGAGTTCCTGGCTCCTGGCTTTGGCTTTGCTCAGCCCCCCAGATACTGTGGACATTTGGAAAATGAAGTGGACGGAAGATCTCTTTGCCTTTCAAAGCCAGGAGCTTAGAATGCCATCTGGGTCTCCCACATGGGTGGCAGAAACCTAGGTACTACAGCCATTAATCTGCTTCTTTTCCATACATAAACATTAGCATAAGAAGCAGGCCACAAGCAGGGAGCTGGATGGGAAGCGGGGCCATCAGGATTAGAACTGGTGACAATATAGGATCTTGGCACATGCAAGGCAAGGATTTTAGCCATTAAGCTACTGTCCTGGGCCCAGCTTTTTTGCCTTTTAATGCAGTAAAGTTAAAGAATCTCTAAGGAGGCTTACTACAATTGTTTGGATGTTTGTGTTCATTAAAGTTGCTCTCAGTGGTTCTGTTGCAGCTAGAATTAACTGATTGTATATTTAGTACTAACATGCATTCAGTAACATCAGATCTTAATAAACCTTTTGTCATTAAGTTGCACAAACAACCTTGAAGCAGATTTTTCTTTAAAAGATTCATTTTATTTTTATTGGTAAAGCAGACTTACAGAGAGAAGAGAAAGATCTTTTGTCCACTGGTTCACTCTCCAAGTGGCCACAATAGCCAAAGCTGAGCTGATCTGAAGCCAAGAGCTGCTTCTGGGTATCCCATGGGGGTACAGGGCCCCAAAGCTTTGAGCCATCCTCTATTGCTTTCCCAGGCAATAAGTAGGGAGCTGGATGGGAAGTGGAGTAGCCAGGACATGAACTGGTACCCACCCATATGGGATCCTAACAATTCCAAGGGGAGGATTTTAGCCACTGAGCCATCACGCCAGGCCCTGAAGCAGATCTTAGAACAGCATTTTCAGGGTGGCATTTGGTCTTGCTGTTGAAAATCATATCCAAATTGGAGTAGCTAGGTTTGATACCCAGCTCTAGCTCCTGATTCTGGCTTCTCACTAATGCAGACCCTGGACAGCAGCGGTAATGGCTGCAGTAGCTGGCTTCATGCTTCCCACATGGGAGCTCTGGATTAAATCCCAGCTCCTAGCTTTGGCTCCAGGATGGTGTGGGCATTTGTCAAGGGAAACAATGCATGCATGAGAGCTGTTCAATCTCCATGCTTTTAAAAGAGTTCTAGAGAGGCGGAGACACAGATCTAACATATACTGACTCCCCAAAAGGCTAGAACAGCCAAGCTTGGGCCACTCTGAAGCCAGGAGCTTCTTTTGGGTCTTCTACATGGGTGCTGGGGTCTAAGTGCTTGGACCATCTTCTGCTGCTTTCCCAGGTGCATCAGCAGAGAGCTGGATTGGAAATGGAAGCAGCCAGAATGTGAACTGGCACCCACATGATATGTTGACTCCACAGAGGCTTAGCCTACAACACCACAGTTCATTCTTCCTGTCTTGAAAAGACAAAGCTTTATGTCAACAATTAAATTTTTTTTTAAGTCTTAAAAATACCAAATCTTACACAGAACACAAAGCAAAGGTGCTGTTACTGACAAAATTAACTCCACCTTTGTAGCAATAATAGCTCTCCAGAAATGCATCTTCAGAATCAGTAGGCAATTAAAAGTCCTCTAAGACATACTGTTTTTTTTTTAAGGTTTATTTATTTATTTTATTGGAAAGTCAGATATATAGAGAGGAGGAGGAGAGACAGAGGAAGATCGAAGATCTTCCATACGCTGATTGACTCCCCAAGCGGCTGCAACGGTCCGAGCTGCACCGATCTGAAGCCAGGAGCCAGGAGCTTCTTCGGGTTTCCCACTCGGGTGCAGGGTCCCAAGGCTTTAGGCCATCCTTGACTGCTTTCCCAGGCCACAAACAGGGAACTGGATGGGAAGTAGGGACACCAGGATTAGAGCCAGTGTCCACGTTGGGATCCTGGCACATTCAAGGTGAGGATTTAGCCACTAGGCCACTGTGTCAGGCCCAAGACATTACTGTTTTTAAAGTGCCCTAAGTGAATAATAAGGATGCAGAAATAGGGTGGTAAAGGCTGAAGATGAAATTCAGCTGTAGTGTTCAAAATATGGGTTAGAATTGCAATTCTGTGATCACTGGGGAATTTGCCACAAATGGGGAGTGGCTGGACCACGTGTGAGGTACTAGGAAGTGTTCAATCAGAACATCTTCCCTGAAGGGCGGTGTAAAGGTGCCCAGCTCCAGGGCTCTGAAGTCCGGTTGCTGACACTCGTTAACTGACCTCTACTTCTCTGTAAACTAGAGCAGCAACTCCTGTACTGCGAGATGAGCTCACAGTGTTTAGCATAGTGCTTCACACTAAGAGCTCAGTAAGTTTTGCTGTCATTTCTCCTGTAATTTACAACAATCCTGTAGATGGATGAATAAATTGAGAAGTTAGCATAATTTCCCACTTACATCACAAACAGTAAGTAACTATAATTATCCCCTAGATGCCATATTGTAATTGATGATATCACCCCCACCCAGGTACTGTTTACATTCTGGAGACTACATGATACTATGATAGAAGTGAGAGCTTCAGGTGAGTACCTAGGTTTCAGGAGTGAGTACTTCACGCAGTCAAAACCTTGGCGAGCACATGTAAGCACTCTGAACATCTGTTTCCTCTTGTAAAACAAGGAGAGTGATACACGAAATCATGCCATGTATGAGCATGGCATGGGCTTTCTTGCCTTCCACCCTCTTCGTTTTCTAGAATGTTGGCTCTGTAAAGGCCACTCTCGCAGAGCGGTGTTTGTTTGAATGATGATGTCCCTTAAGAGAAACATCTGTAAAACCAGCAAAGATCTGACTGTTAAGTATTTTCCCTGGGAATCAGACCCCATCAAGGTTATTCCCTTCTGGCTCCTGTGCCTCCATGCACCCTGAAGTTCTGTGACCTGCCCAGTATCAAAGCAGAACCATTTGGGGCTGAGAAAGATTGACATTGTCCTTTGGAGGCAAGACCCAAGGAAAGCTGGAGCCGCATGTAGAAAGGAATAGGTCAGAACAACTCACTGGGGATGGTGTGTGATGTAATGAGTTGGGCACCAGTTTGAGTCCTGGCTATTCCAGTACTTCTGGTCCATTTCCTGCTGATGCACCAGAGCATGACTGAAGTGCTTTGGCCCCTGCATCCCATGGGAGATCCAGAAGAAGCTTCTGGCTTCTGCCTGGTTTAGCCCCATTGCAATTATTTGGGGACTGAACCACTGGATGGAAGATCTCTCTTTTTCTAACTCTGCCTTCCAAGTAAATAAAATAAATCTTAAAAAAAAAAAAGACGAGTAAAAGGTTGTTTATAGAGAAGTACTGCCCAGTAAAAATAAAATGCAGAGCACAGATATGAGCCACACATTTTTGTTTTTCTTCATTTGAGAGAATGAGAACTTTGACCACTCCCTAAATGACTTCCATGGCCAGGGCTGAATTTGGGAGATGGCAATAGTTAATCCAGGTTTGAGGGGACTTCAAAAATTTCATGGAGGAAGAAAGAGAAAAAAAAAAAAAAACAGAAATGAAAGATAAGTTTACCTTGGTTCAAAAAGTGTTTGAACTTCATGAGCAAGTTTTTGCCATAGTACTCATTCTCCATGAACTTTCTGAAGACTTCCTCATATTTTATTACATGCATCAGATAATGTGAACGCAAGAGAGTGTATACACCACTAACAATGTTGAACACACTATATGCTTTGGATTCCTAGAAAACACATTGTCTCCTAATGCTAATCCTACTTATCGAACCATTACCTCGTCAAACCAGCCCAAGAACAGTTTGCATCAGTTGCATCTTCAACAGTTAACCAAAGTCAGATTGTTTCTCTTCACCCACCAAAAGTTACCATCAGAGACGGAACCACCTTCTTCTCTCACCTAGATTATTACGAGAGCTTTCTTCTCTTCCTCTCCTGCTTTGGTCCACTGGCCTCCCCAATTTCTGTTCTTGATCCAATAACTACAGTGATTCTGTTAAGTGATCCATTCATTAGAAAATGTCTCCCGCGCACAACACCCTGCAGTGCCTTCTGACCTTGGAGCCCTTGCCATGATGGGCAAGACATCTGGGCTCCCCTCATTCACTGGGTCCCAGCCTCGCTGGCTACCTTGCTTGAAATGTGCTACTGCTCCAAGCATACAAGTACTTCCACCCTAGAATGTTGACCTAGACATCCTTTAACTCATTCCTTTACCCCTTTCAGCTCTGTATAGAAGTGCCACCTTCGTAAGACCTTTCCTTACCACCCTAATTATGCTACACTCACCTCTGAGCTTTTTCTCTTTCCCTGCTTTATTTTTCTCTGAAACACTCATCATTGTATGATAGTACTTGGTATTTAGCACACAGCACCACTGCACAATTGCTTATTTTATCATTGGCCTCCCCTACAAGTGGATATGCTTTACCAGAATGATTTTAGTTTTGTTACCAAAAGCCAGTTCCTGAAACAGTAGGCATTCCGTAAGTAAAATGCAGAATACTTGCAATCAAACACACCCTACTTAAACAGGAGAGGAAATCTGTTTTGAAGGACAAAGGTAGTTAACATAACCTGGAAGCAGCAGAGGATTGGGCTTGAATGCTATACAACCAGGACTGATGCAGTTTCCATTGGGAATAGTCATTGCTGTTTGTGGAACTCTCCTGGAAATCCATACATATGACAGGTCTTGAAAAGTTTGTTAAAAGTGCATGTTATGAAAAAATCACATTCATTGATTTCAAAAAATTTTGAACCAAAGTAAACTTTTAATTCCATTTTCCATGGGCTTTTTGGAGTGCCCTCATACATTCCACAAGGAGCCTTGCTTTTCCAGTTACTTTGCTTGAAACTAAGCTGCTCACAGATTTCTCAGGGTTGGAACCTGTCCCATGCGTGGGTCCTGATTGCAGGAGCCTGGGAAAGCAAGTTCCAGTCTTTTATCAAGAGGAGGCAGCCTGACAAGATAGGAATCTCCTCACATCAAAGTGTTGTTCAAAAATATGATAAATTTCCTCCATTGGCACTGAGTTCTTGTTGCTTTAAGAGTTGTTTATTTCAGAGGGCGAATGACAGGGATATAGAATTTTCTATTTACTGGTTCACTGTCCAGGCCAAAACCAGGAGCCTGGAAATCCATATCCACATGGACAGTGGGAGTCCAAGGTCTCAGGTCGTCTGCTGCTGTCCCAGGCATGCTGGCAGGGAGCCAGTCCAAAATAACGCTGAAGTACTTGAGTAAGGCATGTGGTACAGGATGCTGCTGTCACAATGTAGCAGCTTAAGCTGTTGCACCAAAACACAACATCCCCTTTTGCCCATTTTTAAAATCTCAATTGAACAGAGCTAATTTAGCAAAAACAATTTTTAATTTAGAATTTGCTTTTATGGCAACTAAAAATCTACTTTCAAAATTTTCTTCATTCCTAACTTTGCTCCTGTTTTTACGAGCTGCATATTTTCTCATTTGACCCCTTGATAAATAATACCCCAAATCCACTGCCCTGAGTAGGGACTGATACTCCTTTGGTGGGGTGTTTGTTGGGTGAGCTAACAAGTGAATATATTACTTATGGCAAAGGAGTAAGGGTGTGAACCCATTATCAGGAAATGCAGCCAGGATGTAAAGCAGTAGACTGTCATCTCAGAGCTCTCGCCTGTTTGTTACCTTCAAAACGCTGCATTCAGTAGCAAGGTCAGTGGCAAGCCGGCTGCCCAGCTCTGGCGGCATATCAAATACTATGGTTAGTCTTGACATCACTTTATATTTTCTATCATTTTTATGCTTCCTTTCTCTTTTTTTGCTTGCAAGGGTGATCGTTAAATTATCAGATATTCAAGTGTTGAATTCGCTGTCATTATTACACAGTGTAGCTGCTAAAATAACATGTAGCAGATGCCACAGTATAAGTTAATGAATAATTCTTTCTTGTACTCTGGCCTCTGATTGCATTGCCACAGACGTGGGTTGAGCAATCATTCTTTTTTTCAACTTTTTAGAAAGCATTACTTCTTAATTTTTAAAATATCCCTTTTGTTTATTTCCATGAAATCTTCCCATTTATTCCAATACGGGGGGCAATCTCTGGCTTTTTATGGTTTACTTCCGTTATAGGCAATGAAGATGTGAAATACTTCAGTGAGCTTGTTCCTTATTGAAAATAAGCCAAAGCCATGACCATCCTGTTTACCATCTCATAGCCACACAGTGGAAGTCTGAGCTTTCAAGGGCATATTTGCAACCTGTCATAACCATGCCTGTCTCCTGACCAGAAAATAGGACAGTGATGAGATTTTCTTCCATTCCAGCTTCTCTACAGTTGTTTGTGTCCAGAAGTAGACATAGCATTGTTATATGTAACACCAGACTGATTCAAGTCAGTCTCCTTTTACTAGTCTCCAATATATATTTATTTTTGAGGCAGAGAAAGATTATCTTCTTTTTTTAAAAAAATATTTTATTTAGCCTCCTGGCTAAAGTCCTTGCCTTGAACACACCCATATCCCATATGGGCACCAGTTCTAATTCTGGTAGCCCCGCTTCCCATCCAGCTCCCTGCTTGTGGCCTGGGAAAGCAGTTGAGGATGGCCCAAGGCCTTGGGACCTTGTACCCACATGGGAGATGTGGAAGAAACTCCAGTTTCCTGGCTCCTGGCTACGGATCAGCTTGGGTCCTGTCATTGTGATCACTTACGGAGTGAACCAGTGGATGGAAGATCTTTCTCTCTTGTTTCTCCTCTCTTTAGATCTGACTTTCCAATAAAATAAATCTTACCAAAAAAAAAAAACCTAAAGTTATCAGGTTAGCTTTCTTCAGCGGGAATCATCCATAAAGATTGGTGGAGATTTTATGCAATTAGTAAAATTCATTAAGCTTTTAGGTATATTACAAAGTTGAATTTCTGTTAAGATGTATTCATAAGGAAGGAACAACTTTCCAGTAATATTCAGAGTTTGGGGTAATATTGAGTCTAAGAATATATATAAGATGGCATTTCTTTTAGTGTCTGTCCACTGAACATTCTACATTATCATAGAAGGTTAACATACATTATCATAGGAAGTTAAAATTGCCTTACCATTCAGTTACAATTTGTTCACTTCACTCATCTGGTAAAATAAGACTGTTGAGGGGCTGAAGCAATGGTTAAACAGGCTAATCCTCCACTGGTTAAATCTGTGCTTAGGGTTCCCAATTTCCGTGTTGGAGTGCCTGCCTCCCAGACTCCCGCTGCTGCACACCCTGGCAGCAGCAGGCGGTGGGTTAAGAATTTCAGTTCCACCCAAACTGAGTCCAAGATCTGGCTTTGCCTCACCTGGGCCTGGCTACTACATTTGGGGGAGTGAACCAGCAGATAGATCTCTCTCCATCTTTTTGGTTTTCAGACAAAATGCAAAATAATAATAATAAATTTACTGCTATAACTTCTTAAGGACACCTCCTGTGGTGAGGGTAGTCAAGGAAGGGCCCTTTGGAGCACACCCCCCCTACACACGGTTCACGCTTCTGTTAGGTCTCTGTGCATCTCTGCAGAACCCAACGTACCGGGAACATACTGCACTTGTTGGTATATTATAGGCAACACTTCAGGGTTCCGAGATGAGCTCGCCTTTAAGGTGCTGGGCTACAACGGGGTGATCGAGAACGAGGGACCTGGGCAGACAGTGCAGAGATCAGAGTGCTGTGAGGACATTCCAACACCCGGGCCCAGCACAAAGAGGCAGAGAGGGCGGCTGCGTCCCTCAAGGCGTCCCTTGGCGGGGTTGATTTCCAAGAAAACACACCGCACAAGTGCAGGCAGAAGGCCGGGCTCCATCCCCACCTTCACTTGCAGCTACGCCCCTCTCTCCGCAGCCGGAGATTCGCGCTCCGCCCTTGACGTCCCTTCCGCTGTGGCCGCGGCGGGCGTCGCTCCCTCAAGTGACAGTTTCCGGGTCGCCGAGGCCGCCCCGCGGCGGCGCAGGCTTCGGGCTGTGCTGCTGTCCGGTCTATGGAGTCAGCGGGTGGCCGCGGCGTCGCGGAGGCCAGCGGTGCTGCGCGAGTCGGGGCCTGCGGCCCGCCAGGATGCTGCCGGGCTTGGCCGCCGCCGCTGCGGCCCACAGATGGAGCTGGGCCTCCGTGTGCCGGCTCCGTCTGCGCTGCAGGGCGGCGGCCCGCGGCTCCAGCGACCGCCTGGGTGAGTGTCCCCCGCCGGGGCCGGACAGGGCTCGCCTCGTCCGCCCCTGCCGTCCGTCCTCCAGCGCTCCGGTTCTCGGGGGTGGAGGGGGGGACCGGACCGAGCTCCCCGATCTCCGCCCGCAGCCCCCTTCCAGCACGGCGCCCCGCGAGCTCCTGCGGGACCGGGGCGGATCCGGCTGCGCCGAGCAGGGGAGCTGACTGTGTCCCGAACGAAGCCTTGGGTGCACGTCGCTGGCAAAGTTGGAAATGGCGGAGTGTCTGACTCATCTTTCTTGAGCACCGTTGGCCGCGGTTTGCATGCCCTGCCCGTTTTTCCACACTCCCAACTTGTTTTCTTAAATGTCCTAAGCGGCAGGGAGGCGCTGCTAAAGGCTGACGTGGTGGGAGGGTCGTGTACGGTCACCGCACGAGCCGGGTTTGGGGCTCAAACACCAGACCTTACTGTCCCGTGAACAGCGACAACGTGCGTCCTCCTCCTCCAGTTCTTTGTTGACATTTTAAAGTTTGCATTGCCGTGGTAAAGTGTAATCCAGTTTATCCTAGTGTTTGCCGTGGCATGACCCTAAGAAGTCGGTGGGAACGCTAAAGCGAGAAGACAGGACCCCCATCCGCGCCCAGCTTAATCCCCCAGCTGCTTGGGGTGGCATAGACGCCCAGGAATGTGTGTTTAAACCAGCCTGGTAGACTGTGACCTTCCAGCAGGAGGCAGAACGGGAGGTGTTGCAAGTTGCAGTGCTGTGTTAATACTTACCTGTGCAAATAAGGAAGATACTGTCGTTTTCTGTTTGTAAATAAGTAAAAGCTGGCTCTTACTATTTCAAGTGGATTCATTTTAACTCTTAGCGTTGTAGGGTAGTGAATGATAAACTTTACCGATGAGCTCTCCCCATTTTGGCAGACTACTTGATTCTCTAATGAGTGACGTGATTTATTTGGTCATATACTGTATTCCAAAAAATTCTAATATAATTACTTCTGTTGACCAAACAATTTTGGGCTTTTACACTGAAATAATTATAGTGGCTGTTAAATGAAGCCCAAATTGCCCGTTAAATGTTGATAGAAAGGAATTGAAATGCTGTCATTTGTAATGCCTATTCCTTGGGGCTGTCATCACGCTGGAAATTATATGCTCTTTGTCTTATCTGTCATTACCCATCTCACCAGACAGAATGACTTTGCACAGTTCCCTGGAGCGTTATTCCTAAAATGCATTTTCATACTTAAAAGCAATAGTTTTTTTTTTTTTTAACAACCACGTTTGTGAAAAATTAGTTGTGAAACCAAACTTTTTTCTAAAAGGGCAATCATAAATTCTGATAAAGTTTTAAGAATCATTTAGCCAACGAGTGCTATTCTGCTGGAAACATGTGAGATGAGGACTATTTGAAGACCCTCTTTGTGGGAAAGGGAAAGTCCACAAACAGATGTCTTTGTTTATCAATAAATAAAGTCTTTATGTTTTTGAAATGCCCATGTGATTGGGAGAAGCTGGTCAAGGATAGAGAAGGAAACCATGAGAAAAAGGATTGGTTGGCTTGAATAATTCAGCATGAGACTGTCCGAAGAATGTGGGAGCTGCCTGTGTCATTTGAGTTGTCTGGTAGAAATAGATGACATTAATTTGATATTAATTAATTTTACATACTACATTCAAGAGTATCTCAATAGATAATCAGAATGAAAATTTAAAGAGCTATTTAACATTTTTTTAAAAAATCCAATCTGGCACAATTCAGTTAAAACTTAAAGGTTTTTTTTAAGATTTATTTATTTGTATTGGAAATTCAGAGCTACAGAGAGAAGGAGAGACAGAGAGAAAGATCTTCCATCCACTGGTTCACTCCCCAAGTGGCCACAATGGCCAGAGCTGAGCCAATCTGGAGCCAGGAGCCAAGATCTTCTTCTGGGTCTCCCACACAATTGCAGGGTCCCAAGTCCTTGGGCCATCTTTGACTGCTTTCCAAGGCCAGAGTCAGGGAGCTGGATGGGAAGTGGAGCAGCCAGGATGCAAACTGGCTTCCATATGGGATCCTGGAGCATGTAAGGAGGACTTCAGCCACTAGGCTACCGTGCCGGGCCCAGTTGCAGCTAATCTTACTTCAGGTGCTCAATATACTAAGTGGTCTGCTGTATAGAGTGACAATTAGAGCTAATGATTCTGATTTTTTAAAAAGAATTTCTTTAGGATTTATTGGTTTTTCATTTCTAAGGAAAGGCTACAAAGAGAGGTAGCAAGGACTTAACTATGTTAGCCAGCACTGCTGCCTTTCTGGGGGCACATTAGCAAGTTGAATTGGACTACAACTGGGCACAAAGTCCGATGGGATGCAAGGGTCCTGGTTGATACCTTTTCCGGCAGGCCAGATGCCTGCGCTCCAAACAATGCTTTGGGAGGTTATTTTTTGCATACAAAGAACTGTAGACAATTCATGTTCTCTGACCTAACAATGCTGCTTAAAATGATTAAAGAAATAAGAACATGGGCAGAAGCTCATTGTTAAAGGACTATGGTAGTTTACAGTTATGACGAATTGAAACCCATTATGATATGCCTTATGGGTTGATAATATATTTAACCACTTTTAGGGGGATGACATAGATAACTTCTTGCATTAACTAAAACCATAGAAAAAGATAAAATTAAGAACATATATTGTGATGTTATCCATGGGTTTCTCTAAAAAGATTTTAGTGTTTTTGGAATGATATGCAGCAAACACATACTTCTTTATTAAAATTTTTTATTCTCACTTATTTGAAAGGCAGAGAGAGAGAGAAATAGAACAAAAATGACATCTTTTATCCAGTGGTTCTTTCCTCACTGCTCACCAGAGCTGGGACTGGGCCAGGCTGAAGCCGGGAGCTTGGAACCCCATTTCATTTTCCACATGGGGACAGAACCCTGGTACTGAGGCCATCCCATGCTGCATGCCAGGGCGTGCACAAGCAGGAAGCTCCATGGGAAAGAGAGCTGGGACTTTCAACCCATTCCTCTAGTGTCTCCCTGTAGGGCTCCAGCTTACCAGCTCTCCCATACCACCTGCCCCCACCGGTTTGTTTTTAATGTTTATTTTCTTATTTGAAGAGTGGAGTGGTGCAAGAGAGGGAAGGCAGATGTGCTCCCCAAATGTCTGCAACAGCCGGTGCTGACTCTGTCCTGGGCTCCCATGTGGATGCCATCACCTGCCACCATCGCTTGCTACCTCCCAGGTGCATTTGTAGGAAGCTGGATTGGAACTGCAGGGTAGCTGGGATTTCAGTGACTGCCTCTATCCTTCCCTTCTGAAAAATGTTACTTGGTGTGCAGGCGTGTGAATGTGTGAGTGTGTGTGTAAATCTAGGTGATGCTGTGCAGGAGGTTGTCAACATCTCCTGTTTCCTTGGTCTTTTGAAGAAAAACTGCATCATCAGTAGCTAACCAGGCTGAGCTGCTGTGACTTGGTCATAGTCACTCTTCTGCTTGCTAGATGGTTAGGAATAAAAAGGGGTTTTACTGCTGTTTCAGCTAACTGAAAGGATAAAAATATCTGAAGATTGTCGATATGTTAATATTACGCAAGCTTTCACAAATTGTGATGATGATGTTATAAGACCTTGATGAAGTTCCAGCTAATTTAGCAGTGGATGTATTTGTAAGTTTTAAAAACATTTTAGGCTAGCACTGTAGCATCATTGAGTTAAACTGATGCCTGTGGGGCCAGCATTCCCTCTGGGAGCGTATATGCATTCTGTTGCTCTGCTTCCTATCACATTTCTTGTTCATGTGCCTGGGAAAGCAGCAGAAGATGGTCCAAGTGCTTGGTCACCTGCATGCATATGGGAGACCCAAAAGAAGCTCTTAGCTTCTGGCTTTGGCCTGGCACAGCCCCAGCCATTCTGGTCATTTGGCATAAAATAGCAGTTGGAAGATCCCTCTCTCTGTCTCCTCTTCAATTCTTTCAAATAAATAAATAAGCAAATATTTTAAAATTTAGGTTTCAAAAATATTAAAAAAAGTGCAAGAGATAAGTGAAAATTAGGCATAATCCAAATATTCCACTGGTCACATTTGTAAAAATAACTTTTTGAAATTTTGAGAGTCAGTGGGTCCAGCGTGGTGGCGCAGTGGTTAAAGGTCCTCGCCTTAAACGCCCGGGATCCCATATGGGCGCTGGTTCTAATCCCAGCGGCCCAGCTTCCCATCCAGCTCCCTGCATGTGGCCCGGGAAAGCAATCGAGGACGGCCCAAGGCTTTGGGACCCTGCACCCATGTGGGAGACCCGGAAGAGGCTCCTGGCTTCAGATTGGCACAGCATCGGCCATTGCAGTCACTTGGGGAGTGAATCATCGGACGGAAGATCTTCCTCTCTGTCTGTCCTCTCTGTATATCTGCCTTTGCAATAAAAATAAAATAAATCTAAAAAAAAATTTTTTTGAGAGTCAGAAAGAGGGCTGCCTCCATCTGCTGGGCTTGTGTTAGCAGGAAGCTGCAGTCAGGACCCTGAGCTGACAATCAAACCTGGGCGCACTCCCTGTGGTGGCAGGTGTTCTCCTGAGCAGCATCTCCACAGCCGGGACAGGTGCCTGCTTCCTCTTTTTTTCTGGATGTCAGTACTTTGAAAATTTGGGGGGCAAACTGCTGAAACAGTGTATGTAAGGAGAGCAACTTCCAGAAGGCTTAAGCTACAAGCTTAACTCTCTTCTTTGCTAGAAGTAAACTCAAACTGCAAGGCACATTTTTGTTTTTACTGTTGCAGAAACAGTAAAAGCGATAGATTGAATTGTCAGTTCGCATGCGTTGGAAAAGGAAGTTTTTGTTCGGTTTGTTTTAATTATTCACAGTCTAAAAATAAGGCCGGATTTTGTTTGAAAGCCAAAGTGAGTAGTAGACGACATTCCAGATTGGTCATAGAATCATCATTTGGAGGTAAGAACAGCAAAATTAAAGGCCTCATGATAGGTGAGCGATGGCCATAGTGGTTAAGACACTGCTTGCCTGGTTTGCCCACATGCCATAGTGGGGTTTCTAGGTTTGAGTCCTGGCTCTACTTCTGATACCAAATTCCTGCCAGTGCAGCTCGGGAGGCAGCGGGAGGTGGTTTCAACCTGTCCCAGCCCTGGCTGTTGCCAGCATCTGGGGAGTGACCTGGTAATTCATTGAAGACCGCTCCTTCTAGCTCTCCCTACCCCTTCTCTTTGTATCTTAATCTCTCAGCCTTTCAAATAAAATAAAATAATTTTTATTTAAACTTATGGTTAGATTGATGGTTATTGTGATTAACCTGAAAAGATTGATAAGACACCAGTACTTGCAATCTTGATGAAAAAACAGACTCTATGTGTAGAAAGTCCTTGTCCATTACTGAGAGAGGACGAAGTGGCACTCTAAGGGCTAATCTTCCGTGTATAGTTAAATTCTAAAAGTCACCTTGATGAAAGAACATTAGTAGTAATACTTTTTGCTTTCTGTTTGCTAGAATCAATTCATTCATAATTCCTTCAACAGGTGTTTTTTTCTTTTGTTGTTGTTGTTGTTTGTTTTTACTGACAATTGAGATTTACAGAGAGAAGGAGACAGAGAGAAAGATCTTCTATCTGCTGTTTCACTCCCTAAATGGACTCTATGGCCAGAGCTGAGCTGATTTGAAACCAGGAGCCAGGAGTGTCCTCTGGGTCTCCCACGGGGCTGCAGGGTCCCAAGGCTTTGGGCTATCCTCTACTGTTTTCCTAGGCCACAAGCAGGGAGCTGGATGGAAAGTGGAGCAGCGGGATATGAACCAATGGCCATATGGAATCCCAGCACATGCAGGTGGAGAACTTGAACCACTAAGTTATCTGCTGGGCCCAGATGGTTGTGTTTCTACTGCTGTGTGTTTAGATACATTTGTTCTACATTTGTTCAAATGCCCTGTATAGTTAGTTAGAATGTAAAATGTCAAGAAGATAATGTATTGAATCTGCAGTTTTTGACTACATTAATACCAGATGTGTACTTTATTTTTTTCTTAAAGATTTGTTTGTTTTTATTGGAAAGGCAGATGTACAGAGAGAAGGAGAGACAGGAAGATCTCCCGTCTCATGGTTCACTCCCCAAGTGACTGCAACGGCTAAGGCTGAGCCAGTGCGAAGCCAGGAGCCCAGAACTTCCTCCGGGTCTCCCACATGGGTGTAAGGTCCCAAGGCTTTGGGCCATCCTTGACTGCTTTCCCAGGTCACAGGCAGGGAGCCTTATAGCTGGATGGAAAGTGGGGCAGCCGGGATTAGACCCAGTGCCCATGTGGGATCCCGGTGCATTCAAGGCGAGGACTTTAGCTCTTGTACCAGGCCCAGATTTGAACTTTAGAGTCACTGATCCCTGCAATTCTACTGACGTTAAAAATAAACACTGAAAAATGGCTAGTGAGGAAATAAGCTGATTATTAGAGTAGTGTCAAAAGAGTTTGAAGAGACCGCTACTGGCCCAAAATGGGACAGATTCAGGATTAATTAAAAAAAAAAAAAAAAAAACTGAAGTGAGTTGAAATATGGCAACTAATGTTTATTTTAAAATTTTTAACTTTTTCGCTAAACCCTTACCTTGCGTGTGCAGGGATACCATATCAGCCCTGGTTCGTGTCCCAGGTGCTCCACTTCTTTTCCAGCTCCCTGCTTCTGTGGCTTGGGAAAGCAGTAGAGGATGGCCCAAAGCCTTGGGACTTTTGCCAGATGTATTAGCCAGGAGCTGGATTGGAAGTGGAGTAGACTTGAACTAGCACAACAACAATGGCTCCACAGGACCTTTCTCTTTATATTCTGACCAATAGATGTTTTTGTAACCAATTAATGACTAAGTGATTCCAGACATTAAAGAGTAGTAGATACTATCACAAAAAAACCATAACAGATGTTTGATTCCTAATGTAAGAATCGTCACTACTGGGCCTGACGCCGTGGCCTAGCAATGAAAGTCCTCGCCTTAAATGCGCCGGGATCCCAAATGGGCGCCAGTTCTAGTCCCGGCAGTTCCACTTCCCATCCAGCTCCCTGCTTGTGGCCTGGGAAAGCAGTCAAGGATGGCCCAAAGCTTTGGGACCCTGCACCCGCGTGGGACTCTTGGAAGAAGTTCCTGGCTCCTGGCTTCAGATTGGCGCAGCACCAGCCCTTGCGCTCAATTGGGGAGTGAATCATTGGATGGAAGATCTTCCTCTGTCTCTCCTCCTCTTTATATATGACTTTGTAATGAAAAAAATATCGTCACTACTTAACAAGTAACATTGCTCTCATTTTTTAAAAATTTGAATAAAGTCTTTACATCTGTTGATTTATAGAATATATAGAAGAATGGGAATAAAAGCAAAATTCAGATTAGTAAACTACCAAGATAGAAAATCCATTTTGTGTTTCTTTTAACATTAGTATTGTGGGAAAAAGGCAACAACAACAACCAAAAAAAAAAAAAACCCTTAGATCAAACTATAGAGTGAGTGAAAAATGGATGTGCAGGTGGCATATTGTCTTCCAGTGAGTGAGTGCCAAGATTACCTAAAGATAGCCAGGAAGCGGAGCACCTGTGACCATGGCGAAGAGCCTCTCTGGAGAGTATGTGTGTGTATGTTTCTTTCTTTTTTACTTTTGACATACTTTTCTTTTTTTTTTTTTTTTTAAAGATTTGTTTATTTTTATTGCAAAGTCAGACATACAGAGAGAAGGAGAGACAGAGAGGAAGATCTTCCATGTAATGATTCACTCCCCAGGTGACAGCAATAACTAGAGCTGAGCCAATCCAAAGCCAGGAGCCAGGAGTCTCCTCCGGGTCTCCCACACGGGTGCAGGCTCCAATGCTTTGGACTGTGCTTGACTGCTTTCCCAGGCTACAAGCAGGGAGCTGGATGGAAGTGGGGCCACTGGGATATGAACCGGCACTCATATGGGATCCCAGTATGTTCAAGGCGAGGACTTTAACCACTGCGCTATTGTGCCAGGCCCTGCATGTGTTGCTTAGGAGAATCTGCCGTAGTTCTTGCTTCATTAATTAATGTTGCTACTAGGCCACATATCTTTTTCTTTTTTTTAAGATTTATTTTATTTATTGGAAAGTCAGATATACAGAGAGGAGGAGAGACAGAGAGGAAGATCTTCCGTCTGATGATTCACTCCCCAAGTGAACACAATGGCCAATGCTATGCCGATCTGAAGTCAGGATCCAGGAACTTCTTCCAGGTATCCCACATAGGTGCAGAGTCCCAAGGCTTTGGGCCGCCCTTGACTGCTTTCCCAGGCCACAGGCAGGGAGCTGGATGGGAAGTGGAACTGCCGGGATTAGAATCGGCTCCTTTATGGGATCCCAGTGCGTTTAAGGCGAGGACTTTAGCTGCTAGGCCACGGTGCTGGGCCCTAGGCCACATGTAGGAGTTTTCCACTGTGCTGTCTTCCCATGCTGGGCACTGGTTCAAGTTGCAGCTGTAACACTTTGGATCCTGTTGCCTACTAATGTGTCCAGAAAATAATGACCCAACCACCTGGGCTGCTTGACCCGGGTGAGAGATGAAGTGCCTCTCCCTGGCTTGGGTCTGGCCAGGCCCCAGCTGTTGCAGCCATCTGGGGAGTGGGTCAGTAGGTAGAAAATCTGTGTGTGTCTCTCCTTGTCTCTGCAACTCTACCTTTCAAGTAAATAAATCTTTAAAAAATAAGAATGGCTTTTTATTTTAGAAGGCATATATCTGCACTACTCCTAAATGAACTAACATTTTGGAAGATAGTTATTAAGTTGTGAGAAAAGTTTCAACTGTTAAATATTCAACAGTCCCGCTCTTGGAAAAATTTGATCATCTGTAATGATAAAATTTTATTATTTCACCTAAAACTTTAGAAACTATATGAATTATACCTACACAGGGCTTGTGCGTTCTTATAAAAAGAGGAATTCTCCGAGTGCTCACGGTGCAGGCAGAAGTCCCCCCAAGAGTGGACAGATTTACTTGTCCCCTGCTTTGGTGCCTCTGGGGACTGCGTTTTCCTGCTGTGTGCAGCCCTTGTCGCCCGTAGTGAGCACAGATGAGCAGCCCAAGTGCTTGGTGTTAGAATCCTGCTCTTCCACTAAAATCCACTGACGCCAAAGCATTGCACCAATGTGGATCTATTTGATTAAAAATCAGTTACTATGAATGACTGATTAGTATCACTGACTCAATGTTTGTAAAATGAGAGAGGAATGAATATCTCCAGCAGTTGGAAAGGGGACTCAGGATTATTTTAAATGGGAAGCCCTCCTGGCTACCTTACATTCCCCAGTCCTCGTTCCGGAAAAATATTTCATGACAACAATTTGTGGGCATGCAACCAGCATGAAAAATAATTATCTATAATGAGCTAGACACCTTCCAGAATGTCAGAATAATATGAACATCTGATTTTATATATTTTAAAGGTCCTTTATGAATTTTTTAAATTACAGAAAAATAGAGCATTTTCCTTGTTTTTTTTTTCTTGGTAAAATGTAGTCCTCTGTGCCTAGCACCATCAAGATACTGTCATTGGAGGGGATGACTTGAAATGGTGCCTTTGGGAGTTGATTTGAAATTGAAATAATTGTTTTTTCTTTTTAGAATGGCAGAATGTGGTGACATTTGGACGCTTTGCAAGTGTAGCTCCTTGTGGTCAACCATATGCTTGTATGCTGAGTCCAGTAAAGCTCTACTCTACAAATGTCCAGAAAGAAGGGCAGGGCTCTGAAACTCCCAGAGTGGGAAAAGTGCCATCGTTTGACGAAACAGGTGTGTGGGCAATTTCTTAAGCCTTTTTTTTTCTCTTTTTAGTATACTGGATTAGCTTGTGTAAAACTATTTGTCGCTTGGATATTTAATAGAACATGTAGTAACACTAACTAGAATCGTATTTTCCTCGTGGGAACTGCGTAACTGATGCTTTAGCTTAAGTTTTATATAACATTTTTTACTTAATTTTGTTTTTCCTTTTCCTAGGAATTTTCCCACTTTACTTAATTTTATTGGTATTAAATCCATGCATACGCTCGTGTTTCCCCTCAGTTATGTGTGTAGTTATATCTTTTTTTATTCCCAGTGATGTTTGTTATTTTCTTGATTAATCTTGCCAGAGCTTTGTCCTTTATTTTTTCCAGCTACTAATTTTTTACTTTGAACCGTGTTGTTGCATGGTTTTTGGTCAGTTTCTACTCTTTAATTATAGTCCCCTTTCTGCTTTCTTTGTGTTTATCCTGTATACTTTGCTCACTAATATTTAGACTTTCTCTGAAGGAGGCATTAAGCCATGATAACTCAGCATTTTAAATTGTTTGTACTTCTGAATGTGTAAGATTTGCCTACCACCATGGAAGGAATGTATCCCCCCGACTACAGAACAAGAATTTAGGTGGCTTTTATCCCAGGAAACCGCGGTCCCGGACTTCCCCTCCCGGTGCGGCGGGGAGGCAGCCTTGGAGGGGGCTGCAGAGGGAAGGAAAGCTGGACGAGTTCTAAACTCCCTTTAACACGGGAGCTGGGGCGGGGAGGGGGTCGCCAGGCCCTTCGTTGGTGCAGTGGTGATTTCACTGTCTCAGGAGCCCAGTTGCCATTGGTTCTGGATTACAGCCTGGGACCAGCTTGAAGCAAGCTCTGCCCTACTCTGGTTACCAGGGCAACCATCATTGTTTTTACATTGTAATTCTTTAACTTGTTCAGGTATAATTTAAAATTGCCAGGTAGATAGAAATTGTATAGGCATCATTTTGTAGTAACTATGTTGAGGAGAAATGCATGATCTGTGTGATTTGGTCAAAGTAACTGTTGAATAAATTTTTGGTTTATCACTTGGTCAGTGTTTCTTAATAGCCGGCATGTGCTTGATTTCAATGAGAGTTTCAACTGCTGGCTCAGAGTTTGTGTCATTTTCAGTTTTGTTGTGCTGTATGGACCTTTGTCTTTTCTTTTAATCTATTATTATCAAGATAGTGTTGGCATTTCATATTCTGGTGGTAGATTTAATGTTCCTTCCTTATAGTTCTGATTTTTGCTTTTTATATTTTGAGGCTTTGACATTAGCTAATACATATTCAGACATTTTTGGCTGTAAAATAGTGCTTTCTTTATAACATCTCCATTTCTTTTCACTAGTGTAAGCTTGGTTTTGACATAGTTAATATGACATTCTTTGTCAATTAACTAGAAGTTTAGGTTGTTTACATTTACTATAGTAGTCACTGATACGCTTGGGCATATTTCTACCATTTTATTGTGTACTTCTAGCATAATTTTCATTGTTTATAATATCTTTTTGCCTTTTAATGTTTTTTTCCACATCGCCATTTCATTATCCTCTTTTCTCATGGTTTCTCCGTCTCTTTCCCTCCCTCCCTCTCACACACACACACATACACACACAACCCACTTTTGTTTGGAAGTTATATGCTCTGTGTCCAAAAACTTGAAGCAATAGATATGTCACTTTTCCTTCTCAAAAATACAAGGAAATCAAAATACTTGAACTTGAGATTCCTTGCCTTCTAACTTACCATTCGTTGACTGATATTTTGGTGCTATCCTACTATTTCTTTTATATATATATATATATATATATGAAATACACATTGCTTAGGTATATCTAGAATCTGTATGAACTACCTTTTTGTACTTCTCTGATAGTTTTTTTCTGACATTTTATAGAAGGTACAGAAATTAATTTTATTTTGAAAGTCTTTTTCTTTGGTGTTAGTGGCAGTTTTTTGAAGTGACTAGGTGTGTATTTCTTGGTATTAGTCCTGCTTGTGGTAATTGGGCTTCTGGGATCTGATGACTGGTATTTTCCTAGAGTTTTAGAATTACCATGCATTGTCATTCTCTCAGGTAGTAGTTCTTCCGTGTTTCTGTTATCTCCTTTTGGAATTACTTGTCAGATTGTCCTGCTTTGCTTTCCAGGTCTCCATACCTTTCTGTCCTGCCTTTTAAAATTCAGTTTTCTAGTCTGTGTTCGTTTACTGATTTGCTCTTTAGTGGCCAATAATCTGCTGACTAATTGCATGTGTTGGGCTCTTAATTTTACTGCTTGTAATTTTCATTTTTTAAAAAATTGCTTATCAGCTTGCTTGAGTAGTCTTTCATTCCTCTTGTATTATCAAATTCCTGCTTTATCAGTAGACACAGTAAAGAGCTATGCTGTGTTTTGTGACTGAAAATTCCACTAAATGAAATCTTCCAGACTCTCACTATATTATCCCTTCCCTCTGTTTCTAGCCTTCTCACTCGTGATGCTATATCTGTTTTGTAACCAGATTGTTTATTTTCCTTGTAGTTTTTTGTTAGCTATCTGTTTATCTGGATTGAAGAATTGAAGATGCATTCTTGTTTAGAAGGTTTGCTTTTGTTTCTGTTAAATGCTTGAGGCACAACTTGGGGCCATGTTGAATTAAATTCTGTATTATGTCGTTTAAACCACAGTGGTAGCATGAGTTCAGGCTGTATACCTGTGTGAGCAGTGGCTTGTCCTTGGAATTTTCAGGGGAACATTTTTCTTTTCCTTTACTCAGTGGCAAAGCAGAGGCAAGTCTGCTTTCTTGTTCCCTTCTGTATATATTATTTATTTCTGGTTTGCAAATATATCACGTATGTTGCTTTCTAGACTCATTTGGAGAATAACCTAATGTTATTCTCTGGTCTTCCATGCCCTTTACAGCAGCAGAATTAGAATGTCAAAGAAAGGAGAAAGGAAGTAGAATCACCTGGACTGGTGGGGAGGAGCTAGGGATGGTGTTGGTAGTGTTGGCAGTGCCAATGTGAGAGGTGGAGCTAATGAAGAATGCAGCAGTCAGATGAGGCCCTTGTTCAGGAATTGGACATGATTTTTTTTTAAATTTATTACTGCTATCTTTTATTTTAATTTAAAATTAAATTTATTTATTTATTTTATGATTCCATAATACAGTTCTACAGGCTTCAGGATTTGCCTTCCTCTCTAAGTCCCCCATGTCATTACAATAGTATAGTCCTTCACAATCAGTCATACATGGACATGATCTTTTAGGCAGTGGGAATCAGTTGGAGGATATTAAATAGGGGAAATCCGTTCCCAAAATATTTATTTATTTGCAAATCAGAGTGTCAGAGACAGAAAGGCTTCCATCCACTGTTCATTTCCTAGATGACTGTAAAAGTTAGTACTCAGCCAGGTTCAAGTCAGGAGCCAGGAACTGCATCTGGGTCTTGCATGTGGATAGCAGGGACAAGCACTTGGGCCATCTTCCACTGCTTTTCCCAAGTGGATATTAGGGAGCTGGACTGGAAGCAGAATACCTAAGATGTCAGCCAGCACCTGTCTGGGATGCTGGTGTCCCGGGTGGTGGGTTTACCCTATATGCAACTACACCAGCCCCAGGTAGAGGAAATTCTTAATGAGATATAAGATTTTAGAAAGTAACTCCTTGCAAAATGCAAACATTGGAATGGAGGAAAACTGAAAGAAATAGAAACTCAGATCTAGACAAAGCTAATGTAGTGCTTTTGTTTTTTCTTGAAGATTTATTTATTTATATTGTAAAGTCAGATATATAGAGAGGAGCAGAGACAGAGAGGAAGATCTTCTGTCTGCTGATTCACTCCCCAAGTGACTGCCTAGCCGATCCAAAGCCAGGAGCCAGGAGCTTCTTCCAGGTCTCCCACGCAGGTGCAGAGTCCCAAGGCCTTAGGCCGTCCTCGACTGCTTTCCCAGGCCACAGGCAGGGAGCTGGATGGGAAGAGGGGTCACCGGGATTAGAGCTGGCCCCATATGGGATCCCGGTGCATTCAAGGCAAGGACTTTAGGCACTAGGCTACCACTCCAGGTCCAACAGTTTTATTTTGGACTCAATTTTTAAACATTTTCTTAGACTGAATTAGGTCTTGTTAGCCATCAAATAGACAGCAAGTAATTGTTTGACTGAAAGATAATTTTTATTTTTAAAGGTTGGAGATTGACTCTTGAATAATTCAGATCACACGAGAAAGCGGGAACGGCTCATTAGGAATCAGAGACTTGCTAAGGAACCCTTAAGGTTTTAAGGAGCAGTCAGATGTTTTAAATTTTAGTAAAATTAGTTTTAATTTTGATAATGATAGCAGATGTGTGGCAAACAGCCAGGGTTTGAACTTAAGACGAATGTCTAGGGATATTCGTGGATAGAATGTTGGGTTACTTGTTGATAAAGATTCTGCTCCAGGGTGCAGTGTGAGTTTATTAAAGTGATGGTATGTAAAATAAGATTCATATATGTACGTGAGGAGTTTACTATCATTCTTGTTTAGGCTTGATAACAGTATATAATTAGTAACAGCTAGACAGTTGGCAATGAGGAAGATATCCAGAAATATTCATCTTGCAGCAGCTCATTTTCTGTGATTTGGTTAAATGGCTTTGAACTGTGGAAAGGAAGAGAGCTGTTTCTGAACCGGGCAGGAGCTTTTGGTTGTTGAGTTCTCAGCTGAGTGTGGAGAACTTGCTACCCTGCTGCATTGCCTTTACTCTGCCCCGCCGTCACCCAAGGCAGTGGTAGGAAGTTGGCACATGCATGTTCCAAAGATGAAGATACTGGAGAAATTGTTTGCTCTGTAGCTGAAGAAAAAAATCATAATCATGTAACCCTTCAATCCAAATGTTATAAAGTATAAATTGAATACAGGTGCTACTAAACCTATCTTCAGTTGTTTTAAAGATTAATTTATTTTTATTTGAATGGCAGAGTTAGAGAAAGAGATCTTGCATCTGCCGGTTCTCTCCCCACATGGCCACAATGACTGGGGCTGAGCCAATTTAATGCCAGAAGCCAGGAGTTTCTTCTGGATTTTCCATGTGGGCACAGGGGCCTGTGGACTTGGGCCCTTCTCCACTGCTTTCCCAGGACATAAGCGAAGAGCTGCAGTGGAAGTGTAGCAGCTGGGATTGGAACTGGCACCATGTGGGCATAACCTGCGATGCCATGGTGCTGGCCACGCCTGTTCTTAATTTATCCGTGTGGCATCATCACCTGCTGGAGGGATACCTGCATCCCGTGGCAGGGAGCACTTGGGTTTAAGTCCTGCTTCTCCTTCTGATTAGCTTTCTGGTAATGCATACTCTGGGAGAAATTAGATGATGGCTCAAGTCCTTAAATCAGTGCCTTTCAAATAGATAAATACATCTTAAAAAAAAATGAAGAAGCAGAATAAGCTCAGAGAGAAAGAAGGGATGAAATATAAAAGAAACTATGAAGAACAAGAAATGAGTGAAATATATTGGTGAAATTAGCTGTTGATAATAAATGAACTGTCACTTAATATTCAATATTAAACTCTTAAGAATAATGAGACAGAAGGTTTTCAAAAGTTAAATAGTGTCTTTCTTTTTCATTTAAAAATTTATTTTTAAAACGGCAGAAAAAAAAGAAGAGAGATTGTCTCTTCACTGATTCGCTGCTGGATTCCAGCAGCTGGGGCTGGACCAAGCCAAAGCCTGGAACTCAACCTGGATCTCCCTGCTGGCTGTCAAGGACTTTAGCCAGTTCTGCCTTCCAGGATATCCATTAGCAGAAAATTGGAAATAGAGCTGAGACTGGAGCTCAGGCATTCTTCTAAATAAATACATATAAATTATGTATTTCTAAGATAGATTGAAGCGTTACATGATTATGATTTTTTTTTCTTCAGCTACAGGGCAAACAGGAAAACTTGATCATTGTAACAGATGGCAGGAAAGATAAGGAAAAATATGTCAAGTGAAAGTAACAGTAGGCCACAGAAGGTCAAATGCAGCACGGTCAGGGTGGCTCCACAGTACTGTAGATGTGTGGGAACATGGTCAGTTCCTATTTCATGACGTGATGGAGTTCCATGGCCCAGATTTCTCCTCATGTGGAAATAGTGACTATGTAATGTTGAGGGAGGCTGTGGGAACTTCTCCGTGCCCCAGTTTCTTCACAAGATAAAGATGGCAGTATTTATCTCACAGTGACTTTGGGAGTGTTAAATAACACACTTGAAGTATATAGAGTAATATATGGCACATGTTAAGTGGTTAAATGTTACCTCTAACTGATGATTTTTGATGTGTTAATTGATGACATAAAGACACATAAGGAAAACATTACAACAGTGGGTTTTTAAAAAGATTTATTTGAAAGGCAGAGTTAATGGAGAGAGAAAGAGAAGGAGGGAGGGAGGGGGAGAGAAAGAGTGAGCAAGAAAGAGAAAGATAGGTGTCTTCCATCCTCTGGTTCACTCCCCAGGTGATCAGGCTGTTGGGACCGGGTCAGACCAAAGCCGGAAACCAGGTTCCTCCTCTGGGTCCTCAGCCTGGGCACAGGGGCCTCAGCACCTGGGTCCTACTCGCTGCCTTCCCAGATACATTTTCAGAGAGCTGAGTTGGAAGTGGAGCAACCAGGACACAAATGAGCACCCATTTGGGGTGTCAGCAGAGGGTGCTTCAACTGCTGTGCCGTAGCACTGGCACCAACAGTGAGATTTTTATTGTGAAAATTTGATACATATAAAAGAATATTACAGTGCATAATACATATAAGTTAGGAGACAGTAAAATTAATACTTTGGAATTTAGTGCTGAATCTGAGACTTGTCTTTTCTTGGTCACACCTTTACCCTCCTTTTACCCCATGTGACCAGGTGCCTATCTGGAATTTTGGGTTGATTTTTAAAAAGGAATCACTTTATACATTTGTATATATCTCTAACCATTTTGCTTGTTTTGACTTTTAATGGCTATTTGTGTTATTCCTTGTGTGATTTACTTTTTCTGGTAAATTTTGTTGAGATTCATTCTAAATATCCATCCTAAAATTTAAAGTATTATAACGTCAATTCATTAATTGTCACTTAGATAACTATGCCACAAACTACTGGGAGATGTTGAGTGAGTAAATTGATACCTACTAAGGGCTTAGAGTAGTGCTTGGCACACAGTAAGATCTAAAAGAAAAACAGCCATTTTTTAAAAAATTTATTTATTTTTACTGGAAAGGCAGATATACAGAGAGGAGAAGAGACAGAGAGGAAGGTCTTTCATCCGTTGGTTCACTCCCCAAGCGACTGCAGTGGCTGGAGCTGAACCAATCTGAAACCAGGAGCCTCTTCCTGGGCCGTCCTCGACTGCTTTCCCAGGCCACAAGCAGGGAGCTGGATGGGATGTGGAGCTGCTGGGATTAGAACCGGCACCCATATGGGATCCCAGTGCGTTCAAGGTGAGGACTTTAACTGCTATGCTATTGTGCCAGGCCTGACAGCCATGCATATTATTCACCTGTGTGAAATGTGGTGTGACTGGGACGTGATTCCTTTTTTCCCTTGCTGCTGAGCGCTTGGGCTGCTTTCCAGGGTCATTGTTCTAAGCATTTGTGTACCTCGGCCTTTGTGCCCCGGTTTAAGTATCTTAAAGGCAAGTAAATGGACCTAGAAGAATTGCTGGGTTGTATAGGCATGTTAGAGGATGGCAGTGTGTTTGGAAAGGTCTGTTCCTGCAGGCAGTGTGTGTGTTCCTCTTGCTATCTACCCTGGCCAGCATTAGGTCTTGTTTCCTGTGAAAGTTTTTTTTTTTTTTTTAATCTCCATTTTTCCCCCTCATGGATGGTATTTTTCTTTGACCTGGAAGCATTTTTAAAAAATATGTAAAAAGTTTAAATATTTAAATATTCTTGATTAGTTGGAAATATCTTCTCTGCACTTGAGGCTTTTTCCTTTTCCCAAGAATTATCTCTAGAACAATTATAAGTGGAAAAACTATACACTTTTTTTTTCCTTCATTGTAAAGAAATGTCTGTAAACTTTCACCATTGAATACATTATTCATTATTGGTTTTACACGTTAAAGAAATTTTTTTGTCCTAATTTCTGAAAGGGCTTATGACTTGTATGACTATTAAATTTGCTGCACGATTTTTCTTTAGCTTCTAAAATGGTTCTATAGTTGTTGTTGTTGTTTTTAAATCTATTAACGAGGGGGAAAATAACTTTAGTAAAGGTTAATTACTCTTGCTGTCTTAGAATGCATTCATCAGATACGTTACCTTTTTTAGACATTGTTATATTAATTGTTCTGGATTAGTATGACATCAGCTCTTTAATGTAAACTTTTGTTTAATAAACCTTGCAGTGGAAAATATAGGCGCAGAACTCAAGGCTCCACTTAAAGAACCGCTCCAAGTAAGAGGTGAGTATCTGTTTCATGCTGTTTTTTAACGTGAATATGCTCTGAATTAAGTATATGTTGATAATTTATATAGTTCTCCTTAGTCTTCTTGTATTCTAAAATATAGTTTATATTTACTTGTATTTAGAATCATGTAGATTTAGTCTCTCTTCAACTTAGAATAGCAAATGGAATTGATAAATATTGGAATAGAATATGAAATACATTACAATTTGAAGCAGATCACCGATTTTTTGGTAAGTAGCTTCTACACTGAGATGATTTAGATAGACTGGTAGGACATGGTTTGCACTTCGTCGTCAGTGTCATCTGCTGTAGACGAACTGTGAGAAAAAGCTGGGTGACGACAAATGCAATTTCACTCTGTTTTATACTTGTATAATTCTTTTTTTCTGATGTGATTGTGTCACAAAAAAGGAGTCTTTTTAAGCAGAATTTGTTAGTATTAGCATATATTCATCTTTTAGTGTGTATATTTATTTTCTTCATTTTTTGTTTAGTCAAAGCAGTCCTTAAGAAAAGGGAGTATGGATCTAAGTATACACAGAATAATTTCATCACTGGAGTCAGAGCGATCAATGAGTTCTGCCTTAAATCCAGGTACAGTAGTTTGTTTACGTGTAATAGTGTGCCTAGCTACATAATCCCAGTAAGTGCTATGCCTTAGAATCTGCTACCATCCATATGTGAGGATTTTCCTTCTGATTTTTTTCTAAATTGAGGAAATATTTTTATCTAGTCAAAAATGTGACAGTTGTTAAGTAACCAAACTACATTTTCCCCTCACATAAGCAATTTTGTTTCTTAACATCTTAAAAATCACCATGATGAGTTCTTTCGAACTGCTGTATTATCCTAAAGTCCTGGGCGTGGTGCAATTGCTCAATAGGTAATTCCTTCTTTGCATATGCCAGGATCCCATATGGTGTCTGTGTCCTGGCTGCCCCACTTCCCATCCAGCTCCCTGCTTGTGGCCTGGGAATGCAATGGAGGACGGCCCAAAGCCTTGGGACGCTGTATCCGCATGGGAGACCTAGAAGAGGCTCCTGGCGTCAGCTCAGCTCTAGCTGTAGCAGCCAATTGAGTGAACTAGCAGATGGAAGACCTTTCTGTCTGTCAGTCTGCCTTTTCAATAAGAATAAATTAATTTTAAAAGGAAATATGTATATCCATAACAAATGTTACAGTTTAACTTAAAGTAACAGTGAGAACACTGATGTAAAACTATTCCATTTCACATTTAGTTCAAAGAAAAATTTTGTGAATTAAGTGGATCAGATATTGATTGCTGTCTCTGTATTCAATATGTTAATGACTTTCCCAGTTCATTTAACAAATCAGTGACAGAGAGTTCGTTACATAGCTTTTGATGTGTTGTCCGAACTCTGACAAGTACTGGCTGTCAGTTTCTTGAAAATATAGGTTTAGTTTCTGCAATTTATGATGTCCAGATTTTTATTTATGGGTGTTCTCATTAGGAAAGTTCTTTAGGAAGAACCAAAGTTAAATGGAAAATGTTTATTTAGTAGTAACTCGATGACCAAATAACCCTCTCAGAATATGAGAAAGGAAAATCTTTACAAAAACAGGTAACTAACATAACCCTTTATGAATTTTGACACTTTGGGATGGTTTTACTACTTACTAGTTTTCTAGATGAAAACAAACTTGGTGTAAAGTTTTGATTTAATTGATTTCTTCCAAGATGATTTCGGGGCAGAGAGTGAGGGTGAGCGAGCGGGGAGACACTTAGACAAGTACATGCTCTCCTGCCTGCTGGTCCGCTCCCCGGAAGCAAGTCCAAAGTAGCCGGCAGCACGGAATGCGAGTGCAGTCTCCCCAGTTCCCAATGCTCTGCTGCCTCCCGTGTCCGCAGTGGCAGGAGGACTGACCCCGCACTCCAGGGTGGCCCTTCTGTATGCTGACCTGCATCGTAACCAACTGGACGAATACTGCCTGTTAAATTCTTAGAATGATCCACTAATCTGTGTTGTTTCTTTTCCCATACATTAAGAATGGCACTGTTGTGCCCATTACAGATTAAAAAAAATAAACCATGGATGAGCAGGAACTGAATCTCTGTATATTACATGATGGCGTTTCTATTAAATATCAAAAAATCTTTTTCCTTACTGTCTCTGGATCATTTTTTAATGTGAAATACCATCTTTGAACTGTTCTTTAAAAGCTGAGGATCTGTGTAGTAGCTTTTTTCTGCCCTTAGTAATCTTTTAAAGTACATAAACTATATGTTTTTTCTAAATAAACTCAATATATTTCTTTCTCCAGTGATCTAGAACAGCTGAGAAAAATCAGGCGGCGAAGTCCTCATGAAGATACTGAGTCTTTTACTGTGTACCTGAGATCGGACGTGGAGGCAAAGTAAGAAGATCCCTGCGTGCAGTTAAAGTACAACCCAGACACAGGACTGAGAAACACTTAAACAGTCAGAATTTATTGTATCAAATATTTAAAAGATTACATGTTTATATTCACAAATGTGTCTAACTGGGTATTAGTTCTAACTTAGATGTACATATAGCTGTAAAATATATATTGCAATGTATAAGAAAACTCACTGTTGAATTCACTCATATTTTTAGACTTAATTTGGAAGTTTCTCACGTGATCTGTGTTTTCTAAAAGGAACTTATGCTTGGTTATGAGATTCTCATTTGCATATGATATGGTTCCTGGATAGATTTGAGTATGATACATCAGAGTCATTAGCGTTGTTCATTGCTGATGACCATATGTGTGTGCATAGATCTTTGGAAGTTTGGGGAAGCCCTGAAGCTCTTGCCAGAGAGAAGAAGCTACGCAAGGAAGCAGAAATAGAATATAGAGAACGTAAGTGGATTCGTTTAAAGTTAATTGAAAAGCAACTCTTGCAAATGAAAAAAAAAAAGTTAATTGAAAAGTAAGTAAGAGTTGCACCGTGGTAACCGCGTGTCTGTAATGTTTGCACGCCTTCTAGCCTTGGACTCACTTATCTTACAAAAAAAAGGATGCTTTGTGTTTTTCCCCATAGCATTTTTTTTTAAGATTAATTTTTTTGGAAACGTAGATTTACAGAGAGAAGGAGAGACATCTTCCAGCTTCTGGATTCACTCCTGAAGTGGCCGCAATGGCCAGAGCTGAGCCAATCCAAAGCCAGAAGCTTCTTCTGGGTCTCCCACTTGGGTGCAGGGTCCCAAGGCTTTGGACCATCCCCCATTGCTTTCCCAGGTCACAAACAGGGAGCTGGAAGGCAAGTAGAGTAGCCAGGACCCAAACCAATGATCATGTGGGATCTCAGTGCATATAAGACGAGGACTTTAGCCACTAGGCAACCGCACTGGGCCCCTCTGCATAGCATTTTAAGGATGAGAGGGAGAGAAGCTACAAGTTGTAGTTTTTATAACAAATGTAACTATTTGAATTTCAGTCTAATTTGAAGATTCTACTTGTTATGAAAATAATAGACAGTAACTGCTTTCTTCCAGAAAAGTCTGTTAATTCAGCTTTGACTTTAAATAACTTAGTAGATATTTGATAAACACCTATTGTGAACAAGAAGCTGTGCTTGGTGTTTGAGTTCTGGCTGTGTTACTTCCCAGCCATATATTGACACTCAAAATGCCTGTAATAGCTAGGAATGGGTCAGGCTGGATCCAGGAGCCAGAAACTTAACCTGGATCTCCTGTGTGGCTCTAGGGCCCCATGCACTTGTGCGTGGTCAGCTGTCTTTGGAAATGCATTAGCAGCAACTGGAGTTAGGAGTGAAGCTAGGATTTGAACCCAAGAATTGTAGTTTGGCTTTTTCACAAGCAGCAGCTTAACTACTGTGCCAAATATTTGTATCTCTTGCATTTGTGAATGAAAAAATATGGGTCCAGCATTGTGTTGTAATGGATTAAGCTGCTGGCTGCAACCGTGGCATCCCATCAAGTCACCAGTTCAAGTCCAGGCTGCTTCACTTCCAGTGCAGTTTCCTGGTAATGGGCCTAGGAAAGGAGCAAAAGATGGTGCAAGTCCTTGGGCCCCCACACCCACATGGGAGACAGAAGAAGCTCCTGGCTTTGGTCTGTCCCACCCTCAGTCATTGCAGCCATTGGGGGAGTGAACCAGCAAGTGCTCATCTCCCTCTTTCTCTCCTTAACTCTAGCTGTCAAACAAATAAAAGAAATATTTTTGTAATGAAAAATTTGTTTTTATATTGGGTTTAAATAATTCATTTCTAATAACTAGTATCCAACTGACTTTACCTCAGTGCAAACCCAGGCACCCCCCCCCCCCAATCCACTTTTATTGTGGTGAAAACTATGAGTAAGACAGAATTTGACATTGCAACTGTTTTTTAATGCGCAGTCTAGAAGTTTTAAGTATATTCACACTGTTAGAAAGCAGATTTTCAGAGTCATTCATGTTTCACCATTTAGCCTGTACCCATTAAGGAACTACCATGCTTTTTCCCCAACCCCTGGCAGCAACCATTTCGCTTTTCATTTCTAAGAATATGAGAACTTTAGATACCTCATATAGATGGACTCATATTTGTCCTTTGTTATTGGTTTGCTTTCCTTAGCATATTATCTACAAGGTTATTGCATGTTGTAGCTTGTGACATGATTTCTTTCCTTTTTAAGACCAGATAGTATTCTGCTGGATGTGTGTATCTCATGTTCTTTATCTATTCATCCAATGGATGTTTGGGTTGTTTTACCATTTAACCATTGTGAGTAGTGCTACTGTTAACACGAGTGTTCACATGGCTCTTCAAAACCCTATTTGTTTGAGATAGATGGCTAGAATTGAGATTGCTGAACCACAGAGTAATTCTGTCTTTAATTTTTTTAAGTAACCCCACATTGTTTTTGACAGTGATTGCATCTTTTTGCATTCCTGTCATCAGTACACAAGCTTTCCACACATCCTTGCCAACACTTGTGCTTTTTGTTTAATAGTAGCCATCCTAATGGTATGCGATGATTCCTCCTTATGGTTTTTATCTCTATTTTTCTAATGGTTTTGATATTGAATATCTTTTCATTTGCATATCACTTTTGGAGAAATACCTGTTGAAATCCTTTGCTATTCTTTAATGGGGTTGCACATGTAAATATCCTGTAACTTGATAGTTTTGCTGGGAGCTAGTAAAGCAGGTTTACCATAGTCCTTTTATTTATTTATTTGAAAGGCAAAGTTACACACAGGGAAGGAGAGATGGGAGAGAGACGTCTTCCATCTACTGGATCATTCCCCGAAGTGCTGCAACAGCCTGAGCTGGGCTGGTCCAACGCCAGGAGCATCTTCCTGGTCTCTCATGTGGGTGCAGGGGCCCAGGGGCTTAAGCCAGCCTTCACTGCTTTTCTGAAACATTATCAGGGAGCTGGATTGGATGTGGAGCAGCTGGGAGATGAACTGCTGTTTATATGAGAGCCAGCATAGCAAGCAACGTCTTTATCTACAGTGTTGTCCCCAACATATCTTAAAAGGAATAATTGCATTAATCTAAGCTGCAACTGCAAAAAATATGTATGACCTAAATTTATTTTGTAATTCTTATAGGGCTGTTTAGAAACCAAAAAATATTAAGAGAATATAGAGATTTCTTGGGAAATACCAAGGTAAGGAAATCTTTCTAATAATGTGTGTTTGAATTTGACTACTTCAGATATTTCATATTATTATTAATATTAATTAATATTGCTATTCATACTGATGGTGGTATTATAGCACTAATATTAGCCCATTGCAAATTCTAGTATGTCTATGGTTTAATTCAGGGTTTTCTTGAGCAAGCTAGTTTACTAAATTATGTCTATTCGTTGCTGATTTTCTTCAAATTTTAAAAATTGAAGTAGATTTTCTTTAAAATATAACCATGTATGCACATTAACCTGTAGCTGTAGATGGAGAAGACTTTATTTTCAAAAGTTTTGGCAGGATTAGCTCTCATGGATACCCTGAATTCTTTCCCTTCTGCTGCTTGTGACTCTGGTTTAACATTCAAGCTACCAACTCTCAGCTTAGCCCCGAAAAACTCAGCCCTTAGATGAGAAAAGTACATAACTATCTTGACCATTTGTTTCTTTTCCATAGGACTGTATAAAATCAACAGACAATATTGTTTGTCTTACTAACCTTACCCAGCACATTCACTCTCCTACCATTTGCAACAGTTACACTATTTGCAATCTTCCCACTGTTCACTCTTCCACTGTTGGCCCTATTTAATTGAAAAAATAAGTACATAGTAATTTAATAAAAGTGCATCATCTTTTGTCCCCAATTATATACCAGAATGCACTGTTTTTCTTCTTTCAAGGAGGAACTTAATATTGGGGTAACAGAAAGTTTGCTGTTATTGCCTCTTTTTTCTACTGATACTGGTACAATTTGGGCATTTATGATGTACTCCACTGAAATGGCTCTTACCATTGTCACCAGTCCTTCCAGAGCATTCTATCAGCTTATGGTTTGTTGCCTTCCATCCATTGAAACTTGGCTAGGAGGAATCTCTTATCAAGAAGTCGTTCCATTGCTCACTTGGGCAGAACATGCACTAAAATTGGAATGATACAGAGAAGATTAGCATGGACCCCTAAGCAAGGATGACATGCAAATTCATGAAGCGTTCCATATTTGGGGGGAGCTGCCTTCTTCAAGGAGAAGGAAATCAGGGAGGACAAACTGTGAAATGTTAGTTTCTGAGTTTTACCATATAGAGTCTAAGATTAAAAAAAAAAGTTGCTCCCAAAGAGAGTGCTTGGCCTAGCAGTTTAGACAACCAGTCATACTACAGTTCTTGATGATGCGCTCCCTGGGAGGCAGTGATGACTGCTCTTAAATATTGGGCTCCTGCCACCTTTGAGAAAGCAGACCAAATTGGTATTAATTTTGGAACCTTACTATGAACCATTTCGTTTTTCTTTTTCTTTTTTTTTTTTGTAATTCTTTATTATTATTATTATTATTATTAATTACATTGCATTATGTGACACGGTTTTATAGGTACTGGGATTCCCCCCACCCCTTCTCAAACCCTCCCCCCATGGTGGATTCCTCCACCTTGTTGCATTACCACAGTTCAAATTCAGTTGAGATTCTTTCATTGCAAGCATATACCAAGCATAGAGTCCAGCATCTTATTGTCCAGATAAGTTCAACGGCTTGTTGGGGAGACCATCTCTGGTCTGAAATAGAGCTGGCAGAGTATCATCCCAATCAATTAAAAGCCCCAACATAACATCAGCAACAATTTATAACATTATGGAGTTAATTCACATAGTATTGAGTAGCCAATATGTTAAAAAAAAATGCAAGTTCTTAACCACATCCTGTGACTTCCTCGTTGACATTTCAATTTTTGTTTATGTACAACTGGGTTCTATACACCTTAAAATGGCTATAGGTTACTACTCAGCTGTCTCGTGACTATTTTCATTATAGTATTTAGCATTTTATAGCATTGAAGCATAATTTTGCTGAACTTGGCTTTTTTCTGGGTAGTCTAGATTGGCTTATAACTCTAACAGGACATATGTCAACAGTTTAGGTGCAGAACAGTTTTAGGAGGGGTGTGCAGAGAAATCTTCAATGCCCTAGTGAGGAGTAACTAATCTTTGTGTCCCTCCTAGTAAGAAGTAAGTGAATCCACGCTGACCGTTTCCTGTCTGATTCTAAGATTTACTTGTTCTCTGTCTGTCTATTCTAGATTGTTTGTTTGTTTGTTTTGAGGGGTTGGCAATGACCTCCTGATGGTCATTGCCAGAGAGGGTGGGGACCCAAAGTTGGAACCAAGCGAGGACCAGAGAAAGCTCCCCTCCCTAGTCCCGAAGGAAGTTTACTGTTTTTCTGTTTCTGCGGACCACTCAGGGCTCCTGACTGTTGTTCTGGAGCCCTTGGATCCTGTGAGGAAGGATTTGGACTTGTTCCATCCCATGTGGTAGCTCCAAGTGGGAGTGGATGACCTCAGAGTTCTCGGCCTCCGAGGGCACTCCAATTCCCTGTGGTCTCCTTGGCTGTTGGGATGTAGTCCTTCGTGCCCGTACTGATAGTCCTTGGTGAGAATCCGGGAGTCTCTAGGGTTGGGATACAAGCCTCCTCCTGTCCATCTGATCCACTCTGGTGTCCCCCACTGCTCCATGTATATGACCTCCTATTAAGAGGTTGTCAGGATCGCTCTTTTTTTTTTAAAGATTTATTTTTTTTTCGGGCCCGGCGCAGTGGCGCAAGTGGTTAAGGTCCTCGCCTTGCACGCCCGGGATCCCATATGGGCACCAGTTCTAATCCTGGCAGCCCCGCTTCCCTTCCAGCTCCCTGCCTGTGGCCCGGGAAAACAGTCAAGGACGGCCCAAAGCTTTGGGACTCTGCACCCATGTGGGAGACCCGGAAGAGGCTCCTGGCTTCAGATAGGCATAGCACCAGCTGTTGCGCTCACTTGGGGAGTGAATCATCGGACAGAAGATCTTCCTCTCTGTCTTTCCTCTCTGTATATTCGCCTTTCCAATAAAAAAATAATAAAAATAAATCTTTAAAAAAAAGATTTATTTATTTTTTATTACAAAGTTAGATATACATAGAGGAGGAGAGACAGAGAGGAAGATCTTCCGTCTGTTGATTCACTCCCCAAGTGAGCACAACGGCCAGTTCTGCGCGGATCTGAAGCCGGGAACCAGGAACCTTTTCCAAGTCTTCCACATGGGTACAGTATCCCAAAGCTTTGGGCCGTGCTCCACTGCTTTCCCAGGCCACATGCAGGGAGCTGGATGGGAAGTGGAGCTGCCAGGATTAGAACCGGCACCCATATGGGATCTGGGCACGTATTTCTTTGTGGATCACCAAAAAATTTTGGCTTTTGGCCCAATGAGAAAGAAGATAGATAAAAATTTGATAGATTGGGGTGGAAGGTAGTAGCATTTCAGGGAGAAGAAAGAAAAACCATAGGAAGAAAGTATTCAAGGAATGACAAAAAAATTTAAATCAAGAAAATATTTTCCCTGATTATGTTTCTCTGTTGTTTTGTTACCTTTGTTGGGTCACTTTGACAAAGCAAATGCATTATTTTTATTTCATTATATTTCATTCATCTGCAGAGAACACTCAGGAGTTCAGTAGAGCAGGAAACTTGTTGGCTTGGATTGTTTCTTTCCTAAAAGTGAACACATTGCTCAAGAAGATTTCAAAAAATTAGAATATATGGATTTTCAGTTCAATATTTATATCACTTTATGAATCATTTCTGTGTAGCAGACTCAGATCCTTTTGTAAAAGTAGACTGGTCATGAATTATAAGGAAACAAAACAAAGTTGTGGAAAAAGACCCATTTCAAGGAAAAAAATTTAGAGAGAAAGAAATAACCTAGTTTTTCTGAGATCTTTGAACTAAGAGAAATTCTCTGGTGTGTCAGGGCCCCCTGTTATAGCACTGTGCTCGGATATTTTGGAGGATTTTATTTCTGCTTTTTTGCAGCCACGCTCTGGAACGGCATCAGTGTTCTTTAAGGGACCAGGAAAAGTGGTGATGGTTGCCATTTGCATGTAAGTACTGAAAAGTAAGCCTTCTTAGATAGCAGCATATTCCTTTAAACAAGTCTATATTATTTTTTGAAAATTGAAGAAATCCTCAATAGTGTTTGTAAGGGGTGGGGGAGAAGTATGAGTCTATATAGACACCCATGTTTGTGCTCTGTATACTTACAATGTAATTAAGAACATTTGGGGGCCCGGCACGATGGCTCAGTAGCTAAATCCTTGCCTTGCATGTGTCCGGAATGCCATATAGTGGGCGGTGTGTGTCCCAGGTGCTCCACTTCCTAATCCAGCTCCCTGCCATTGTGCCTAGGAAACAGCCAAGGATAGCTCAAGTCGTAGGGCCCAAGTACCTTTATGGGAGACCTGAAACAAGCTCCAGGCTCCTGGCTTCAGTTCAGTCCAGATCCTAGTCATTGCGGCCTTTTGGGAAGTGACTCAGTGGGTGAAGATCTCCCCTTTCTCACCTCTCTGTGCAGAAATCTGAATTGCAAATAAAAATAAATGTTTTTTTTTTTTTAAATTGATCAGGAGTAAGCATTTAGTCTAGCAGTTATACCTGCATCCCACATCAGAATTCCTACACTAATTTTAGGCTCTGTCTCCTGACGCTAGCTTCCTGCTAATGCAGACCTGGGAGGCAAGCAGTGATGACCTAAGCAATTGGGTTTCTCCACCCTGTGGGAGACTGCATTGCATGCTGGCTTCTTGCTCCTGCTCAGTTGATGTGGGTATTTGGGAAGTGAACCAAAGATTGGAACTTTGTCTTTACCTGTAAAATAAGAGAACATTTTAAGAAAAGAATACATGAAATTTGTGATTGATACTGTGATGGGATCTGGGAATATCAAACTTAATTTAATTCATAATTATTTAAGGATTAGAAGGGTGCTAAACTAGAAGAAAGCATTTCCAATAATGTAGGCAAGGAGAGGATGGTCATGGTGGTAAACTTGGAGAGATGTGGAAATGTTCCAGAAGTGTTTAGAAGTTATGGGGAAGAATGGGCCCACAGTTTCCAATGTACAGTTGGAAAGCTATTGCATGATTCATGGAAACAACGCAGAGTGGGAACAAAGAAAATGATGCATTCCTGTTTGAGTTTGAGGAGTCTGTAGGCTTTTGTAAGAGCTGGCAGTGGATTAGTGGGCTTTTTGACCAGGAAAACAGGGACATCATTACAGTTTCCATCAAAGGAATATAAATAAACCGCTTACCATACCAGCTAGTAATATGTACTGAATAAATTGATGCATATTGTTAATATATATATTTATCCGAAACTCAGGAGGCTGACCAAGATAGTGATTTGGTGTCAAAAATTTGATACTATCTATGTGACAATTAAAGTCAAAAGGAATCATTAAGATAACTTAGAGAATATACATATAATGTAAGGAAGAAAAAGCCTTTGAGAGAAATAAAACTGCATTGCTGAGAATTGAGTAGGGGAGAAGGAGCCTGTACACATAGAGAGAATACCGGGAAACTGAGGAAAGACTATTTGAAAAAAATAATAATAATACAAAATGCATCTGAGGAGGTAAGGAAAATACTGAAATGTTTCCAGGAATTAAATTGCAAGGAATGAGTGGCAGTGTTGGTAAGAACAATCTAAGATGGAATTTGAAGATAGAAAACATTGTTGAATTATTTGAAGTCTTTATGCAGTGAAGAAAACTGAAATAGCAAAAAGGTATTTTCTCAAGATTGAAGGAGAGACGCAGGGAAAAGGGTAGTTGGAAGCGGGTGGGGATGTGTGTTTTCCTTGTCATCAGACATGGCAATGAGTAGGATTGTGCCTTCATAACATTTCATGGCTGAAGAGATCTGGGCAGGAGTCCCCTCGGAGCCGACCATGTTGAGCTCAACAGCTGGATCTCCTAGGATGATCCAGGGACCGTTGGTCTAGTTGGTCCAGCATCTGCCTGTTTGAATAAGCAGACCCTCCCCGAAGTCTTGCCTTGGATACTGTGCTGCTGGGCAGTAGCAAGTGCAGATCCTCTTCTCCACAGCGCCTCTTTTTAATTTCATCATGCCCAAATATAGAACACATGTTCCCTCATCAAATCTCAAAACATATTTAAGTGATTTGCTTACATTTGGCACATCTCTTCATTTGAGTTCTTAACGGCACCATAATCTCTATCCTTCAGACTGCTCCTTTGTTGCCTAAATTTAAGGTCCTTATAGGCAAAGGATGTGCTTTCAACAGAATGTAATATGAAGTCAGTTCCATGAGCTTTTGAAGGAAATTTTAATCAAAACCTGGGCTAAGTTGTTTTCTTTTTCTCTCCTAGCAATGGATTAAACTGCTTCTTTAAGTTTCTTGCCTGGATTTATACAGGATCAGCAAGTATGTTTTCAGAAGCTATACATTCATTATCTGATACTTGTAATCAGGTGAGATTGAAAGTTTTTTTCTAAATAAATTTAAAGGTATTTTCTCTTAGGCTTTAGCCAGAAAGTTGACCTACTTATAAACAGGTATTATTTTAGTTTTCTTGTTGAAGAGGACAGAACTTTACGTCTGAGTGATAGAATGTACTTACATATGATCATGGCTTTTTTTGTTTTGTTTTTTTTTTTTAAGATTTATTTATTTTTATTACAAAGTCGGAGAGGAGGAGAGATTGAGAGGAAGATCTTCCGTTCAATGATTCACTCCCCAACTGAGCGCAATGGCCGGTGCTGAGCCAATTCAAAGCCAAGAGCCAGGAACTTCCTTCAGGTCTCCCACATGGGTGCAGCGTCCCAATGCTTTGGGCCGTCCTCGACTGCTTTCCCAGGCCACAAGCAAGGAGCTGGGTGGGAAGTGGAGCTGCTGGGATATGAACCAGCGCCCAAATGGGATCCTGGCACGTTCAAGGGGAGGATCTTAGCCACTAGCCTACTATGATGCTGGGCCCGATCATGGTGTTTTAAAGCAGGATATAATGCTTTAGAGCTTCCCACAATGTATGGGCAGAGCAGTACATGATTTCCATTCACTGAATGTTCTGGACATGTTTTTGTACAGATTTCTTAAAATGAGCACAATTTTTGAATCTGACTATAAGCTACTTATGATTATAAAAGTAAGTGAATCTAAGTCTTTTGAAGAAATAAAATGATCATGTTACTGGAGAAAACATCTTAGTATTAGAGTGGTAGTTTGAATTACTTTCCTTGAATTTGCAAATAAACAGTTTTTATAAAATTAAAATACTTTTGAATCCCCATGACATGCAATTGTGAATTCTTAATGATTACAATAAGTTTCTACTTGGGTATCATTTAATAGTTTAAAGAGTGTAGCATATTAAGAGACTATATTTTCAATGTTTATTTATCTATACTGCTGTCGTGTAGGAACAGATGCCCAGTGTGATAGCGTAATGGTTAAGGGCCTCGCCTTGAACACGCCCGGATCCCATATGGACGCCAATTCTAGTCCCAGCAGCCCCACTTCCCATCCAGCTCCCTGCTTGTGGCCTGGGAAAGCAGTCGAGGATAGCCCAAAGCATTGGGATGCTGCACCCATGTGGGAGACCTGGAGGAAGTTCCTGGCTCCTGGCTCCTGGCTTCAGATTGGTACAGCACCAGCCGTTGCAGCCACTTTGGGGAGTGAATCATCAGACAGAAGATGATATTCTCTGTCTCTCCTCCTCTATGTACATCTGCCTTTCCAATAAAATAAGTAAATCTTTTTTAAAAAATTAAGTTACAGGACCTGGTGTGACAGCGTAGTAGCTAAAATCCTTGCTTTCATGTGCTGGGATCCCATATGGGCATTGGTTCATATCCTCGCTGTTCTGCTTTTCATCCAGCTCCCTGCTTGAGGCCTGGGAAAGCAGTAGAGGATGGCTCAAAGCATTGGGACCTTGTACCCACATGGGAGACCTGGAAGAAGCTCTTAGCTCCTGGCTTTGGATTGCCTCAGCTTTGGCCCGTGTGGCCACTTGGGGAGTGAACCAGTGGACTATGTCTCCTTCTGTCTGTAAATCTGACTTTCCAGCAAAAAATAAATAAATAAATCTTTAAAAAAAATCCTTAACATGTAATAAAATTCAATCTTGCAACATATGAAAATGATGATCTATCATAATCAGTAAGTGATTTCAAGATTGGTAAGGTTGGTTTAACATTTAAAATATTAGGTATAGAAGGTTAATGTGCAAAAATCTGCATTTGAAAATGAACAAATAAATGAAGAATGAAATTTTTAGTAAATTCAGTCTGATGGAAACACTGAATATATAAGAATAGATCTTCGAAAGATACAGAAGACCTGTATACTGAATACTATAAATACTGCCGGGAAAAACTCAAGGTCTGAAGAAATGGAGACATAGATTCCGTTCACATGAATTAGGGACCATGATGGTAGAATTCACCTCAATCACAGTCATCTCTACAGACTTTTCATACAAACTGAAACAACACGGAAACACTAAATTCTGAAATTTAGATGGAGGTGCAAAGCACCTGGAATATTCAGTGTAAGCTTGGAAAAAGAGAAATTTGATGGACTTTGAGTATTAGTATAAAGTACAGTAACTGAAGCAGTGAGACATTGGCAGAAGGACGGATAGTGATGGAACAAAGCAGAGGAGTCACTAGCAGGCCCGAGTTACAGGCCAGTTGACTTTGGCAGAGGCATGGCAGCAGCTCTGTGAAGAAAGGAAGTATTTGTTTTAAAGATGTATCTATTTATTTTTACTTGAAAGAAAGATTTTCATCCTCTGGATCACTTTCCAAATTTCCTCAACAACCAAAGCTGGGAGCTAGGAGCTCCCACATGGGTGCAGGGGCCCAAGGCACCCCTTTCCTAGGCCGTTAGCAGGGGGCTGGATCACAAGTGGAGCAACCAGGACTAGAATCAGTGCCCAAATGGGATGCCAGCACTGTAGGTAAAAGATTAGCTTTCTACACTACCTCACCAATCCCTGAGAGAAAGTTTTTTTTTTAGCAGTGCTAAAAAAAATGTGGATGTTCATATGGAAAGTCAAGGACGCTTACTCCCACTTTACCCCATATAGAGATTTGAGATGGATCGTATACCCAGCTGTAAAAAGCTAAAAATGAAGGTTAGAGAAAAAGAATCTAGAAGATCTTAGCTCCTGACTTCGGATCAGCTTAGCTCCAGCTGTTGCATCCACTCAGGGAGTGAACTAGCAGAGACATGAATGGTGGTCAAAAAAGACATGATAAAGGTATCAGGAAAAGAATGCTCAAACAAGATACGTCTCATCACATCCATTTATGATGGTTAAAATTAAAAAGCAAATGTTGGTGAGGATATAGAGCAGCCAGGTCTCAGACCTTGATGGTGCAAGTCCCCCTGTAGACATGCATCTCGGCACATGACTCAGCGGCTCTGTCCTTAAGCGTCCACTCAGGCGAAATTCCTGAGTGTCCCCAGAAGACCTGGGAACAGAATTGCTTCTGGCTTTGACTTGAGCGAGTGAAGTCTGTGTTCTGGCACCCTTGTCCTGCACTTTGGTTGTGCAGTACTGCACATCCTAACTGCCTTCCTGCCCCCTCCTACGTCATGCTTTGTCTAAGACGTTTTCCATGTCAGTTCAGAAAGCCACATCCCATTGCCATTCCTCTGAATTGTTAGGAAATTTATTAATTTATGGTGTAACGGCTTTTTTTTTTTTTCTTTTACCATTTCCAAATATTTTTTTTCAGGTTGTTTCCATGTTCTTGATCTTTATAAACAATGATGGTTTGAGCTCTTTTATTTTTTTAAATAAATATTAGAAAGCAGTGGACAGGTATACAAGGGTACTGCTACATACAAAATGGAATCAGAATGTTTATCTTGCTGTAAGAACTTTTCAAGTCCTTCAGTTTGTAAATGTATGTGTTTTCCATGAACTTCTTGAAGATGCCACCCAGTGCCTTTAGCCGTTGTCAGCTTGTGCTTTCCAGATCTTCATCTCACTAATGTTTACCTTTGTTCTTCCTCGTAGGGGTTACTAGCCGTGGGCATCAGCAAGTCAGTACAGACACCAGACCCTTCACACCCGTAAGGACACTACTTCTATTTTTGTTTGACAATATTAAGACAAAAGCAAATGTGAAATGTTTGAATTTTAACATGTATCATTTTTTCAACTAGCTTCATTAATAGAATTTCATTAATTTTTTTTTTTGAGTGGCACACACACACAGAGTCAGAGATCAGTAGAGAGCTCATCCGTCTGCTAGTTCACTCCCCAAATGGTGACAGTGGCCAGGGCTGGGCCTAGCTGAAGCCATTTGGGGAATGAACCAGTGGATGGAAGATCTCTGTTTCTCCTCCTTTTTGTATAACTCTCCTTTTTCAGATGGAAATAAAATAAATATTAAAAAGAAAATTACCTGGCTCTCCTAGATGTGCAATAAATTATTAATGCTAAACTATTCAGTATCCAGTATCAGATTATAGGGATATAAATCGTGGACTGGCTGCACAAAGAACAAAATATTCAATTAAAAGCTGCATTATAAGGCAATTTAAGCTATTCCATTCATTAAACATCTGAATGCATTTTAAAAAAGAGGTTAATTTTACTAGCATTTGTAGTACGTAATAGTAAAGCAACTACTAAATCAAAATAAGTATTAGAAAGGGAATTAGACTAGAATTTAATAATATTCACGTTATGTGTTTTTGAAGATCTTATAAAATTTTCCTACTTTTAAGTTGCTTTTTTGATTAGAATTTGGCAATTATATGTAACTTAAATATACAAAACTATAATATTTTCATAATCTTTAGAATTTTTTTTTCATTGGCCTGTTAGCTGTGTATTTTGAAAGAAAACCATTTTTATTTTTGCAAAATGTATTTTTTTCTCTTTCAGGTATGGATTTTCAAATATGCGCTACATTTCTTCACTAATTAGTGGTGTTGGTATTTTCATGATGGGAGCAGGATTATCTTGGTACCATGGAGTCATGGGATTGCTTCATCCTCAGCCAATAGAATCTCTTCTATGGGTAATTTTTTTTTCTGTTTTGAAGTAACGTGACCTCGTGATTGAGTACAGCAGAGTCCCTTGTCATTTTGTTGTTAAAGAACAAGAATAACATAGACCTTTTTGACTGTGACACAGGGTTGTTGCTCTGTAGTTGTGTTTGTAAAAAAACAAAAACAAAAACACAACCTGCTTGGATATGACTTAAACCCATATGATCCATTGATGTTTAATAAGAGGATCTCTGCAATTCTTAAGTCTCATCTCCTTTATTAACATTTTAGGCAGTTCTATTAATTTCTTTGGTTGTTTTTGAAGAACCTAAGAGGTGCCTTAGTTCATTTTACTTATAAGAATATTCTAGTATCTATAATTAAAAACACCTAGCTGCATTTTGGGGGGATGATTTATTTATTTTTTTTATTGGAAATGCAGAATTACAGCGAGATTAGAAGAGTTGGAGAGAGGGAGAGAAAGATCTTGCAACTGCTGGTTTACTCCCTAAATGGCTGCCAAGGCCAGGGCTCGGCCAGGCCAAACCCAGAGGTTTTTCTGGGTCTCCACATGAATACAGAGGCCCACAGACTTGAGCCATGTGCTGCTGCTTTGCAAATCACATTAGCAGGGAGTCCGATTGGTAGTGAACCGTGGGACTCAAATGGTGCTCATTTGGGATGCTGGCATCTCACGTGGAGGTTTAGCTTGCTACACCACAGTGCTGGGGAGAAAGAAACAACAACCCAGTCTTGTATAGTAATAGTGAGAGAACCTTCCGGAAGGAATGGGAGGAGAGTTATCTCTGTATTCTCCCACCTGGGGCTTCTCCCCCTCTAGGCTGAGCTTGGGGTAGAAATAAAAGGTACAACTTTTTACTGGCATGATACCATTTTGTGTTATTGCTCTGTCCTTTGTTTAAGGCTTGGATTTTCTTATTGGAGGTTAACATGTGTGGTTGTTCTGATGCTGGCCCCTCGACAAGCACACATTGATCACTGTCAGTTCTTTCAGCTCATGCTGTTGTTCTAGATGCTGTTAACATTGCCCTAAGTTTGGCAAGAATACCTTTTGTACAGTTGATCTGCAGAATATTCTGGGTTTTGGGCCCAGCGCGGTAGCCTAGCAGCTAAAGTCCTTGCCTTGTACATGCAAGCATTCTTTATGGTTGCTGGTTCATGTCCCAGCAGCTCTATTTCCCGTCTAGCTCCCTGCTTATGGCCTGGGAAAGCAGTTGAGGACAGCCCAAACCTTGGGACCCTGCACCACCCTGCTGGGAGACCCGGAAGAGGCTGCTGGCTTCAAATCAGCTCAGCTGCGGCCGTTGCAGTCACTTGGGGCGTGAATCAACACATGAAAGATCTTTCTTTCAGTCTCTCCTGCTCTCTGTATATCTGAGTTTCCAATAGAAATAACTACATCTTAAAAAGAAAAAAAGATTTTGGACTTCATGTCAGGGCCAAAACAGACATGTCTAACTTCCTGGGGGAATGCAGGTTCTTCCCCGATAGTCACGTACTCTGCTGACGCGGCTGTACCGGACGTGTCTGTAGAGTGATCGTTCAAGTGCGTCTCAGACACAGTTTTCTGTGATTTCTAGATTCTGGGGGACACACATCAAACTTTCTGAGCAATCTCAACGACCCGATTGCTTTCACCAGTGAAGCCCTCACTGTGGACCTCAGCTCAGCTTTTCCTGGGTGGTTCAGATGTGGAGTTAGGGCGTGGTCTAGTGGGCACAGGCCCCAGGCTGTGCTTACCTTCTGTGCAAGGACTAGTAATGATCTAACAACTGATGTTAGAATAGGAGCGTGCTCAGAATCTGTTTTGTTTGGGTTTGGGTTGGAGCTAGAACAGGACAGAATTGCTATCATTTTAACTATCCTGTTGATCATATAAATGTAAGTAAAGCAAAGCCAGTCAGCTAACTCATTTACATTTGGTGTTGACTAGTTTCCTATGCTTTTTACTTACTAGTTTATTTTTCTTGCCATAATACATTTTATGTAATTAAAATGACCAAATGTCCTCCCTTCCAAACTAGTTTGACCGCTTTACAGCTATTTCATTGTCCTAACATCCATCTGTTTTTTTCTGAGGTTGATTAATTACTTGATTAATCTGAAAAACAAAGGGAGATACAGAGAAGAAGTTGACTCCCCAGATGGCTACATCAGCTGGGACGGAGCCCGGCTGAAGGCAGGAGCCTACACCTTCATGTGGGCCTCCCGTGTGGGTGGCAGGAGCCCAAGCACTTGAACCATCATTTGTTGCTTTCCTAGGCACAGAGAGTGGCAGGGAGCAGAATCAGAAATGAGCAGTCGTTTCTTGAACTTACATTCTAATATGGGATGCTGGCATTGTAGGCAGCAACTCAAACCGCTGTGCCTAAACCAGCCTTTCGTAGCATTGTTTTACAGGGGCAAAAGAGAGAATTTTTAAAAAGAGAATTTTTAATCTGTGTGTAAGTTATAAAGCTTCTAGAAACTCATGCATCTTAGTAGCTAAATGGGATTTTAAAAAAATATTTAATTATTTTTATTGGAAAGACAGATTTCCAGAGAGAAGAGAGACAGAAGGATCTTTCATCTGCTGTTTTATTTCCCAAATGACCACAATGGCCGGAGCTGAACCAATCTAAAGCCAGGAGCCAGGAACTTCTTCCATGTGTGCCATGTGGGTGCAGGGTCCCAAAGTTTTGGAGCTTCCTCCGCTGCCTTACAAGGCCACAAGCAGGGAGTTGGATGGAAAGTGGAGTGACCAGGACACGAACCGGTGCCCATACGGTATGCTGGCGCTTGCAGACAGAGGATCAGCCAATTGAGCCCTTGCTAAAAGGGATTTTGTTAGACCATGATATTTTGCTAAATAAATAGTAGATTCAGTGCACTATAAACCAGTTTATGTTTATTAGTTACTATTTTGGAATCCTTACTTGACTTGCTGTCGTCCTTCATTACATGATAAATATGTCTTGAATACTTTTGAGAGGTCCCAGTTCGGTAGCCTAGTGGCTAAAATTCTCACCTTGGATGTACCATGATCCCATATAGGCACTGGTTTGTATCCTGGCTGCTATATACTTCCCTTCCAGCTCCCTGCTTGTGGCCTGAGAAAGCAGTGGAGTACAGCTCAAAGCGATGGGACCCTGTACCTGTGTGGGATACCCGGAAGAAACTCCTGGCTCCTGGCAGATTGTCTGAGCTCTGGCTGTTGCAGTCACTTGGGCAGTGAACCAGCAGATGGACAATCTCTCTGTCTCTCCTCTATGTCAACCTGCCTTTCCAAAAAAAAAAAAAATTAATTAATCTTTAAAAAATAACTGGGGCCCGGCGCGGTGGCGCAAGTGGTTAAGTCCTCGCCTTGCACGCCCGGGATCCCATATGGGCGCCGGTTCTAATCCCGGCAGCCCCGCTTCCCTTCCAGCTCCCTGCCTGTGGCCTGGGAAAGCGGTTGAGGACGGCCCAAAGCTTTGGGACCCTGCACCCGCGTGGGAGACCCGGAAGAGGCTCCTGGCTTCGGATCGGCATAGTATCGGCCCGTTGCGGCTCACTTGGGGAGTGAATCATCGGATGGAAGATCTTCCTCTCTGTCTCTCCTCTCTGTATATCCGCCTTTCCAATAAAAAATAATAAAAATGTTAAAAAAAAAAAAAATTAATTAATCTTTAAAAAATAACTGGGGCCCGGCGCGGTGGCGCAAGTGGTTAAAGGTCCTCGCCTTGCACGCCCAGGATCCCATATGGGCGCCGGTTCTAATCCCGGCAGCCCCACTTCCCTTCCAGCTCCCTGCCTGTGGCCTGGGAAAGCAGTCGAGGACGGCCCAAAGCTTTGGGACCCTGCACCCGCGTGGGAGACCCGGAAGAGGCTCCTGGCTTCGGATCGGCATAGTATCGGCCCGTTGCGCTCACTTGGGGAGTGAATCATCGGACGGAAGATCTTCCTCTCTGTCTCTCCTCTCTGTATATCCGCCTTTCCAATGAAAAAATAATAAAAATAAATCTTAAAAAAAAATAAATAAATGAACACTTTTGAGAGGGAGATGCAAGGATTGAGAAGAGTTGTTGGGATTTTTAGCTACTGTGTTAATTATGTTTCATACTGAATGGAAAAACCTTGGGAATGAACAAGAGAGGCGGCTGCTGTTTCTCTGTGCTAAGGGAAAACAGCCTTGGAAGATACCAGCTTCCTTTCCAGCATTGTGAGAGTGTTGGACTCTGTCCTTCAGGAAAGTGTGGTGTAGCTAGTAAAGCTGCCACCTGCGACGCTGGCATCCCATAAGCATCCCATAAGCGTGCCAGTTCATGTCCTACCTGCTCCACGTGAAATGTTCTCTGCCATGGCCTGGGGTGAGCAATGGAAGATGACCCAAGAACTTGGGCCCCTGCACCCTTATGGGAGACCCAGAGCAAGCTCCTGGCTCCTGGTTTGGGTTTAGCCCAGACCTGGAATTGCAGCCATTGGGGAAGTGAACCCATGAGTAGAAAATCTTTCTCTGCCCCTCCCCAACTCTGGCTTTCAGATAAATAAATAAATCTTGTTTTTTGAAAGAAAAGTTTGGGGGTTCCAAAAGGGCACACTGAAAATTCTATAGATGCTTGGCTTCATTTTCACTAAAAGTTTTGAAAAATTTGGGCTTTTTAAAACCTGAACTAAAGATTCTATTGCCATCCATTTAATTGACAGATCTTGAGATGACAAGGAAAGTAGTGTTACCAAAAAGAAAATAATAGGTTACTGTTTATAACTGTTTTTCTCCTTCAAATCAAGATTCTTTTTGCACTGGGCACCCAGACAACAACCCACAACTTTATTGAGTATCATGTGGATCTTACTGTATCTGATGTGCACACTCCAGCTTTGAAATGTTTGTGTTCATATCTTACTGTGCTTTTAAGAATTGTTTCTCATCAAGAGCCTAATCATCTAGCTTGGATTGGAATTTATGTTTGGGTTTTGGATATTACAAACCATGCATGAGCAGTTCTGTAGTAAAATACTCATTTTGTGCTATATTTATTTTCTAGGCATATTGTATTTTAGCAGGATCGTTGGTATCTGAAGGAGGTAAATACTGTCAAAGTTTATCTTTATTGTGTAATAATATTTATTCAGTGGTCCATTATTGCAGTTTGCTAAAGTCTGTTGATTAAAGAAAATCGTAAGACCAGAACTATAAGCGTTGTCTGCTATAAGGGAATAAAATCTATATAATGACTGGTGACTGTTCCTGTAGTGGATGGAGGCAAGGGGAATGTGTGTTGGTTCTTGGGTATCATATCATCTCAGAACACTTGAAATAGAGTATACAAGTGTAACTGTATTGAGCTTTCTAAAGTCAGGTGTTAGTAGTGTCACCAGAAGGCGACTGTGTTTGTAATGTGAATAGCTCATTTCTGAAATATACAGCTGTAGTAATAGGAAGCTACTTCAGAAGTCCATGGAGAGGCAAGCATTGGCCAGCTGGTTAGGAGACTAGTTGGGATGCCTACATTGCACATTGGAGTGCTGGGATTGGAAACCTGAGTGTGACTGCAGCTGACTGCTTGTGCAGACCCTGGGAGGCAGTAGTGATGATGGTTCAAGTAATCAAGTTCCTGCCGGCTGCACAAGAGACCCGAATGCCTTTCATGGCTCTTAGCCTCAACCAGGAATCATTGGGTGCATTTGGAGAGTGAACCCATGAATGGGCGTGCATACACACACTCTTTTACTTACTCTCATTCTTTCTCTCTCTCAAACAAACAAACAAAACATAAATAAATAAATGTTTAAAGTAGGTGTTTGGTACAATCGTTAAGATGATGGCTATGATGCTAACATCTCACGTTGGAGTGCCTGGATCTGAGTTTTGACTCTTGCTGTCCATTCCAGTTTCTTGCTAATGTCCACCCTGGGATGCAGCAGGTGATGGCTCAAGTGTTTGGGTTTCTGTCACCCCATGGGTGACCCAGCTGAAATTAGAAAATTTTTAAATCCACATGTATGAAGGGTCTTCCAAAAGCTGAGAAATGTGTGTTATGAAAAAACCATGCATACATTAAAATTTTTTTTGCACCAACTTAAACTTATCTTTTATTGAAGTTTTTTGTTTTAATATTTATTTTATTTGACTTGAAAATCAGGGTTACTGAGAGAGAGAGAGGAAGAGAGAGAGACAGAGAGCCAGGTCGCACAGTGGCGTATGGGATCTCTGAACTGCAGGCAGCAGCTTTACCTGTGCCAATGCCAGTGAACTTCTGTGAATTCCATTCTCCCATGTATGTTTTGAAGTGCCCTCATATTCCCAGAGAGAATAACAAGTGTTGACATGAAACTGCCTAGTTTATTGCTGTATGCATAAACACATTGCCATTTCCCATGCACTTTGTTTCCTTCATTTGGTTTTTAAAAGTATTTTCATTGTCAGATCATAATTGTACATGTTTATTGGGCCCTTCATCTTTGGTAATGTATAATCTAATAATAACACCTGCCTTAGAATTTTGAGAGGATCAGAAAATGTTTGTTCTGGAGTGGTGCCTGACAGTTGAGGCTGTTGCCAGAGAAATTACGTTTATTATGGCATTCATATTATGATGGTGATTTAGTTAATAGAGGACTTTCCCTTATTTTTAACCCTGGCAAAAAAGTGTTGTACTATTTATTTATTTATTTATCTTTTGAAATGCCATCTTTAAAATGAAGGCATGAAATTTCTTCCTGGTTGATGTGAATGCCTTTCTTCCAGCTACACTTCTTGTTGCTGTAAATGAACTTCGTAGGAGTGCTCGGGCCAAAGGAATGTCATTTTACAAGTATGGTATGTGTTTTAGAAACTAGATATTTATTTTAATTCTTTTATTTCCTTGAAATTACTTAATACTCTTGCTTTGTTCCTAATAGATATTGTGGATCTGTCCCTTCCTTATGTGGCTCTCGTGTACATTGGGTCTTTTATAAGCAGAAATGTGGGAGTGGGTGTTGAGTTTAGTGGCTAAGACACAAATTAAGACACACTCTTATTGAGAGCTGGCTCCTGGCTGCAGCTTCCTGCTAACGCAGATCCTAAGCAGCAGCTGTCTTGACTCAGGTAATTGTGTTTCTGATATCCACGTGAGAAGCTTGGATTGAACTCCTGCCTTGTGGCCACTGTGGGAGTTTAGAGAGTAAGCCGTGGATGGGGACTCTCTTGTGTTTTTCTCCAGTACTCAGATAAATAAGTAATAATATTTTAAAAATGGGGTGGGTTTTTGATGTAGTGGTGAGGCTCTTCCTAGGATGCCTACATTCCAGGGGCCGTAGCTGGGTTACATCCTGGCTTCAGGCGGCAGCAGGTGGAGCTTCAGCAGGTGGATCCTTGTCGCTCATGGGGAGATAGGGTACTGAGTTCCTTGTTCCTAGTTGGCTGAAGTTGTGGGTATTTCAGGAGGAGTGAATAAGTGAATAGGAGTTCTCTTTTTGTGCCTTTCAAATTAAAAAAAATATAAAAAGAGAACTGTAGTACAACTTGAACACAAATACTTTAAATTCTAACCAAATGAATTATTATATTCCAAAATGTTAGCAGAACTTGGGAAATTGACTTTATATATTATATGTTATTGCTACATAAGCCAAGAAATTATATTTATACTTAACAATTTTAAAAATCATGATGCCTTCATGCAGTTTTTAATGTTAATTTATATAGTTTGATTTTAAGTAGATAAGATGTTACCTGATAGCATCAGGCTTTAAGATTTCAGAAATTTTCTTGTTTCTCTCTTAATGATGAAGTGATGGAAAGTCGTGATCCTAGCACGAATGTCATCCTGTTGGAGGACACGGCTGCAGTGTTGGGTGTGATGATAGCAGCCACTTGCATGGGTCTTACTTCTATAACAGGTAAATATGTCTTAAATTACTAAGGATTTGTAAAGCCTGATTATTTGATTTTGAACTCTAATTATAAACCTTCTTGTTAATTGTGCTTTACAAGTGGTCGTTTTTCTTAGCATAGACAGCGAGTTTACTTTTTAGTTTTCTGTTTTGACTAAATGTTAGTAAAACTAGTGTGTAAATTTGGATTTTTGATGAAATCACTGGTATATTTTGTCAGTTATTCAGAGAGCTAAGCAAAATCCTGACACTTCACTCTTAGAATAAAAGGGCATATCTGTAAGACTTACTATTAATGCTTATTAGTGTTATATAAATATTACATATGTGTTCATAGTAAGTTAGCATTGTTTGTTGGTTCTGGGAGAGAATTAATCCCTAATAACCTAAGGCAGATGTGAGAGAATCACTTCCAGGGCCAAGGGAAATACAGCCAGCTAAGCCCCATCTCCAGAACTCTGAAGGTCCAGGGTTTCTGGACTCAGTTGATTTCTGCTATGTTCTCAAGTGATGCTGCTGCTGGTCAAGGAACCACTTTTGAGAGCCGCCACCTTAAGGCACCCATGGCATGAGATGAACTAGCTTCTGTCCTTTGCCTTTTAGAGGAATACTAGCTACATATCATCTTTGGCTTAATGAGGAAAAATCATTCATCATTTTCTGTAGCTTAATTCTCTTTCAAAACTATAATAGGAATAAAACCAAAAAAAGGCTTTACTTTTTTTTAAGCATTTGTTTTCACAATTATTTTGTCAGTCTGGGGTAAGAAAAACACTACTGATATATCCAAAAGAATATACATATCATGCTTCTTATTTAAAAAAACTCTGAATTATCATTGATGGAATGGTCAGATATGGGAAAATGGGTCTTAAGTAACTAGGTCATATGGTGCTCTTCATGTAATACTCTGATTACACAGCAAGTGATATTAACATCTCCCTTTGTAGTAGGGTAAAGCTAACGGAAGTAGCTAAAGGAATTAGATGTGGAATTTACTACTACTTTACCTACTAGTTTTGATAAATGTAACATCATATTGGATAAGTATGAAAGCTAATTTGTAATTTTTTCAAATGTGCTTTGTCTAGGCAATCCACTGTATGACAGCCTGGGTTCTTTGGGCGTGGGCACCTTGTTAGGTGTGGTCTCAGCATTTCTCATCTACACTAACACAGAGGCCCTCCTGGGGCGATCCATCCAGCCAGAACAAGTGCAGCGGCTTACTGAGCTATTGGAGAACGACCCTTCAGTAAGGTCAGCCTTGTTTCACTGACGCTTTTATGGCTTACAAAGTGTATTAGAAACAAAAGTGCTTGATTTGTAAATACTTTCAGAGGGCAATTTGCATTCCTAGCCTTTTGAAGTTTGCAAAGTGGTTAACTCCTTCATGTGGAATCCCTACATTTATACTTGCTACTATTTATATTGCAATTGCAAGTAAAATTTTACAGGATTTTTATTCATGATGAACTGATTACCAAGCTACAGATGCATTATATTTCTTTTGAAAATTGACTGATTCAGCTTATTCAAAATTATTTTCCTTGTAACTATATTTTAAAATTGTGAAAGATGGACAAACTAAAGTCTTAGGAGAAGCAGAGAACTGTGGTTCTGATAGAACTTTCCAGTGAAATCGAGCAGCTGTGTGGTTCCATGATGACTTGGAAGAACAAACCTTTAAACTCCTCATTTTCTGTTAGTATTTCTTCATATGTGTTTTTCAATCTTCAGCAAGATTTTTTTTTAAAGATTTATTTATTTTTATTGAAAGCCAGATATACAGAGAGAAGGAGAGACAGAGAGAAACATCTTCCATCCACTGGTTCACTCCCCAAGTGGTCGCAATGGCCAGAGTTGAGCCAATCCAAAGCCGGGAGCCAGGAGCATCTTCCAGGTCTCCCACGTGGCCATCCTCAGCTGCTTTCCCAGGCCACAGACAGGGAGCTGGAAGTGAAGTGGAGTAGTTAGGTTTTGAACCGGTGTCCATTTGGGATCCCAGTGCACACAAGGCACGGACTTTAGTCACTAGGTTACCGCACAGGGTCCAGTAGTGTTTCAGTTTGTCTCTTCCTGTTATACCAGAATACCTGAGCCTGAAGATTGTATAAAGAAAAGGTGTTTGTTTAGCTCATATCTCTAGAGCTAGAGAAGTTCCAGACCTGCAGGCTGCGTCTGACATGGGCCTCCTGCTGCTTCAGTGCATCATAGAAAACAGAAGAGCAAACATTTGGAAGAGGCAAAAGATGAGAAATAACTTGCCCCATCACAGCCCACTCTGTGGTCACTAATTAAGTCTTAGCAGAGAACTCATTCTGCAAGATGCCTTTCAATTAATACAAGTAAATAAATTTTTGTAGTTTAAGATTTTAAATTTCCTGTTTATCTTCTGATCCCATTGGTTTATCAGTTATTCAAAGTCGGTTACTAATATCTTCAGATAAATTTTGTTGAATTGTCTGGTTTTCCTTTCATTTCTATCAGTTTTTCCCCCTTTTTTCCTTTTTTTTCTTAATGTATTTTGGTTGGTTGTGTGGTACATATATGTTTATAGTTTTACATATAATTGAAATCTGAAAATTATAATCTCAGAAATTGTGACAAATTTGAAATTTTCTGGAAAGTAAGGATCTTTGTATTAAATTTTTGAGAAAACTAAATGATAACAATCCAAAAAATTCATACAGCTTTTAAAGTGTCACATTAGCTAACTATTCATGCTTGACCAAACAGCCTCAAGTGTTGGGGTTTAAATAATCTGATAGCTTCTGTGAGTCAGTGCATACATGGCTTATGTGTCCTCTGGTTTTTTGTGTTTTTTTGTTTGTTTGTTTTTAATTTTAAAAAGGAGAAAGATCTCCATCCTATGGTTCACTCCTCAGATGTGCATACCAGCCAGGTGTGGACCAAGCTGAAGCCAGGAGCTGAGACCTCCATCCTGACCTCCACATAGACCCAAGTTCTCGGATCATCTTCCGTTATAGTTGTTGGCAGGATTTAGTTTCTTGCCACCTGTATCTCCCCAGCATGACAGGCTTTCTTTTTTTAAAGATTTATTTGATTGCTTTATTTGAAAGAGTTACAGAGAGGAGAGACAGAAAGAAAAATCTTCCATCTGCTGGTTCACTCCCCAAATGGCTGCAATGTCCAGAGCTGAGCCCATCTGAAGCCAGGAGCTTCTTCCTGATCTCCCCTGAGGGTGCAGAGTCCTAAGGCCTTGGGCCATGCTCTGCTGCTTCCCAGGCCACAAGCATGGAAATGACTAAGAAGTGGAACAGCTGGGACACAATCCAGCACTCATAAGGGATTCCAGCGCCACAACAGAGGCTTAGTCTACTATACCACAGTATCAGGCCCCATTGAAAGCTTTATCAAAGCACTCAAACTAATATAGCAAAAGGAATTCAGTGTGAACAAGACTGAAATCTCAGGCCCAGCACGGTGGCCTAGCAGCTAAAGTGCTTGCACTTGCTAGGGTCCCATATGGATGCCACTTTGCGTCTCTGTGGCCACAGTTCCCTTCCAGGTCCCTGCTTGTGGCCTGCAAAAGCACTCAAGGATGGCACAAAGCCTTGGGACCCCTGCACCTACGTGGGAGACCTGGAATAGGCTCCTGGCCCCTCTCTTTGGATTGGCTCAGCTCGGGCCGTTGTGGCCACTTGGGGAGTGAATCAACAGATGAAAGATCTTCCTCTCCGTCTCTTCTTCTCTTCATAAATCTGATCCGTCTTTTCAATAAAGATGAATTGCTAGGGTCCGTGCAATAGATATGGATGGCACAAAGGTGTGAAGAGAACAGCTTCCCTGCTTGGCAGGGCCCGGGAGAGCTTCCAGCTGTTTGGCAGGGCCCAGCGGATTTCTCACTGACCACCTTGATGCTGTTTCACCCCGTTTGCATGGACACTCAAGCACCCCACTAAGAATTCTGTAATCTATTGAGGCATTGTTGTTTGCTCCTGTGGGATGGCTTTTGTCACCAATGTGAGCTTGAGAGTAATGTCACTGATAATTAATGTCTTGGTGAGTTAATGTCTTGGTGAGTTAATGTCTTGGTGAGTGGGCCTTTGACAATTTACACACAAGAGCAAAATTAAGCCCATGCCATTTCTGGACACCTTATTCTGTACCTACCCATTGCCCCGAAATTGGACCCAGACATATAGCATGTCTTCTGGGAAATGGCTTAATAAGAATTTTACAAAGTAATGGAAGTGATGGGAGTGAGAGCTGAAACTGCTATGGCAATAAATATAGTCATTGTTATCTCAAAGGCTAGCCTGTCTTTGCAGTTTTTTGGAACATAGAAAATGTAACTGTTTTAGCTGCTTTTATAATTTTTAGCTAGAGGAATTAAGGATGCTTTTATTAAAGAAAAATGCTTTTGATTATTGCTTTATTGTTTATGGGGTTGTAGGAGTCTATAGCTATAGGGAGATTTAACATTTCAAGTTTCTGTTTTAGATTTTAGGTTTTTTCCCTTGTAACCTATTTTCCCATTAAATGATGGGTAAATTGTAGAAGTAGAAATGTGGTGGGAATGTAATACTGATTAGCAGGTAATCGCATGTGCCTTGGCCTTGGAGTCCTGGCTGTTGCTCCATGGCTACTGTTGAAGAATGAATAATAGCTTGCTTTGAAGAATATGAATACAGTATTTTGCAGAATTATCTTTAGGGGCACCTGCTTAGCCTTGAAGTGCAGACGGAGTGACCAAATGTCTGTACATGCCCCCTTAGTCTTGAAGTAAAAAATAGAACAATTAGTTGCTTGTGTAGAAGCTTGAGAGGGGTTTTGAGAAAATAAAAAGGACAGCTTTTTCTTGAGCTGTGGTGAGAACACACCAAGTGTCTGTGTCTGTGTCTTTCTTTGTCGCCAACTCCAAGCACCCTTCACGAGCTCCGAACCCGGCTGGAGCTGGACTCTGGCAATGAATCTTTTTAAAAACTAGAGATCATTTATTTGGGAAAAGGATTTTGGACTTAGCTGATTGAGATATTAGGGCTGAATGTGTTAAGAATTCTTGCAGTTTCACACTTTCCCCCTGTGGATCTCTGTTGTCTTTGGGTTTCAGAATGCTTCCTTAGTTCTTTCATATCCTGTAATGACAAGGTGATATAATCACCATTGAAAGCGGAGGACTTTTCAGCAGCTTTCTGGGGAAGATTGAGGTTGGGGGCTAAAGCAGGCTGGAAAAGCATCTGTGTTCTTGGGAGGAAAACCATAGTACAAGGCCGCCTGCTCTCTGGGGACTGGCTAGGCTGCCAGTGATCGGTGTCCCTGTGGAACTGTTTGGAATCCAAAGAGGTCAGCCTGTCGAATCTGTGAATGCTGTTCACTAAATGGCTGTCTTTTTTTTTTTTTTTTTTTTAAGATTTACTTATTTTTATTTGAAAGACAGACATACAGAGAGGACTAGAGTCAGAGAGGAAGAACTTCCCTCCCATGGTTCACTCCCCAAGTGGCCACAACGGCTGGAGCTGAGCCAATCCGAAGCCAGGAACCAGAAACTTTCCTCCAGGTCTCCCATGCGTATGCAGGGTCCAAAGCTTTGGGCCGTCCTCGACTGCATTCCCAGACCACAGGCAGGGAGCTGGATGGGAGGTGGAGCTGCCAAGGATACAAACTGGTGCCCATATGGAATCCCAGTGTGCTCAAGGCGAGGACTTTAACTGCTACGCTATCGTGCTGGGCCCTAAATGGCTGTCTTTTAGATGACACTGGATTAGGCTCTTCAAGTGGACCCTTTCTGTCTGTGTTAGTGCATCATTCCTAACATAGTAGCACACCTGAGGTGGTTATTGCTACTGCATCCTAATAGGACACTTCACAGAGCTGTATGAATACTTTTAAAGAAGCTAGTGAATATAAAACAACTCACATATTTTGAAGTTCTGTTACCAATAAAACAAATTTGTAATGTTTAAGAAACTGATAAATAGATACAGGGAAAACTGTGAGCTAACATGATAACATTTTAGGAAACCAGTTTAGAGGTAACGATTTTTTTTTTAAATGTACAAGTATATAACTTACCTGCAAATGACCAAAAAGCATATTTATCAGGGTTTGCAGCTTTGGTCTACCGTCAGGGTAAGAGATGCTAGGTATATCATGAACCGTGACAGGCAGTTGGTGATCCTGTGAAACCGTCATGCTTCATCTTCATCACCCGCAGGAGGACGACTGTCCGCGCTGCGTGCCGTCAGCATGCGTCTACGTCAACTGGTGTGTGTTGTTTTTGATTGCAGGGCCATTCATGACGTTAAAGCCACCGATCTGGGATTAGGGAAAGTCAGATTTAAGGCAGAAGTAGATTTTGATGGACGAGTTGTTACAAGATCCTATTTGGAAAAACAAGACTTTGACCAAATGCTGCAAGTGAGTTTATATATTTATCATTTTCTTCTGTGGCCAAAGATTAGAAAATGACTCTTTGGGTAATAAACCTTGTATCTTACAGGTCTTTGACGTAACTTCAACTGTCTGTTTTGTAGGTTCCAAAATTTGAGAGTGGGTTGAGGGGACAGCAGAAAGGCAAAATTACTATTGAACTGTTAACGCTTCCTATGTGCCAGGCATTTTATCTGTTTCATCTGATTTTTTGTTAATTCCCCTGTGAAGTAAAGAAATAACATTTTCATTTTAATATGTAGGCAAAATGTGACATGGGGAAACTGGATAACTTGTGTCAAGTTGCAGAGCCCTATATATGGAATCGGGATCAGTACATTTTCATCAAGAACCAATGGGACTGCCCTCCATCCACATTTTCACTCTCTAAGCTTATATCTTTTCACTGTCAACTGTGAACTGAAAATACTAAATGGAAAATGAATGAAAGAAATAGTTTGGGGGCCTGATGTTATGGCCTAGTGGCCAAATCCTCACCTTGCATGTGCCAGGATCCCATATGGGTACCAGTTTGTGTCCTGGCTGCTCTACTTCCCATCCAGCTCACTGCTTGTGGCCTGGGAAGTCATAGAGGATGGCCCAAAGCCTTGCGATCCTACACCTGTGTCGAGACCTGGAGGATGCTCCTGGCTCTGCCTTTGGATCAGCTTGGTTCCAGCCATTGTTGGTCACTTTAGAGAGTGAACCAGTGGACGGAAGATCTTTCTCTTTTTCTGTATCTCCTTCTTTCTGTACATCTGGCTTTGCATTAAAAATAAATAAGTCCTTTTTTTTTTTTTTTTTAAGTTTTAAGTTGCTGTTCTGAGCGGAGTGGTAAAATCTTATGCCATTGACATGACATGGATCATTGTTGCATGTATCTCAGAAGTAAACCAGTGGTTGCAAGGTTCCTTCTGTCCCTCTGTTCCTCCCTCCCTGTTACTCTATCTCCTTCTCTTTCTTTCTTTCACTCTGCGTTTCAAATAAATAAATAAAAAGGAAATGTATACAGTACAATACCATCTACAGCAATTTTCAAATAAATCAGGACACTTGAATTGAATAAATATTTCAAAAAATGGGTACACAGCCCAGCACAGTAGCCTAGTAGCTAAATCCTCACCTTGTATGCACCAGTATCCCATATGGGTGCCGGTTCTAATCCTGTCTGCTCCGCTTCCCATCCAGCTCCTTTCTTGTGGCCTGGAAAAGCAGTTAAGGACTGCCCAGAGCCTTGGGACCCTGCACCCGCGTGGGAGACCCAGAAGAAGCTCCGGAATCCTGTCTTTGGATTGTTGCAGCTCCAGCCACTTGGAGTGAATCAACAGATGGAAAATCTTCCTCTCTGTGTATCGAACTTTGCAATAAAAACAAATAAATCTTAAAAACAAAAGTTAGTTTAGATACAGTTAGTACTGTATACATTTCTTTTTCAAAAGATTTATTTAATTGTTTGAAAGGCAACGTGATAGAAAAGAGAGAGTACAGACATCTATTTTTCTTGTTTATCCCAGCTGCTCTGCTTCTAATCTAGCTTCCTGCCAATGAACTTGGTATTTGTCTGCTGCCTAGGTGAGAGACCAGGGTAGAGTTGTGGTTTCTGGCTTTAACCTCACCCATCCCTGACTGCTGTGGCCATTTGTGCCGTCAACCAGCAGATGGAAGATTTCTCTCTCTCTGTTACTTTGCTCTTCAAATAAATTACATGCATAAATTAATAAATCTTTACACAAATAACTTTAAAATATATTTTCTGTGAGAAAAAATAATTTGTTTTCTTCTTTTCTTTCCTACATAGGAAATTCAAGAAGTAAAAACTCCAGAAGAACTAGAGACATTTATGCTTAAGCATGGAGAAAATATTATTGATACCTTAGGAGCTGAAGTTGATCGACTTGAGAAGGAACTAAAAGTAAGATGTACTCATAGAAGGAACGTTAATGACAGTGGCAGCCATGTTTTGAGGACTTGGTATCAGACACTGTTCTGAGTGTATGGCCTGTGTACTGTCCCCTCAGGAATTCCACGGAGGGCCAGGAACATAATTGGGTTGGAGAAATTGGATGACAGGAATTGTGATCTGATCCACTATTCAGTTCTTCATTCTATGCTTAACTGCTCTGTACTGTCTTGTTTAATTTCTAAAATAGTCAAAAATCTCTGATAGAATGTCGGTTAAAATGTATGGGAAATTCCAGAGCCACCACAGAGTTCTTTATACTAAATTTTCAGATGGATTTTTTGCAGGTTATAAATTTGTCAGAAGGCATAAGAAAAAAGGTTATATTTTGGTAATCAGGATTTTGAAAGTTTCTACAGAAAGAATGGAAACTGCACTCTGGTCAGAAGTTAGAAAAGCAGAATTTAACTAGAAAAATACATGCATGTCTTGTATTCAGTCCGCTTGGCATTAGTTAACATTGTTTTTCTATTTAGTTGAGATTATTGAAACCTGTTGGTTATGTTACTTAAATATTGCCTGATGAAATTGTTCTTAAAAACATCTCAATATCCTTCAACTGTCATTTATTAACATTGAGTTTGTTTCCTTTACGTACAAACTTGAAAATGATCTTTAACGTGTAATTTGTTAAGGGGGCTCCTCTTCAGTTGGTGTTGACATTTCTTTAATTTTGTTTAAAATTGAAATGAGAAACAAAATGGAAGCTAGGCATTCCTGTGCTTTACGATTTATCTGACAATTGTAGATGACCATTTCTTAGATATTTTGGTCTGGTTATTCTTTTCATTCTTAATCTTTCCCTTTTTTTTTTTTAAGATTTTTTTTTTTTTTTCTAATTGGAAAGAGCCACAGAGAGAAACATGGAGAGAAAGATCTTTCTCTGTCAGTTCAGAGAGAATACAGAGAAATTCATCTACCCGTTTCCCCCTAGATGATCAGAGTGGCCGCAGCTGGGCCAGCCCGAAGCCAGGCGCTTCCTCCTGGTCTCCCCTGTGGGTGCAGGACGACCTGGGCACCACCAGGGTGGTGGATCAGAAGTGGAGCAACTGGGACAGGAAGCAGTACTAATACAGCACTAATAGCCAGAGATTCTATTAGTTCTCCGTGACTGACTTGATGAGTGAATGACTTGTCATCCCCAGCCCCTCGAGAGACAGAGCAAGACCCCACCACATATCCCACTGTTAGACCAGAGGCCAGTGCACTAAGAGACATAGCCTCCCTGGAGCCCATTCTAGAAGTCACATCACAGTAACAGAGGACAGAGGCCAGACCTCCATCTGGGTCAGTTAATCCTCTACTTTAGTCTGGGGCCCGGTGCAGTAGCCTACCAGCTCAAGTCCTTGCCTTGCACGTGCTTGTATCCCCCATGGGCACTGGTTTTAATCCCAGTGGCTCCACTTCCCATCCAGCTCCGTGCTTGTGGCCTGGGAAAGTAGTTGAGGATGACGCAAAACCTTGGGACCCTGCACAAATGTGGGAGACCTGGAAGAGGCTCCTGGCTTCGGGTTGGTTCAGCTGCGGCCATTGTGGTCACTTGGGGAGTGAATCATTGGATGGAAGATCTTCCTCTCTATCTCTCCTCCTCTCTGTATAATTGACTTTCCAATAAAAAATAAAGTCCATAGTCTGTCTTTGAATCCTATTTTGACTGTTTTTACCCAGACATGATTTTACGACATCATGAACTGATATCTTGAAAAACATTGGTTCACTGACTTACACAGATCTTTCAAGTGATATTCTTATTCTTGTAAATTCAAACAAACAAAAGCATTTTGGGTGACTTCATTCTTCAGTATAATATGGAAGTGCTTTATATATAACTTCTCATTTTGTCCTGCATCTTACAAGTATGCCCAAGTTGAGGATTGATAAAATTGATAATTTCATTAGTTCAAAAACAGATGTTTTAAAGTAAAACTAGTTTTATTTGTTTCCTTTACCTGTTGAGTGTGTGGCAGTAAAGGAGCCAGTGGCAACTGGTGCAGTTTGCTTCCCTTTGCCTTGACCTCTGCAAAGGTGCCCCGAGTTTTATTCTCCATTACTTTTGTGTCCTTTGAAAAAATGCCAGCTGAGCAGAAAGTTAATATATTAGAGCTCCTTTGGAAATGTTTTTGACCTGCAAGTCCTCCAGAAAAGCTCGTAGGCCTCAGCAGACACACTGGGAGGTACACAGTAGGAGCCTGCAGGTACTTCTGTAGAGGGCAACCCGAGAAAGCATAAACCTTGATCTTCTCCTTGGCGAGGGAAATAATTAACTCAATCTTTTATTCATTATACTTTAGTAGGAACATCAAATCGGGAGCTAGGTGTAAAACAGGTTGGTTATTCTAAACCGTGTGCTTTCTCAGGCACATCGGCAGGAAGCTACATGTGGAGCAGCCAGGTCTCAAACCCACACCTAAGTGGTACGCCAGCACTGCAGGCAGTGGCTTAACCCATCACACCACAGAGCTGGCCTACGTTTTATAGGCATAGACTTTTCTGTCCTTCATCCTCATATTGTGTTTTTATAATATCTCTCAAATTGCATTGGGTGCTTTCTTTGTGTACTAAGTAATAGCAAAATCTTTAGCTTCCCCATAATATAATAATTGCACTGCTTAATTATCTGTAAATCCTCACTAGACATAGTAAGGTCATTGAAGGCAAATAAGGCTTGTTTCCATTTTCTGACTCACAACAGGTATATATGATAGATCATTTATTATTTTGGTTTTTTAAATTATTTTACTTGATAATCAGCTATCGAGAGAGAGGGGGAGACAGAGAGATCTCTTATCTGTTGGTTCACTTCCGAAATGGTTGCAGTGACCAAAGCTGAGCTTTTCTGAAGCTGGGAGCCCGGAGCTTCTGCTGGGTCTCCCACGTGGGTGCAGGCACCCTTCCACTGCTTTCCCATGCCCATAGCAGGGAATGAGATCAAAATGGGAGCAGCTGGGACTTGACCCAACACCCATATGGGATGCCGGCACCGCAAAGGGAGTAATTTGCTGCATCTCCACACTGGCCCACATTTTTGTTTTTGAGTTGCAGTGTATACTCTAAATCCTTAATGTGTCTTTGTATTAATGAACATATGCGCCCAGCCAGGGAGGTGTAACCACGTACCGTACCACCTGGAGTGTGTCTGTGTTCCCTTACCGATCCTTGCTTCTTGCGCGGAGAGTGCTCTTGCCTATCAAGCTATAGTGAATTAATTTGACCAGATATCTTCAGTGGCTCTTAGGATCCAAAGGCATAAAGAGAAACAGGTTTTGTTTCCTACTAATACAGTGGTGGTTTTCTTTCCAGAAACGAAATCCTGAAGTTCGGCATGTAGATTTGGAAATACTCTAAGCATCACCTTGGGAGCACGCTTCTCCAGCCACTCGACGCAGCCTGTTTTCTCCTGTCCACGCTGACCACAGCGCCATCCAGCGGCCATCGCGCCTGAGAGGAAGGAAGCACTGTGCGAGAACAGCAATGGAACAGGCCACAGACAGAACTAGAACTGCCTTACTTCTGGATGACCCATCACTCTGCAGTTGGCGAACATGCTGCTACTTCAGTTGTTGATAATTTCTCATTCTAGCTGCCAGTGCGTATTGTACTTTGCAATCATGTTTCCTTGCTTCACATCGGTAAAAAAATAATTGGCATCCCTAGGATTATGACTTTCAGTTGAGTTTCACTCTGTTAAAATCTGCCAACCTGGAATCTTGGGATGTGGTTCTTGAACAGTCGCTGTGTTTCGGAGTAGGTCTTTCCTTAGGAGATGGGTCAGTTCCTCCCACGTTCCCTAGGACTGCGACCTGAGGACTGGGAGCAGCACTCTTCTCATCTTGTCCAGTGTTCATTCCAGAAATGATTTAGTTACTGAACTGAATGCAGACATTTCATTACACTCTTTTAGGTCATAGTTGTAATTTTGTAAAATTTCTTGTTTCTCTTTTGCTTTTTTTCCTGATTCAGTTTACTTTTTCTAATGCTAAGAGCTATAAGATAATCCCAGGCGTCGCCATAGGCCAGTGTGATAACTTTCTCTTCCTTCAAGCGAGTTTGCAGTGCCATGTGTTTATTTCTTGATAATACAGTTTCTAGCATTTTAACATTCTGTAAAATGGACTAGAAATATTTATAATTTTATAGACTGGACAGCATTTTATTTTTAATTTATTTAAGAAGAGGCACTATGTATGTGAATCTGTGGGATATTTCTTGCTTTAAGGGGGAGAGAAGTAAATCTCTTACACTGAAACTTGTGTCTTGTTTTGTTTTTTTTTTAAGATTTGTTTATTTTTATTTGAAAGGCAGATTTTAAAGAGAACAGGAGAGACAGAGAGAAAGATCTTCTACCCCCTGGTTCACTCCCCAAGTGGCCACAATATCTGGAGCTGAGCCAATCCAAAGCCAGGAGCCAGGAGCCAGGAGCCAGGAGCTTCCTCTGGGTCTCCCATGTGGTTCAGGGTCCCACGGCTTTGGGCCGTCCACTACTGCTTTCCCTGGCCATAGGAGGGAGCTGGATGGGAAGTGGAAGCCATATGGGATCCTGGAACTTGGAAGAGAAGGATTAGCCAATTGCTCCATAATGCCATGTGCTGGTTCATGATTCTTTATAACATAATCAATAATGTGTCTGTGAGCTTCTTATAGTTACACTTGGATATTTATCATAATATATTGTGATAATATATTACATAAGTAAATTCACTTGGTAATGAACATAAGGTATCAAGGTAAAAATACATACTGAATTCAGTAACTGAAGGTTTAGTAGAAACAGCTATCTCCATTGAAATAACTCATATGTACTTAAAAGTCTTTAGGTAGAAATAAGCAGTGCTCGTGAGAGTGGTGACTGGCGAACGCTTTTCCGGACGGACGAGTAACTCACAGCCCTAACTGCCTGTGTGAGGTCAGTATCTGCAGACTGGCCAAGGTGGGCATTTATGACATCATGCAAATGGTGATGCCAGAAACAAAGAATAAATATTTGATTTTAAAAGTTTTGCAACTGAATTTTTTGACCCAAAACTCTGTTGCTAGAACATTAAAAATCTGCCTTTAGTGTATTTTCTCTTTTTACAATTATAGAGCATTTTGTATGCTTTGTATTTTGAATTCTGTAACATTCCCGTCTTACTCCTTAAATACTTTTTTACATATATATATGCATTTGATTCTCTGCTCTTCTAGTTTCAAATTCCCCATTCCTACACTTTTTTGAAACTTAATATCACCCCTACTAGGATTCACTCTGTACTTTCTTTCCCTCCTGCTCCATTCCCACCTGCCATTTGTTATTTCATGTCATTGGCAGGTGAGAAAAATGACGCCTGACAGCTGGGGACTCCTGCACGTGGCACCTTCTCCCACCTCCATAGTCTCAAGAAGGTCCTTGACCTCTGGGGTAGACAGAAGTCAGTGAAGCCAGCAGAGGGAAAGGAGTTTTATTAAGGAAAGTGGCAAAAAAGAGTCTATTCCATAACAGGGCAACCCTGTGTGTGGGTGGAATTCCACGGCCCAAGGAAATGTGTGTTGCTGACCAGGAGTAGTATTCAGTTAGCTCTGGGAAAATGGTATGAACTTCCAGGAATTCCAGGTCCACCTCGTCTTTCAGTCAGATGGTCATTTGTACAGGTTGTCATGGCACCGTGGAGGCATGGCTTTTACTAAGCTAATAGATTACAGTGAAGGTAAAATAAAGCTGGAGATTGAGTGATGGTTAATTTAGATGCCATATCATATCACTGATTTGAACCAGTTCCTTTGCCTGAATTTTATTTTTCCTTTCTAATTCCTGGAAGGTGGAGGGGCTTGCCAGGCACTGTCTGAAAGATGCTAAATCATATCCAGTTTCCTCTTAGTAAAATTACCCCGGATAATTTCACATAGCTAGAAAAAGGATTAGCTCATTTCTAAAAAGACCCTCAAAGTTGATAGGCATAAAATATCCCAAATGGTAGCGCTTTTTTTAGAACTCCCTGATAAAGGCCAATTCTTGATATTCCTTTGAGTTTTCGAATCTGAACTTGAGTGAGTTCCTGCTGCTCTGAAAGAATCATCCAAGATTTTCTGTAACTGTTTTCCTTCCAGTTGTGTCCTGCACTGATGTTTTTTTTTTTCTTTAAGATTTTTTTTAAGCTTATTCACATAAATTTGACATAAAGGAATGAAGCATATCTGGGCTTTTGAACATTTTCTGGAATTTGGAAATCATGCAAATTTTACGTCATTTAGTCAAATTTGCATTTGTAAATTTTACTCCAACATACAACATTTGAATGGTAATCATGTAAATTAATATTTTCAAGGAAAGGTGTTTTCAAGGAAAATATTCTTTGTCAGCGAATAATTGCAGAAGTAATTTGTACAGGGAAGATCACCAAAGCCCTGGGGAACTATCAAATGTTGCCTGTCCCTGTTTTTCACCTTGGCGGGGAGTAACCACCTATCAGTGGGAAACAGCAAGCCCCAAACTACAGAGGGCTGCCCAGTTTTAGACCCATGTTCGGTAATGGGAAGTTAAGAGATAGTAAGTACCATCCCGTTCCCAAAATAGGGTTCCTGAGCATATACTAAGGACCTATGATTTAGGATCAGACTGAAGAAGTTTTTTAAATCCAGTTTTCTATACATATCCCTGCCCCCACTTCCCACACACGCATACATACACTAAATCACCTAGAATAACAAAATATAATAAAATGTGAATTTGAGGGGCCAGAATGGTTGCTTAGTAAGTTAAGCACCACCTGCAGCCCTCGTACCCCATTTAGGGGCCAGTTGAGTTCTGACTACTTAACAGCTGATTGTACCCCCACTAATATGCCTGGAAAGAAGCAAAAGTTGGCCCAAGTGCTTGGCCCCTGCACCACACGGGAGACCTGGAAAAAGGTCCTGGCTTTCAGCTTTGACCTGGCTCAGCCCTAGATATTGTGACCATTTGGGGGGTGAATCAGTGGCAGAAGATATTCTCTTTCTCTCCCGCTCTCTCGCTCGCTATGTCAACCTCCTACCAGTACCAACCACCCAGTCTTTCACTCCCTCTCTATAATTCAAATTAGTAAAACAATCTTAACAAAAAGATGAGTTTTGGATATATGACTTTTCAGTGTTGCCTTAATTAATCTCATTTGGATAATTTCTGCTAAAATTAATGCCATCTAAGAAACAGTTTATGCTTGCGATCTGATAATTCTGAGGTAAAATGCTGGAAATACAGAAAATTGCACGGCCTTCTAGAATTTGTATTATCTTCTTAGATTGCATTTGTCAAGCTTTGGCCCATTTCTTTTAAATGTGATGACCCCCAATTTGCCAAACTGTCAGAAGTCAGCGAAGCAAGGAATTGAAGGTAAAGTGTTGATTCAAAGATTGTCTCCCCTAAATCCCTCATCCCTGTCTCCGAGATGGAACTTCAGAAGGCATTTTAGAGAGAAGATTGGTCTGACGGCCTTTTTATTTGCATTTCAGTTTACTTGCATCCCTAGACTTGCTTTCATGGAAAAAGAAAAAAATTTCATTTCGATTACATTGCATTTCATCTGTCTGATTTCGCTGGCAGATTAAGATGGTCCCGGTCCCTCAGGCTGCTTTTTTCCTTAGTAAATGTCATATGTAAATAAGAGCAACTCACGCAGTTTGGGATTTTCCCCCTTGATAAGTGTTTGCTTAACATGGTGCTTCTTTACCTCACTTGCCAAGAAACTGCGTCATTTATTTTACCTGAAAAATGTTTGTGAACTGAGTTGTTTATTCAGTTTCCTTGTCTGGAAGTTTTTCACAGTTGTACCAAATCAAACAGTAATAGCACTTAATCATAATCAGTTTGTGGTATAAAGGGAACTATGCTACTAGGGTGTCATATGTTTGGCAAAATATAGATCTGAAAAGTTACTTTCCTTTGTGGTAGGCTACGGATGAGCACATTTTGAAACATTAGTTACACACTTTAATTAAGATATTCGTCTTGTGCTGTGTCCATATGGATATTTGGAGAAAAAATATGAAGCACTCACCTGAAACTAGCCAGAGCTGCAACCCAGTATAAGCCAATACTGCAATGCAAGTTGAATTGTACACTTATCCTATAGAAATCTCTTTCGTGAGGAACTAGACCATATCCAAACGTAATATGGCATTTCCAGGGAGTTTAGTTTCCTCCCTAAATTCAAAACCTAGTAAGAGTCTAGAATGTGCATAACAAGACACTTGTCTTGTGTCTTTCATGGCTTATCCAGATGTTTTAAGAGACAAAGACCTGCCAGTGTCCTCACCGGGAGAACCGGAACTCCTTGTGCCTGGTGCTGTCTTACACTTGTTAACCCTTCGGACCTGCGCAGAGAGCCAGTGAAGCCGGAAGTGTTCCGTTTCTACAGGTGAAGGAGGTACTGAGTTTAATACGCCTGAGGCCACTAAGCTGATAAGGCACTTAGTCAGGATCTGAACACAGATAGTCTGACTTTTAAGGAAGCATTCTGCTGAGCAGGGGAGCCTGAAAGAAGTAACACTGCATAGAAAGTGAAAAGTAAATAGTTCTTTCATTATGATACAACACTCTTATGAATATTTAAGAGTAGCTGGCCATACTGTGGACTGCTTGGTACATGGTGGGGGCGGGGGAGGCTGGTGCCATGGGGTTCAGGGTGGGATGCAATGAAGCTGCCAAGCATCACAGGCCACCTGAAAGAACATGCCCCAAAGTTTATTTAGTTAAGTGATCAGTAAGGTTGCTGGGAATATTTGCTAAAAACCATCCCCCACCTCTTCTCAGTCCCAAGTGTCAGTCAGGTGCAGTTCCGGTCTTCACCTTGATGCTTGCAAGTCAACTCCTTGTGAAAGACAAACTGGAAATGAAGAGAGTGGTATACGGTTTATTATTGGAAAGTCACTCCCCAAGGGGCCAAAATGTCTGGAGCTGAGCCAATCTGAAGCCAAGAGCCTGGAGCCTCCTCCAGGTCTCCTACATGAGTGCAGGGTCCCAAGGCTTTGGGCCATCCTCTACTGCTATACCAGGCCACAATCGGGGAGCTGGATGGGAAGCAGGAATACTGGAATTAGAACCAGCAGACCATATGAGATCCAGGCACATTCAAGGAGAGGACTTGAGCCATTTGGCCTGAGAAGTTAACATCTTAATACTGGACCCTGAGATGCTTCACGGCTACCTCAGTCCCTGATCAGAGAACTAGGCCATCTACCCTTCTTCCAGAGACAGGCTGGGGCCCACTTGCCTGTCACAACATTCTCCAAAGCTACTGTCCTATTGAGGGGACTCAGAGGAAGTCTACCAAGACCTCAACCCTGCACACAAGCCAGTTGGCCTGTCTCACCCCCAGGTTTATAGGGCTGCCCCCCTCTCCCCAGCCCCTCCATGAGTACGGGACTCCAGCAACAGCATCTCCACTGCTTGCTCTGGGTGTTGTGGTGAAACATGGGAAGTTTCACCTCCTGGCTCTTCTTCGGATTCCAGCTTTGCTAGTCTAAGTCACATCTGAGACCTGGATTGGCTCCTGGTTTATAGCTTGAGCTCAGCCCAGCTCCACCTATCACAGGCATTTGGGGAATGAAACCCTGGTTGGAGCCTCCTGTTTGTCTGCCTCCCAACTAAAATGAAATAATTTTTAAAGACATGTGAAACAGGAAGACAGCTGACTGACAGCTGATGTGATGTGAACATCGCTGAGATCTGGGAGATGACTGAACACACGCTCCCAATTTCCTCACCTCTTTGCAGAAACGGTCTCATGCAGTCTTTTCCGCTCAGGGACTGGAAACTGGAGAGTAGTGGTTGGTTCCTCTCCATTTCCATGCAAGGAGTATGCAATACCTCTGCAAAAATCAAACACAGTCAGAAACCATTTCATCATGTCAGTAGTTTTAATGTCAGTTGCTGTCACTTCTCGCCAGAATGATGTACAGCCTCTTCAACTGGTTCACCTTGTAATGTTAGCCCACACGTTCCTGCATTGGGCAAACGTGCTTCTGATCATCTCTAAGTGCCTGGGCTTGAGTTGCTGCTTGTCTCCTATTTCCAGCTTCCTGCTAAGGTACATCCTAGGGGACAGCGGGTAATAGCTCAAGTGGGTCGGTATCTGCCACCTGCATAGGAGACCTGGAGCTCCTGGATGCTGGTTCAGGCCTTGATGAAAACAATTCTTTGAAATTCTTTGAAGTTCTTTCCTCTCCACCCTTCTCCAGCATGGAATGAATTTACTTCTGTTTGTTATCTCTACTGGAATGTGAGCACTGTATGAGCTGGCTCTCCTGGGACCGCAGTGGCATCTGACTCATCACACCCATCCAGTTAACATCTGCTGAAGCATGCAAGGAAGGTTTCCTGTGTGGTGTTCGTCTCCCTAGAGCTTGCATAGATGACAAAGCAGACTCAGTCTACCAAGGCCCTGAGAGGACATTACATAGGGGCCTGCTCCAAGGCCCGCAGCACAGTGCAGCAGTGTAGTCTCCGCATTTTCGCTTCAGTGGACTGTATTGGTGTTCACATGGCAAGCTCCAGTGCTCGGCGCTGAAGGTCTGCCTCTGCTGGATGTGTGTGGAGTTCAGGTGGCGCAGCTTCCTGGTCTCTCTTCCATGTGTAGGATTGGGGGATCCCCACTGATGACCTGCTCAGCCCCAACTGCCCCCCAAAGCTCCTCCCACCTAATCAACACGGGCGGAGGCAGTTTCGACCTTCTTAGTAGTTCACAACATGGATTCACACGAGTCCTTGGGGGACATGCTCAGATCATGGCAGACACACTGCGAGCGTGTATGTAAAAATAGGCAACTGACAGCCATGTTAATTAGTCTCTTAGAGTCCTAACAGGAGCGTCCGAGTAGATTTTCATTCCTGAGGCCCTCTTCCTGGTATGCAGCCTTCCAGATCAGACGCATTCCACTCTGCCACGTGTCCTTTGGATCTGAGGGTGCAGCACATGAGCCCCAGGTCTATTTCACAACAGTCTCATACCTAGTAGTTCAGTGTAGTTAGCTTGTTTCCTCCTAAATGTGGCTTCCAGATACTGTTTCTTGCTAAAATTCTGCACAGCGATCTATCCTAGCTCAGTAGAAATATTAAATAATTGGAAAAAGCTTGAAAATCTATTTTTAAAGATTTATTTATTTTTTATTGCAAAGTCAGATATACAGAGGAGGAGAGACAGAGAAGAAGATCTTCTGTCCGATGATTCATTCTCCAAGTGACTGCAACGGCTGGTGCTGCGCCGATCCAAAGCCAAAAGCCTGGAACTTCCTCCAGGTCTCCCACGCAGGTGCAGGAACCCAAGGCTTTGGACTATGCTCAACTGCTTTTCCAGGCCACAAACAGGGAGCTGGATGGGAAGTGGGGCTGCCAGGATTAGAACCGGTGCCCAGATGGGATCCTGGCACGTTCAAGGTGAGGACTTCAGATGCTAGGCCACGCCGCCAGGCCCAAAAATCTATTTTTATTGTAATGTTTCTTACCGAACTTTAGATGTGGCTTTAAGATGATTCAGCGAGATGAGAAAAAGGGCAATTGTTAAACTCAGATTAAAGGAATTTCAAATTTTACAGGCATTTATTTCTGAGATAGGATTTCTTGGTCTTTTCTACAGTGGAACAAGAATGGATCTCCAGAAAGAAAAAAAAGAGATGTCACAACTGCCTACCACCTGTCTTGTCCCTCAGGCTCCCTCACTGCTCCCAGCCTGCAGGGTGTCTGGGGGACTCTGGCTACCTTGCCAGGGACCCGCTGTGTCCTGAACACAGGCCTGCTGTGGCTGTGTGTCATCCCTCAAGTCCAGTCACTGTCTTCAGCTTGGAGTTCAATCTACTGCATTTCCTGCTGCTTACCTCCTCCCAGTGCAACTCAGCCTAACTATAGTCCACTGGAAAGTTTACATTCCTCAAAGTTTACTTCTGGAATGAATGTTCCTTAACCAAAAAGAATTATCACTGAGCCTCCTATCGGCAAAAACATCCTTTCACTTTAATCATGATTTCATTGCCATTGCACATTAGGCTTTCTCCTGGGATCAGCTACAGCGTTGCTTTTCGAACTTCTCTGTTCAGTAGAATAGTAGCTCAGCATGCTCATCCTCAGCCAGCAGTACCTAAGGGGTACTGGTTCGTGTCCTGGGTGCTCCACTTCTGATCAAGCTCCCTGCTTACGGCCTAGGAAAGCAGAGAACGATGGCCCAAATCCTTGGGCTCCTGCACCAGCATGGGAAATCCAGAGGGAGCTCCTGGCTTTGGATCAACTCAGATTAGGCTGTTGTGGCCCTTTAGGGAGTGAACCAACGAATGTAAGATCTTTCCTGTGTCTGCTTCTCTCTGTAAATCTGCATTTCAAATAATAAACACATTTTAAAAACAACAAAATTTCAACCTGCATATACACCACCTGGGCATTGCTCCATGGAGATTTTCTGGTCTTGTAGTTACTGAGATCCTGTGTTCCCAACCAGCTCACTGCTGGCTGCATGGACCACACTTACAATAAGGAATTAAAAAAAGCACTATGAGTTGTCTTGCAAAAGAGTACAATCTTTCTGGGGCCTGTGTGGTGGGTCAAAAGGCTAATCCTCCACCCTGTGGTGACAATGTTCCATATGGGCGCTGTTTCTAGTCCCAGCTATACCACTTCCTAGTCAGCTTCCTGCTTGTGGCCTGGGAAAGCAGTAGAGGACAGCCCAAAACGTTGGAATCTTGCACCTGCATGGAAAAACAGAAAGAAGCTCCTGGCTTCAGATTGGCTTAGCTCTGCCCTTTGCAGGAATGAACCAGAGGGTGGAAGACTTTCTTTCTGTAAATCTGCTTTTCAAATAAAAATAAATATTAGGAACCGGCATGGTAGCCTAGTGGTTGAAGTCCTCGTCTTGAACACACCGGGATCCCATATGGGCACCGATTTTAATCTCGGCAGCCCTGTTTCCCGTCCAGCTTCCTGCTTGTGGCCTGGAAAAACAGCTGAGGACAGCCCAGAGCTTTGGGACCATGCACCCGTGTGGGAGACTTGGAGAAGGCTCCTGGCTCCTGGCTTCGGATCAGTGCAGCACCAGCCGTAGCAGTCACTTGAGGTAGATATTCTCTGTCTCTCCTCCTCTATATATCTGACTTTCCAATATAGCTAAGGATGGGTCAGGCTGTAGCCAGGAGCCCGACATGGCAGATTGCCTGCATGCGCAGCATGAACTCAGGTACTTGGGGCACCCTCTGTTGCTTCAAAATAGCAGATGAACTGCATCAGACGTGACGTGGGTGGGCACTCTAATATGGCATGCGGGCATTCCAAGCAGTGGCCTAAGTTCCTCTACCACAACACCCTCCTTAGTTCTTTTTTCATGCATGTTTCATGGTGTTCCTCACTTCTAATTTTGTATTTTGTTACATTTATACTTAAATATTTCATTGGGGAATATTAGCATAGGTGATGTTGTGTCTTTAATATCCAGTTCTTCTTGTTCATTGCTGGTGTAAGGGATAACTTACAGAATACCTAGTGCGGTCTCTTGAGTAGGAAGAGCTGTCAGTAGTCGCCTACAATTATTTTGAAAATTACTCATCCTTCCCTCCCACACCACTGAGAGAATGGTGATTTGTAACAATGAAGATTTACTATGAACTTTTCATTATAATGTAGATGTTAGCAACAGGAACTCTTTTTTTTAAAAAAAGAAGAAATTCACTTCCTTTCAGGCAGAGTATTTCCACATGGGATGAGTCCATTTTAGACAACATGTGTGTAACCATGTGAGCTGTAAGACAGGCTACAAACCATGTAACCCACAGCCTGTGAGAGGTGTACCCAGCTTTTCCTGCATTCATGCTAAGCTGAGCTCTGAATGGGAAAAGCTGAGCCAGGCCTGGTACCAGCAGGACGTGCGCTCCCGTCTC